TTGCTTAAATATTTCAAAATAAAAAATTTTTTTATTTAATAAAATTAATAATTGAGAAATATTTATAAAAAAGAGGAATTTCAAATAAATTTTAAATTGTTTTATATGACTGCTGATATTAAAAAATTTGAAAATTAGTAAATTTATTGATATGATAAAAGGCAAATATGATAATAAGCAAAAGAAGAAAGGAAATAATAGCGTTTTGGTAAATTAATTAATTCTCGATAAAACTAATGGAAATGGGAAGATAATCAAATTTCTTTGTTGTTAATGGAATGTAATTCGCATAGAAAAAATTTAAGATGAAATACATAATAAAGGAAAGATCTGGATGGCACAATGAGAAGACAATAGGATTCAAATTCTCAGTAGGGATATCGCTTGAAGAAACCGGATGTTGCTGGCTTTTATCCCAAGTGAATCTTTGGCGAAATTTGTCTGGTATAGCAAACAAACGGATGGAACTTAGCCAAAAACAGCAAATCATCTTAGAAAAAAATTATATATACATTATATATATATAAAGTGAAGGCCAAGGTGATCCCAGTGACAACTGAAGCACTTGAAATTGTGATTAATCACTGGAAAAGTAGCTTCATCAGATTCCAGGAACATTATTCAGAAGAGCGCATTGCTAGAAAGACATTACACTGAACCTAAGTCTCTGATAAAATACCTAAGGTTAAGAATGATTTTTTACCGCCCACATGGAAGCTGTGAGCTGATTTTTTTTCAAATATAATTAGTAGAAGGTAAAATCCTAGGAGATAAAAACTTTTTTAAAATTTAAAGAAATTGTTGAAAATGATCAATTCTTGATTTTTTGGCTAAAATTGATATGTAAATATTTGGACATTTGGGTTATTATCAGATCATCACTTAATTATCAGATCTTGTTCGAATAATAAAAAATACTGATAAATGGAGATATTTCTCTACAGTTTATTGTTTTAATTAAATTTTTTTATTAGTCTAGTCGTTTCCACTTTTCTCAAAAGAATAATCACAACCAATTCGGCAAGTCTTGAACTTTTTTTTTTAACTTTTAAGCCACTTGCATAAAATTATTTTATTAGTTTTACCCCATTTTTTTTCTATCAGTTTAAAATGAGAAATTCTTGGTTTCTTGTTAAATTTTCCTAATGGTTTTTTATTATAATTCAAATAACATTAAATTATTAAAAATACCGAATTATTTCCATATAAAAATGAAAAATGACAAGATTTCACGAACGAAAAGCTGGATTTATCAAAAAGGATTTATATTTAATGAGTTGTCAAAATGAATAAATTTATTAGGAACTACGAAATTTTTAAAATAATAAAATTAGAATAAAATTTTTAATATAATTTTTTGATTAATAATTTAAATATCAGTAAAGTGAACATTTTCTTCAAAAAGTAAAAATAAAAATTTCAAAAATTAAATTATATTAAAAATTATCAATTATATTATATTATATTAATTATAAAAATTATATTAAAAAATTAGAAATTATATTTGGGATTTTAATTAATAATTTATAAGAGGTAAAACGCAAAATAATTCATTCATTAAATTTTTTTGTCACTAAGAATTTTATCACTTAAATTTTCTGCAAATTTTTAAATTAAATTCCAATTAAAATTTTATCAAAATTTTAAGTTGAAAATTTTATGTATGAAAAGCTCGATTTATCAAAAAGGATTTTTATTTAATAAATTATAAGCCAAAATGAATAAATTTATCAGAAACTAAGGAATTTATAAAATAATAATAAAATTAGATTTAAATATCAATAAAGTGGACCAAGTAAAATTTTTAATGAACATTTTCTTCAAAAAATAAGAATAAAAATTTTAAAAATTATTTTTAGAATTTTTTAATTAATAATTTACAAGAAATAAAACGCAAAATAATTCATTCATTAAATTTTTTTTTGTTGCTAAAAATTTTAGCACTAAATTTTCTACAAATTTTTTAAATTAAATTCCGATTAAAATTTAGTTAAAAATTTTCGAAATTAAAATTATTTCAATAGAAAAAATAAGCAAAGAATTTTCGATGAAAAATATTTCATCCAATTTATCTTTCATTTATTTATCAGATAAAAATGAGAAAACAAATAAAAGGCGGCGTTGTCGAGTTGATTGACGCGCCGTACTTTGAATAATCCTTGAATTATTCGCCAATAAGCTTCACTTTAATTTTTTTCTCGGATGAACTTTATTTGAAATAAAATTAAATGAAATAAAATTTTTATTTTTTTATCGTTAAAGAATAAAAATACGCTTTGTAAAGAAACATTTTGTAAAGAAAATGAATACGTTTGCATTTTGCAGAAATCATTTTTAATTTGGCTTAGCTAATTTGGTCTAATTTGACTTTGGCGTACTTAGGAATACAATTGCAATTATGAAATGTTTTAATCAGAGAGGTACTTGGGGCGTAACACATCAAATTCGGTGTTTAAAGGGAGCCGTTGGAACAAATCTTAAAAGAAGAAGACAAGATAATCTGATGTCTCCAGCAGCACTGGAGTTTTTTAAATGATCCTAATTTTACATTTCCTGTAAGTCATAAGAGCCAAATCAGAATTCTTGCGATGGTGATGATGGTGATAAACATGCCATTTTACAAAACTGCTCATATTAGTTAGTTTTCTCAGCTTATTTATTCTAACTCTAAAAAATAAAATTTAAAAAACTTAAAAATTTAAATTTTAAATTTAAATTTAAAAAATAAAATCCTGGAACCATAAAAATTTACAGAACCGATTTAATATTCAAATTTACAGGATCGATTTAATATTCAAAACTTCATAAAATAATGTAATCGCTGAGAATCGAATTATTTAAAACGATTGTTTGGTGGGAATGTTTTATAAATTCGTCATCGAAAAATGTCACCAAAACGCTCAGCTATTTAGACTATAAAATTTTGAAGTTATTTGGACGAGAATTTTTAAATATTTTATGAATAAATATTTGAAATATGCATAAATAATAAACCAAAATCGCATAGTCTAAATAATTATTTCCTAAGAAAGATTTTCTTTTTTCATTTCAGCCTACCATTTTTTCCTTCTCGATTAGCTCCACTAACTACTACTACTAGGCTAATTAATTTATATATTTCACAGGTTATGCTTGAAATTTTTCAAGCCATTTTCTAACAACTTAAAAATAAAAACATATCTATTCATAGAAAAATAATTATTTTAGTCCTAATGCATTAAAAGAGATTTATATTGAAGGGCGATCGCCCAGGCAAATTGTGCTCTTCAAATGCATTCATGCATCAATTATTATTAGATAATATATAATATGTCTAGGCTATAGCTTAAAACTATCTTAGAGATATTTTATTATTGCCAAAAATAAATTCAAGTTTCTAATAAATCAACGAAAAAAACAGAAGGAAATCTTCAAATTCCCCTGAGGCGTTTCGTTCAAAAATTATTTTTCCCTTTAAAAGTTTAATAAATCCTCAGATTTCTTGTAATAAATCACCATTTGGTGATAAGTTTATTTATTCTTATCATGAGCGAAACTCAAATTTTCGCCTCTTATCACGATAATGATTATCCATTCAGCTATCTTATTTCTCATTTTTCATTGAGACTGTGATTTTGTAATCCTTTAATATTGTTATGATAAAACAAAACAATCAATGCAAAAAGGTTTTAAATATTTTATATTTTCTTGAAATTTTGCATAGTTTTTTTTCTTGTAAAAAATTCAAGAATGTTGAAATTTTCTTTCGCTTTTAGATATTTCGATATTTCATAAGAATTTTTTTTAATTTTTAAAATCTAAGCGAACACATTTCATTTATTTCAATTTATTTTTATCAATCAATTTAAGAGAAAAAATATCTTTGAAAAATTTCGAAAATCCTTTCAAATCACTTTCGCGAATTTATTTAGAAAATATTTTCTGGAAATCCGAATCGATATGAATGCATTTCATCAACGTATTTGTATATGTCAAGGTCATTTCAAAATCTTTTTTGATATTTTGATTTAATTCAAATTTAGTATTTCGTTTATCGATTATGTGAATTTCTATAATCTTTATTAATATATTTATTTATTTAAAAAAATAAAATTTGATAGTTAAACCTATTCGTATAAATGAGTAGAAAGGTTTTTACTCAAATTGCCAATGCTGAAGTTCCACTCTGCGTAAGATAGTGGTACTCACCTGTATTTCTATCGCCAAAGAATTCGCTGACATATTTATCCAATGCGACAAACCAGTGAAACCAACCAGTAATGTTTAAGGCTTTAAAAAAAAGATGTTAAAGAAACCAATGCTGCCATTTCTCAACTGAGCCAATGAAGAAACAATCAACCAAAATTCATTTTATTTTTTTCTACGCAAAAGATTTGCTGTATTATTGTAAAATTAATAAGATATATGGTAGTGTATGGTAGCTTGAATGGTAACTTGGCACCTGTTCGACTGAAATATATATTTTTTTGATGCATTTTCGAATTCTTGAATTCGAGGTCTTCAATAGAGTTGAAGCTAAGACATGAAGATGCCTTTAGTTTTTTTTCTTGTATTTTTTTTTTAATTAGAGGAATTGGATAATTTATTTCGATTATCGTTGAAAAATCGTCCGATTAGGTGTACCATTTTTCTTCGCTTGAATTTTGTTGTTACTGATTCATATGTCGATAAAATTGCAAATGTCCACCATTTTTTTGGACTAATAATCAAAAACATGAAAATCCTCAAAAAAATACTTTGATAATCTAATCTTCTTCCGACTTCTTCCCAATTTTTTTCTGGCACCACGCATTATTTCTGGTTTGGCTATTTTGGTGAGATTGTTTGACTAGAGAATTACTTGAAGATAGAGGATATGGCTTTTGCAGATAGGTTTGTAGTTATGAAAGGATATGGGAATGCAATAAATGAATACACACTGGAAATATGTGTACCTCTATCATTGGCCTAGTATCATTGATATAGTATGATCTTAAAAAACTATAATAGATAATTTTTAGATGTTTTGGTTGCCTGAAGAAGAAGTTTCAACAGGAGAGCAAAAAATTCGAGACAAAATCAATTTCACTTTCCGTCTACTTTTAGCTTCATTTTTTAGTTGCCAAATTTTCGATTTCTTCTTCAATCCAATATGGATGCATGGTTATATTTGGTAATTTATTATCTACCTTTTTAAGAAGATCTAATTTTTTCGCTCATTTTCAAGAATATATATATATATTGATATAAGAATGATATAAGTACCAGTGAGTACCAATTTTAGGTCTTTAAATCAAAAAATTGAACTGGAATTGAATAAGAAATCAGCTGGTAGCATTTTTCTTCATCAACTTTCAGTATCAGGCTATGAGGAACGAGTGTTATATTCTATTATTATAGTTTTTATTATTTGGGCATTTTTGTCGTAAGTTTTCAACATTATTCCACTCGTGGCACGATATTAGCTTATTCATGGTCGTTTAGCCTATATTTTTAGTTATTAGTACACTATAACTGTATGTACTCATTTCTACAGTATCTGGTTAGGCTTGCCACACTTATTACTACTGTAAGAGATTTCTCCCAGGACTATTTGAGACTATTTGAGGACCATTTCACCACCATACAGAAAAAATTGAATTAGCTAAATACGTTAGATTTCCTCTTATATTTCAAGAGAAATTTATTATCAGTAAACGCTATCAAATTTTAACAATTTTCAATTTCGAAATTATTCTTTTAAACGCTTATTTATTAAATCTTAATTTTCATTAAGGTTTTTTAACTTTATTTTCTAATATTAATGAAAATTTAGGTGTAGCAGGATAAAGAAAAGAAATTGTAGTGTTTGGTTCCTATTGCGCTTTTCCATAATTATTGGCCTCACAATTGCGATTGTTCGATGTATTCAGATGAAACAACGCCTATATTCTGCTATTCATGAGGGCTTTTATGCTTATCTATTAACTTTTATTATCGGTGAGTTTTTTAATTTTTCAATTTTGAAATAAATTTTTTGAAATAGTATCGAGAAATAGCGATATAGGAACAATTCTCCTCAAATTCTTAACTATCCAAAATTTCGAGGATTTATCAATCGTTCCCTTTAAAATTTTGCTTTTTGCATTTTTGTTTGATCTCAAGAAATTTTTTTTAAAATTCATTCATAAAAAAATTATTGCAAATCTCATCTCGAAAATGAAAAAATTGAAAAATAATAAAACAATAATAAATAATAATAATAATAGAATAATAATGATAAAACTGTTATTCAGGATTTATAATCACATGGCGATATGATGGAAAAATTAGTAAAACTGAAAAAATAAACTAAAACTAACAATTATCAACAAATTCTTATCGTTGGCTAAAGAAAAAAATCGTACAAATCATTATTTTAAAATATTGTATTTTTTTATTATTATTAATAATTAATAATTTATTGAAAAATATTAATAATAAATATAAAAAATATGAATAGTATATAAATTATAATAGGTTTTCATGCTATTTTATTTTGCATTTTGCAAAATTGTTGAAAATATGCCGATTAGCAAAATAAAAGAAAAAATAATGCCCATATTAGAGAAAAAATATTATTAGAGTAATTGGGCAAAAAACCTAAATTAGTCTGACAAAAAGCAAAGAGTATCGAAAAAATTACTTATTTTAGCTAGTTCCACCATTTCTATCGCCGTATCTTCTGTTAGCTTAGTCGGTTTCAATGAACAATAATTAAGCCTCAGTGTAAAATGATAAATGATATGATAAAACTCAAAAAATAATATTCCAAAATACGGAAATAAAGATTTATTTGATAAATATAAATTTATTCGCATAAATAATCACGTGGCGAAGCGTTTATTATTAGTGCGAAACAAAATACAAGAAATACAAGTAAAATTGATTAAAATGCTATAAATATTAACAAAATCTTAGTACATTTGCAAATCTAAATAATAGAATAAATATTACATAAATATTGTCAGTTTAAAATTAATCCAATTTTGATAATTATCGATATTTTTATAAGAAAAATTTTTACTGAGAAAAAAATCAGGAAAATTTCGTTTTGTTCAATGCTCATAAATGCTTGTTTTTCCTAAAATTTCTTCCAAATTGTCGAATCCAGAATAATTTTTCTACACGATTTTATCACATAACCTATCATTTTATCACTTTAGAAGGGATAGATTAATGTTCTAATATTTAAGGCTGAAATAGTTGAATGTTGTCGTTCGTCTGGTTTATAGAGAACGAATGAGAATTTATTAAATTTGGACATCTTTGTTGCTGAATATCCAACTTCTCGGATACAATAGAAAAATTGACAAAGAAAATATTTGATTATCACAGATTAATCGGATGAATATTTTGCACGATAAGGCGAAGCTTGATCGGTAATCCGAGGCTGTAGTACCGATGGAGCCAGGAGAATCAATGAATCCACATTTTGACATACACATACACCGGGCTCACCTTAAAATGCAGTATTTATAACTTATTAGAAAACAAATTAAAATGCGAAATGTATGGTATCAACATTATATAGTGAAAAACATTAAAAATAAGTTGCAATAAATTGCAATATTTAACAAGACTAATAAGTGAAAGGTCCGGTTACCTGGTGGTCCTTGTCCTCCAGCTGGTCCTTCTGGTCCTGGATACCCAGGCTCCCCAGATTCTCCTGGCAATCCAGGCCAGCCACGTTCGCCTTGTGGCCCTAAAATGTGTTTAAATATTATATGTTAGAGATATTAATTTATATTGAATTTGTTATAATTCACAAAACGCAAAGATATTACCTGTCATTCCGTTTCTTCCAGGCAAACCTGGTAAACCTGGTGCTCCTATTGGGCCAATTGGACCAGGATCTCCTGGCGGTCCTTCTCTAATTTCTCCTTCTGGAGTTGGGCCTTTGTCACCGGGCAAACCAGGGCTACCTCGATAACCAGGTGGCCCAATAGGACCTTGTTCACCGGGCTCACCATCTGCTCCATCTTTTCCTGGAAAATTGCTTAAATTGCATCTTTTGATTTAATGCTCCTCGAACAATAATTTTATAAAAACAAGAACAAAAATAATTAAAAATAATAATTAAAAATAATTAATTTTCTCTTTGGAGATGAATGATTAACTTTACCTACCTCTGGCTCCATGTTCGCCAATTGGCCCCGGATCACCTGGAAACCCTGGCCAACCCTTTATACCTGGCGGTCCTTTTGGGCAGGGTCTGCATGGTGGCGGTGGTTGGACAATTCTAACTGGGCATGTCTGATTAGGTGTTGTGCCAGGCATACCTGGTTTGCCAGCTGGACCAGGCATGCCAGGTTTTCCTGGTGCACCAGCAGGGCCACGGGGTCCAGATGGACCTGGTATGCAACACCCGGGGCATTCTGTTTGTATAGGTATTCCTGTAGAATCCGTCAAATGACCATATCCATCGTGAATATTGTTCTGAAACATGAAATGAACTACAGAAATATTTCCAAATATTTTTTCGTCAGATTTTTGGATTCCAAGTGGGAAGAAAATTATTTCCAGGTATGGTACGAGACTGTGGTACCTGTAAACCAATATCAACCAATGAAGCGTATTACTGGAAGAAAAAAAAAGTTTAGAATGCCTTTATAGTACAACTAAACATGGTGCCACCACTTAAGTTATGGTATTTTAATCTTTTATTCCTCTGGCAATGAACAAAAATTCAATATTTTATTTGTTAACGAGGTTTTTCACACATTACCTCAGGGATCATATTTCAAAAAATTTGAATATATCATTTTGGACTTTTCTCTATAGAACTTAAGTTTAAGGCACCTTTTCTCGGACCTTGACGATGAATAAGCATGAGAATTAAGAAAATCCATACTTCATTTCCATGACCGTAAATATCACGTTCAGTTCTATTCAGTTTTAGTAATTGTTTGCCCAAATTTATTTCATATTTTGCTTCTCGATTAGATCGCTAAAAAAATGATTGAATCATTGAATTATGCTTTTTTATAATTCATTAATTATTTTTTCGTAAAAAAAATCATTAAAATATTTGAATTTAAATTTTACTATAGATGAAATTTAAATGAATTATGGAAATACCTCACAAAATTCGAGTTCCGAATTAACATATTCGATAGTCGTATGAACGCTACTATACATAAGCGGAAGGGTTAAACATAAAGTTAGCAATGAAATACTACTAAAGGCAACTTGTAGGCCGATAAAAAACTGATACATCCTTTGCTGTATAGTCATTGTTTTCCGGTATAATGGTACACATCTGAAATAAATAATACAAGAACGATGAATTTTTCAAAATTTTATTAAAAATTTTATTTTTTTATTTAAAATTAAATCATATTTACTTTTCTATATTCCTTGTTTCCGTCATTCCAACTATGGAACCAACCAAATAATTGCGAAAATTTTGATCGATTTTTTACGGGAATTTTATCGAGATTGGAAGTTGAGAGAGCGTATGATGCGCTACGACCTAAAATCTGATGAGTTCCAAATCATCAAAAGCATTCTAAAAAATAAGATTTCTAGGAATTGAGTAAATAAATGCTTATGGTTTCTTATTTAAGTCTTTGTTTTCCTAACTTCAATTTAGTGAAAGCCTTTGCACGAAATCAAAACAGTAGTCTTATAAAAATGTCTAATGTAATTGGAGTACCTCGTCGAACCAAATTACTTTTACGAGTAAAAAATTGTCCAATTTGTGAGAGTTGCTCTTTAAAGGTTCGACTAGATTTCTCGCTCCTTGTTTCACCTGATTTGTTACCTTCTTTACTTTTGGTATTTCGACTGCTATAAAAAATCTATGAGCGAAAGGTACATAGGTAAAAATAAAAGTACCGCAAATTTACAAGCTTTCAACTCTTTCCTTATTTTCCTTTGGATGTACGCTTACATTTAGACTATTCCTTTTCTAAATGCTCAACATTAAGTTAAACCTTTTGATATCGTTGATGTTTTTATTCTTATCACTTTTGATTTGTTTAACACTTTTTTTGCTTTTTTCTTTCTTTTGATTGATCACCTCTGTTTTGTCGCTATTTGCCACCTCCGTTTTTTTGCCAAGGTTTTCAATTAATTTACTCAATCGCTTTGTAGTATGGACTCGCTCCTTGAAATAAAAAATATTTTTATAAATAACTTACCAATTTTAAGAAATTATAAAGCATTGATCAGAAATGCTTTAATAATGATTGATACCATGCATGATATAGTTAGCAAAAAGAGAATTTTAGTTGGGGAACTTTTTTTTTAAGAATCCTCACCATTACTGGTTAAACTCGCTCCACTGGCTTGTCGCATTGGACAATATGCCAGAGAGTTCCTTGGCGATAGAAATACAGTTATAGTATCTCGGTTGGGAAAGACTAACGCATTAAGTTGTAAAAAAAAAAAAAATTTATTTTATTTTAACAAATCTTAGAATAAATTTTCAGTTAATTTTCAAAATTTAATTTTCAAAATGAATTTTTTACAAACAAAATATTTCATAAAAAATGCAAAAAGCAAAAAGCAAAATGAAGATTGTAAATCTTTCATATGTATAATAAGATTATTAGCACGAAATACCAGTAAATTAGATGAAAGTTATAAGAAACAAAGAAAAATGATTTCTAAGCTAAGAAAACGGAATGGACCATCTAAAGGAGTTTATTAATCAGATTGCAGGTCATCAAGATTCAAATATTGATGAGGAATAAGAAATCGGTAGTTTAAAATCCTGAGTGATGTTTGAGACTCAACTATATTCCTAATTCCTTTACGAAAATCACCTATTGTCATATTAAGAACTACTATAATAAGCTTAACCAGAAATAATATGCATAAATACCCAGCTGATATAATAAGATATTCTTTCACGAAGGCACCACTAAGTCGGAATTCGGCGAATCTCTTATTTGTGAATTTGATTTGATACGAATGCATAATGTTGTAATACATTCTATTCGAATTATGTTAATTATCAAAGAAAATTTTCAGAAATATATTGATAAAATTCTTTAATAGTGCATTATCACCTATGACACAATACCTTTGCTGACCCAGAAAAAGGATAAAAAATTTCGCAAAACAAAAAAATTTATTTCTTCAGACTTTAAAAAACTACAGAATTTATAATCAAAAAACAAGAATATAATCAATCAACTGTAATTTATCGATAGAGAAAAGAATTATAGCAAAATAAGAAGAAATAATAAGGTAATAGAATGGCTTAATAGGTTGTTGCTCAGGAGTAAGAGTAAGCCTGCAAAAATCCGGGTTATGCTGGCGAACTCACTTTTATTTCTATCGCCAAGGAATTCCCTATTGCCCAATGCGAGAAGCCAGTGGAGCGAGTTTAACCAGTAATGGTGAGAACTCTTAAGAAAAAAAGATAAGGTGATAAGATTAAAATAAATAGATCATCTTTTCGATTTCAGGGACATATTTAAATAATTCACTTCTTTTACTAATTTTGCTTAATATTAAGTTCGTTCTATTTCCAACTTGTCGGTCACTTGGCGTTAAAAATATAGATTAATAGCAAAAATCACTCAATTTTTAAAAAAAGATTTATTCCTATCGGAAATAAAACTCCCATATTGGCGTTCAAAGTGAAAGTAGCAACCTATTTAGACCACTCAACTCAAGAAGATTAGATTTATCGGACTTATTTCAGTATTATATTTATTGAAGAAATGCTGTTGATATGGTAATTTTTTTTAGATAAATATATATATTTTATTAAAAAATCTCTAAAATTGAGTAAAATTTTTTTCTTCAAAAATTTGATGAAAGAATTACAAATTTTATTCCATTTTATTCGGCAATTTCTTTTAAATGACCTATGCAAAATGTTATGCAGAAATAAATTCCAATACTTTAAACACTTTATTTAATGGTCGATAATATGAATGAATTGCCAGTTATCGACAATTTTTAAAGTAAAGTTAATGTAACTGTCAAAACTCTTTGGAAATTCCCTTATAAATGATATGATAACTGTAAATGATTATCTAAAAACTGAAGTCGAATTACCATTGATGGATTCATCAAAGAAGTCATGAAAAGAGTCTTTGATATAACCTCAGATTATTTGGTTTTTCTCATTCTAAATGCAAATATTAGAAAAGATCTTTTCATCATAGAATCATTTGCTAACAGAACACGAGAAGATCTTTCGTATTCTCTGGATTTCAATTTTAGTGATACCATTTGTTACTGTCGAGAGACAAACAATCGCACTCACTACTCGTTCTTTGATAATAACTCTTAAATCGCTTTTAGCTTACTCTTAAAAAACTCTTAGTTTATTTTGGTGATAATCCATTTTTAATTGATTAAATTAATATATTACTTGAAAATAAAATTAGATTTATTGGATTACAATCATTTTTTAAATTATCAAAATTGCCTTTGATAAAATTGCTATAATCATTCAAATTAATAAAATTAAGTTAAATAAAAATAAAATAGCAAAAGAAAGAAAAATATTATCATCATTGAAAGTTTATGAAAAAAATGGTGTTATATATACAAAATGAAAAAAAATGAAACAAAAAAACAACTCACAAAATTTTCTTTAACACTATTTTCACAATTGGATTTGATTATTACTGAATTCGTCGTTAGAAGTTTGCTATCACCTTCTTCACTATTAAAATTTTGAGCGTTTATGTTCGAAGGCATCAAAAGTATCGTACAACGACCCAATTTTCTTTCTCGAAAATTTCTCGAATAACCAATAATCGCTTCAATTTGGCACAAATTATCATTTAAAAAAAAAATAAAATGATTTTCTTTTTTTTTATAATCTAAAAATTTAAAAGAAAATATAATTGTTTTATTTAGAGCAAAAAAGAAAAAAAAAACTACCAAATTTACTACGATAATTGAAATAATTTTGTGGCCTTTAATTGATAAAATTGATCAAATGAATGAAAATAATTATGTTGTAAGGAAATCGTAGCAAATAAAAAGATCCGCGATCATTAAAAGACTCGATATGACAAAAAAAATTTTAATTTCAAAAATTATTTTCAATTATCATAATTATTTACATATAGGGTGAATGGTGAATGCATAATGCAAGTAAGTGAGGAAACAGAGTCACCGCTATACTTTAACCCTGCCATTAACCCTTAATTCACCAAACATTTCAATGATCCTTTTTCATTCAGCAGTAAATAAGTGAGTAATTAACTTAAAAATCTTGGCCTTCATATAACTACGACCTTACTCGAACTAAGTTATTTACAAGTGGTGCATTGGCAGAGTTTTTATTCTTAATAGCTTTCACTATTACTGGTTAGACTCCGTTGCTGCCTTGTCGCACTGGACAAATATACCAGTGAGTACCATGGTGATAAAAATAAATATAGGTGAGTCGCCAGCATTAGCCGGATTTCTGGACGAGTTTACTCCTATGGGGAATAGAACCTCAGCATCGGCGCTCCGAATTGAATAACAATCCATTGAGCTATTCTGCACTGGCTGATTAAAATATTATAATATTGAACGCATTTTACTTGCACGCATTAGCTAAAATTTTTTAAAATGATATTCATTTTTTTTAAAAGAATAAAAATATTTAATAAAATTTATGAAAAAAGAATTGCATAAAGAAATGAAATTAATTTTGACTGATCTGGAACGATAAATATGAAGAGATATTAATAAGGTCACTAAGGTCGTTAATTTTCCACAAAAAAAATAGGCAATTTTTTTTTTTTTTATAAAACATTTACCGATTTATGCAATAAAACAAAAAAATTCTTTGGAATTGAAATTTGTTTTTTTAAGTTAATGTAATAGAAAAAAAAATCATTTTTGATATTCATATTTAATCAGAATTTAACAAAATTTAGCCAAATTTTATTTAGTAAAATTTGTTTAAATCGACAAATTTTGAATTCACAAAATAATTTATAAACAATAGTGATTTGTGGTGATTCCGTAATTTTTTATAAAGAAATTACAGAAAATATTATAAATATTATTACAAATATTATATTATTATATATTATATTATAGATTAATTTATAAATCAGATTTTTGATTCAAAGTTTTTAAAAATTAATAAATTAATTTGAAGTATTTTAAATTAGCATTTGAGTTGATAAAGGGCAATAAAAATTAAAAAACTAAAAAATTCAATTCTCTCATAAAGTCAAAATTATAGTTTAAAAAATCTAATTTAAATTTTACTATTAGCAAAATTTTTTAATAAATGATTAGAGAAAAAAAATTGTAGTATAACTGCAGGGCAAATTTCCCAATAAAGTATTAATAAAGTGGCCATCATTTTTAAGCGATAAATTTTTGGTCCGATGAACTTAAACGAAGATTTTATCACCTTGTTTGACCTTGTTGCTGCATCATCAACTATTCTTTTTAATATATAACTAAATATTATCGTAAAAATTAATTCATTTCAATGGAATTATGATCTAAAGCTTCATCTTTTTGTAGTTTTTTTTTCTTCTTCTTGTAAATTAGAATTTTTTATTTGTAAGTTTTGACCAAAAGAATAAAAAAATATTTAGACTTTTCTATATGATTCTTTTCATCGTTTCTGCAAATATCGATGCTAATATGAAACATGAAGAAACTGGCATATAATTATCACTGAGATTATTGATAAATATTTAACATCGAAGAAAACTCAACTCAAATATAAGAATAAAGAAGCATCATTTAAATTTTATACATTTAATCACATAAAAAGGATATAATGGCTCAATTGGTTGTTGCTCAATTGAGAGAGTCAGTGCTGAGGTTCGATTCCTTACCAGTGGAGCAAGTTTAACCAGTAATGGTGAGGACTCTTAAAAAATGACAAAGAAATTTAATCACAGAAAACATTCGAATCCGATCCTTTTCTTATATCATTTTGATATTATCATAACTGAATACGAATTTTCATATATATCAAAAAAATAAGGATATTCCGAGTTCAACGAGGACCGCCTCGAGGATACATGCGCTATTGCTCATCTCAACTTCAATTTCGCGAACCCCGATTTTGCGATATCCCAATTTACGAGTGTATATATGTATATACTGCTGTGATGTCTTATTAAAGTTGAATAAATATCATATGAATTTATTTTTATCAAAAAAAAAACATGAAAAATTATATGACACGAAAATAACCATTTTTTATATTATTTGAAAAATAGTGTAAGGCAAGGCTAAATTTGGCTAAGCTTTTTTGGCTCATTTAATACTACATAACATTTTTAAAAGACATAAATGAGGAAAAATCTTGAATAAAATTAAATAAAAATTAGCTAAAACGAATATTTTTTATTTAAAATTTTGATAAACCAGCCTTTAGGATTTTAATAGAAAATAAAAATACAAAAGTAAGATCAATCAAATTATTACAATTTTAACAATAAAAACGATAATAGTGATAAATTTCATTTTCTAAAATTTAAAATTTAAAATACAGCGAGCCTATAAAAAATAATTATTATAGAAATTTCCAAGAATTTTTGTAAAAATTTGCAAGAAAATTTTATATAAATTTTATCATTGAAGCGAAGTAACCATTTGAAAAGTTTAAAAATTTTTTAAATAATTTCCTATAATTTTTTATTCCGGAATGACTAAACGCATCAAAACTCCACAAAAATAGTCATTTTTCCATTTCTTTCTCACTAAATGGAAAATTTATTCAGCATGTCGTGATGGGAAAGAAAATATTCATATAAAATGAGCGATATTGACGTAATAAATAAAATTTGAAAGTCTATTTAGTAATCTCATTTTTAGAAATAATATGACACTATCGCTAAATAAGTAAGCCAAAAAAATAAATTAAAAAGGAAAGTAATTACGTAAATTAGCTAAAAATACTGATAATGATAAGTTAAATTATTCGTCATATTTTATTATTTACGAGGTTTTTTAATATTTGAAATTTAAAATTATTTTAAAAAAATTTTTGTAATTAATTTTAAGTATGTTTACAAATATTTATCTAAATAATTTAATTATCCGCTAATCAATTTTATTTAAAAATATTTCACCCATTCTCTTTTTTTTATCCTTTTATTGAAATCATATAGGATCAATGATAAAATCATATGATTGCATTGAAAATCAATTGGAGAAAATCAGAGATATATATGAAAAATATGAAAAAGAAGTAGGAATGCTAAAATTTGGGTTTACAAAAATTTGTGAAGTACCAAATTCTTTTCATTTTAGATTCTCGTTTTACCTGAGCTTCCTTGTAGAGAAATTTATTAAAAAAAAGGCAATTTAAAAAATTTTTTTTGCACAGTTTTTCCACATCCTTCACGAAATTCTAAGGCTTCTTGCTAAATGCTCATTGTGAAACCAAGTATAATTTGATCATTGATCACTTACTGAATTTTCTACTAATATAATTATTTCTTCGGCATGAAGAGAAATAAAAAATTCGATACTCGATTATAACTGAATTTCCTTTTATGAGGCTAATGATAAATTCGAAAGAATTTTTCGACAACTCGAGTTTTCATATAGTTAATTACAAAAAAGTTTATAATTAAAATAAATTAACATCAAACATTTATTCATTTAACGTCTTGTTCACCAGCATTTTCCGGATATTCTACAGCTGGCGGAAAGCTTTCTCCATATGGTTTCTGTAGCCGTTTCGGCATATCAGCAATAATAATTTCGGTATCTTGACAAATACATGTGCCGGGTGATCCTAGAAAAATTTCTTATGAAATAAACTATCAATATTTTCGCTATAGACTTCAATTCAATTTTTAATAATACAATAAAATTTTAATTTAATTTAAATTTTGATTTAATTTAAAAATTTTAACTTAAAAATTTAGGAATGAACTAAAAACATTATTAATAGCAATGGACAAACGAACCTGTCGGACCAGCTTCTCCTTGAGGCCCTGGTGGTCCTTGTGGCCCCGCAGGCCCAGGTGGCCCAGGAGGCCCAGGCCAACCTTTTTCGCCCGGCGGTCCAGGATAACCATCTTCACCTTTGGCGCCTAAATAGAATTTTCTGCCTAAATAGAATTGCAACTGAAACTAAATGAAACTGAAGTGGAAGAAGATTACACTGTAAATACGACTGATTATGATCGGCAATTTATCCAAATATAAAAAAATGATTAAAATTTGTTTTGAATTTGGATAATTTTCACATAATGGAGATATTAAAATCCAAAAATTATTAATAGAACCATAGAAAACCATAAAGAGATTTGATAATTGATCTTGTGAATTATAAGTTTTCCCTGGAACTACCGACATTTTTATTTTTAAATGGCCTACTTTCTTCAAGAACCACGAATCCAATCTATGATGCTTGACCTGGTAAAAGGTCTAAACTCTATTTTACTCTTATTGGAGCATATTGAATTATACTGTATTGTTAAAATCCCAGTATTTTATATATATTGCGTTTCTCCATAAGATAAGTGAAGACTCTGGTTCCTGACATTCTTTTGGTTTGACCGAAAAATTTTTTTCCCTGCTCAATTGAACTTTTTTAGCTTTGTAATTATTTGTAATTTATTAGCTTTGTAATTATAATTTAGCTTTATAATCATACCTTGATGTCCCGGTAATCCCCAAGGTCCAGGTTCACCAGGATCGCCAGGTGGTCCTGGAATAACATGGGCTTGTGGAGTGATCCCTTTGTCGCCTGGCAATCCGGGTGGTCCAGGAGGTCCTGGTGGCCCAGGAAGCCCATCGCTTCCAGGCTTCCCAGGGAGACCATCCAGACCTGAATTTCATCACTATTTCAATAATGCGAAGAATTTTCATTTTTTCAAAAATCCCGTCCAAAAAGTTATTGTTAATAAATATTATATACTAAAAACCGATAATTTTTGGAAAATAAATGATTAAATGTTTCTTAACGGCTAACAACTAATAATAACAATGGAAAAGATTTAAGCTTTTGCGATATTTGATTAATTTTTAAAGTTAATAAAAAAATTAAGTTAAGAAATCAAGCACCAACCGGGTCTGCCTGGTATGCCAGGATCACCAGGATCGCCAGGAAATCCTGGATGTCCTGGAACTCCACGTGGTCCTTGTGGACAAGGAAGGCATGGTGGTGGTTCAAATATACGTTCTGGAATGCAAGACGCATTCGGAGTCGCTCCTGGTCGACCGGGAGCACCGTCGGGTCCTGGACTTCCAGGAAGGCCAGGCAAACCAGCATCACCAGGAGGTCCTCTTTCACCGGCAACACAACATGCTGAAATTTTATTTTTTTAATGACTTTAGTAATCGAATTTTCATATGATAAGAAAAAATTTTAAACTAGCAACTAACCAGGACATTCTTGAAAAGCGATTTCATCCTTCACCAATGCAGTAGGATTATGTCCACGATAATGTGAAATATCGCTTCTTTTCGTTCGATTTTCGATTCGTTTCATAGCATTCATTTCAATTTCCATATCCGATGTTGAACTCTAAAATTATTTATTATTAATCTTATCGTACAAAACAATTTGAAAATTTCTAATTAGATTCGCTGAAAATCTTCTTAAGGCTATTGGGCTAAAATTATTTTTGTTTAGCCAACTAAAGCGATTATTATTGCATTATTTTATGCATTATATAAAATAGATTTATTATTATATTATTTATTATTATATTTATTATTTATATTTTTATATTAAATGATAATATAAAATATTAAAATTTTGCTTAATGGTTTATTCAATAAAATTATGCTTAATAAAAATTTAAAAATAAATAAAAAAAATTTAAATAAAAATTTAAGAAAATTATAAAAATATGAAAAAATATAAAATTACTTCACAATATTGAAAATCTTGTCGGCTAAACGTACGAATATTATTAACATAATTATACATTGAAGGAATAATTAAACAAATTATTAATAGACTCGTAATACTCATAAAATTCGCCAGAAAAATAATAAATTTATAAGCATTTTCTCGACGATCATCAATATCATTAGATTTTTCAAAATTTTTCTTTTGCCAATGCGAATCTATTTTTAGTAAATTCATCGCTCGAAAGGATTTTATCGAGAGCGAATTCGATGTCTGAAATAATTTTTCTTAAAATTTTACAATTTTTGAAATATAATTTGAGAATTAATAAATTAGCTATTATTAAATTAAATAATTAAACTAATATAATAATAGTCGATTTGACTGGGAAAAAATAAAAAAATAAAACTAAAAATAAAATAATCTAAAAAAATGATCTAAAAAAAAAGCCTCTGTCGCACTCAATAATCAAATGATAATAGCGACTATAACTTTTTGTACTTTTACGGTCAAATGTCTACTCCCTGGCAAAATTTGTCAACTTCGACGGGGGATAATTTTTTAACGAGAAAATAATAAGAATATTTAATTGACAAAAATTAGAAAATCTATTGACTATGATAATCATCAAAACTCAACGCAACGCAAAATCCTGTAAACCCCGTAATTATTTACACCACTTATTATATAATATTATACAGTGAACAAAAAAAAAAAGTGTTCATTTCTATTGGATAAACTACTTATAAAACAATTTAGTAAAATTAATAATAAAAGGAAAGAAATTTATTGGTACTTACTTGAAGCAAAAAATATTCGCAAATAGATCCAAATGGTAATGTTTAATGGTCCTATTATCAACAATAGGTTAAGGTGACCATAAAATGAAAACACAACGGAAAAATTGTTAACAATACCGATCGAATTATAACGGGAATTATCGCAAAAGACGAAATCATCAAAGGTAAATGGACGATTGACCTAGTGAATAAGACGAGATTGGGGTGGCATAAAGGGGCGATGAACCAAATTTTCTACTTATTTGCGCCGTCTCACGTTTTGTTTTTGTAGTAACTAATGATAATTTTGTTGCAAATCATTGTGGCAAATAAGTTTATTTAAAAAATAAAATTTTAAATCATTAGGCACAAATAAAATCAAATTTGCATTTAATTTTTATCTGATTTCTGATAGACCATTCAAGATTGAAAAGAATTGTATTATCATTGAAAAATCCGAGCTTCATCAATAACAAGGTGTTTAGCTTCAGGGATTCAGGCATTAATGGATGATTCAGGAAGAGATCTTGGAGATCATTTCTTTTATATCTATTGAAGTATAAGGAACGGGCGCTTTAAGGAAATGCTGGAGAATGAAAAGTACCATTCATAGCTGAACCGCAGATGAAAGAAATATTTACAAAATAATATTGCCACGATAAAGAATCTTTAAGGAAATAAAAGCAATGCAGGCTGTGCGGTGTTATATAAGATAATACGGAAGGACGTAAGCATTCTGCATGGTTCTATCCGACGGATGAGCGAGAATTGAACCAGCCAAGCTATAGGAAAAATAAGATCAATAAATTATTCTAAAATCATAGTTCCACAAAAGCGGCAGAGCATTAATGTGGATATAAAGAGTAACGGCAAAGCGACATCTTGCTCGCCACTCTGTAGTTCTGATAACTAATATAATTTTTCTTTCCAATTTCCTTCCAATAATATGCGATAAATGAATAGATAATATAATAAAATGAAGGGATTCAAAAAAATCTTCAGTATAGCCTTCTAGTAGTTTCTTTTATATTTCATAGGGATAGAGCGTTTTTTCATATTTTTATCCTATTATTATTTATAATATTTTTAAATCATTATTATATTATTTTTTATTATTTTTATGTTGTATTATTTTTTACATTCGTCTAATATTGCATATTTAGCCAGCTGAATATGAAAATATATAAATGAAAATATATATGAAATATTGAATTTTCATAAAAATAGCCAAAGAGATTATTACTTGTGGTAAAACTATGGTTCGAAAGCTTAAATGAAGAGCTTAAAGAAGAAAAATTGAGGAAGATATCAAGAAGGCATAACAGATTCTATGATAACAAAAAGGTACAATTGGGATTGATTGACAAATTAATTAAGCAGTATAATATTACGATTTAATGGAGAGTTATAAATGTCAAAGGTTTAATAATATAAGAGATAGATTTTGGGGGCGAAGAGACCGTTACGACAGATCAAGTTCTTGCATCCAGTATCCAGCTATCATCTATATATATTAATTAAAACAAAAGAAATTAACGGAGTGATTACAAGCTCAAGCTCTTGCAAAAAATGTGGCCTTAGCGATTGTTTCTTTTATCATATGTTATCATGAAAGACTTAATGAGCCATAATTGTTTTTCTTCTTTTTTTTCTAACTTATCAGCCAGGGAGTTATTTGGCGATAGAGAAATAAAAATGGCTGAATTGAAATATTTGGCATAGTTGCGCTTGTCGAGGACAAAAACCGAATTCTCGTCTCTTAACAATAATCCAAAATAAATGTGCCTCTTTTATTTTTAAAATTATTTTTATTTTATAAAATTTGGATAATTGAAATGCCAAAGTTTCATCATCTCTCTTTTGCATATATAATAATTTTATAAATACCATCGAATCTTTCATGGCTCTTATAATTAACGCTTATTAGAATAATCAAAACTTTGATAACTTTCTTGATATCTTTAATTATCAATTAGCGAATGCATAATTATCAATTAGCGAATGCATAGTTAAAATTTTTACAAATAATAAAGATTTTTTCAATTATATCTAAAAAAATATTGCTATAATTTTCCATATTTTCTATCATAAAAAATGAATAGTAATTAAGTCAAATTATCTATGCTTATCGATAGTGCAACTGATGAAGAATTTAAGAATTTTTTAAACACATGAAAATTTTTGTAGAAATTTTCTATAGTCTTTCATCGAATGTTGTAATAGATTTCTGGTTCGTTCATCTTCTTACTGCATTCGCAATCATTAATTATTTCACCATTTACTAATGCGTTCCCTTTCATAAATTTGTTCATCGCACCTTAGTTCGTACATCATTTTTTTTTTTAAATTTGTTTAAATTACAAAAAAAAGGAGTGAGCAATAAATGATAAATCTAGGAGATGAAATGGCTTAGCGGGTTATTGCTGTCATTTCGGAGCACCCATGTTAATGTTCTATTCCCGGTAGGAGTGAACCGATCATTCAAAAAAAATTTAGGTGATTTTGGCGAAGTACTTATAATTCTATTGCTATTGCCTTCTTAAAATTTGCCTAGTCGAATAACTAGCAAAACGAGACTAAACTTAAAATAGTGAGCATTCTTCACAAAAAAAAAGAGAATAAATTTGAAGAATTGAAAAATTAGCTTAAAATTGCTATTTTGCTGAATATAGAAAGGAAATTTTCACCCAAAATTACTCATATAATTTTTTAAATTATTTATTTTTATAATTGAAAATTTAAATGAAATGAGATAAATTATGATATATGATAATATATTTTTGATTCCATATATGATAATATATTTTTGATAATTTAGATTGGCTTAACACTTAGATTGCTTGAATGCTTCGCTTATTCTTTGTTTTTGTTTTGATATGGAAAATTTATGCTGAAATCGTCGAAAATTTCGAATCGATTAAAAGTTCAGAAAGCGATGATAATACTGATATTGATAATAAGAATGATGAATATGGGTCCGAAAAATATATAAGGTAGGTCAAAGTTTTATTATTATCTACGATCATGAATTGATTAAAATATCGTTCAAGATCGATAGCTAGTAATTAATTTGTAACAAATTAGTACTAATTAGTGATTAATTAATCAGAACGGAAAAAAAATTCAGGTCATATGATATTTTTAGAAATTATTATAGGTTATATATAAATTCTATTTCTATTTAAATTTAGTAATAAAATATTGGAAGCATTTAATGAAAGTGATAGTGATCTAACAACGAGTGGTACAACTGAATCTATAAGCGATTCAACTTCATCAATTCTATATAATGGTACTTTTTTCTTTTAAATTCCATATGGTGGCATTTTTCTCAGGTGGAAAAATTTTTGAGAATATTTTTAATATAAAAAATAATTATATATAAATAATAATAAATAAAAAAATAAAAATAAAAAATTTGTATTTATTTGGATATTTATGACGAAAAATAAAAATAATAAGTAATTCTCATTCGAATTTTTGTCTCTTGACAAGCCAAAACCTATCATTAAAAGCCCAATTTGCATGGTGATGGAAATTTACCTATATTGTAGAGTTGAATTGCAAATTTTCTAACAAAAATTTTTATAGTCAATGAAATTATCAAAACGAGAAATGGTTAATGTTGTTAGAACAAGAAAGAAGAATTAGTCAACAATTCATTGCATTATCAATTTGATATATATGCGAATTATGCTCTAAAAATTTCTATCAATTTTGTAAATTTTTTTTTAGCGCCCGAAGAAATCTTATCAAGTGTTGAATTAGGTGAAATGATAAGCGAGAATGCTACGGATACGACTTTTATTGCTGAATCTAATTCAATAACTTTTGAGTCTAATGGAACAATACTTTGGATCAATTCGACTTATATGGTATGTGAGCCATACTAAGCCATAAGCCATATTAAGCCATAATTTGGCACTAAACAAAAGCAGTAAAATTTGCAGCATTTCAAAATTCATATTCATATTGCTCATTGCTATTATTTATCTGACAAATGATCGTGAAAAGTTTGGTTTTATACAAAAATTATGAAATTCGCATATTTGTGCCCAAAAATAAACTTGGCATTATAAGGCATTATGGTACTTTTACGATACCTCTGATATTGCTAAATTATAAGTTTAAGTCTTTTAATATAAGTCGAATTTTTTGAAGAAATAGATTTCTCATAGTGCATTGGTTAAATCCTATTTGAATCGTAATTATGAAAGAGAACAATTAAGCACAAAAACTTCCACTGTGCTTCCTTCAATTTTTGGTAATTTTAGGCTATTGATATGGGATTAAATATAACCGATATTAAAGAGTGTCAGTCTTGGATTCGTCACCGACTAAATGATACAATAATCGCAACAAAATCCGAGATGGAAGTTAATCCTTTACTTTATAGATTTATAAATGAATATAAGGTTTTTGTATAATGATAATGATAATTTAGATATAATTTGGGTATTGGAAGATTCTTAAAACCTAAATTTGACCAAATTAGCTATTTTAGCTAAATTACTGATATCGCTGTTAAAGAAAGATATGACTAGTCTTCCTATGCATCTATAAACCCTCATACCATTTCTCATGCCAATGCACCGCATACTATTTCAGGATGATATTTCTTTAGGATATTCATAATTATACCGAGACGAACGACGATAATGGCGATTTTTTGACTGAACTTGATCTTGTTAGATATGAAATAATAAATGACGAATCGAGATTAACTGAAATTGGCTTATCAACAGAATTATTGGAAAAGTATACAGTAAATTTTTTTTCAAAAACCCTCACTATTACTGATAACTGATTAGACTTCCTCCACTGGCTTATCGCACTAGCAAATATGCCGGGAAGTTCTTTGGCGATAGATGTACAGGTTTACTCATACCGAGAGTAGAATTTCATCATCGCCATTTCGAACTGAGCAACAACCAACCTGAGCCATTCTACTCTCTGTTCAGTGAACTATTTTAATATATTTATTATATATTTGTATATTTATAATATATTATATATTAATATATTATAATATATTAATATATTTATTAGAATTATTGTCCAGCACAATAATCTTCAAAATATTAATTTTTACGGCAATTGGATTATGGTATGAAGAAATTTGTGGCGATCATCCACGAGAATTTTGGTATACAAGTGTCGAAGATGCGAAAAAGCTTGGCATTGAAGGAACATCGCTTATTTGCGATCCATTTATTGTTAGGTTTCACTTTTATATTGGTCATCATTGACTTTGAAAATTTTTCAACCAAAATTTTCACAAATCCCAATATTTTATCTAAAAATTTCCTGAGTAAGTAAAAAGTTAAGATTTTGTGATTCCCAAATTTTTAAAATTAATTATAAATTTTAACTTAATGAAACAATTTAATGAATCGTCTAAAAATTTAAATTTTTAAGGAATATATTTTTTATTATTAGCCAATATTATTGTTAAAATTATTTGCTAAAGATTAACGCAATAGTTCAATTTCATAATTTCATAAATATGGAATTTTTCGAAAAATTCATTCATTTTGATTTTAACGATGAATTGAATATACAAAAAAAGAAAAAAAATTTTTTTTTAGATTCAAATATTTAAAAATTTTTCGATTTTTTAAGAAATTAAATAATAATTTTTATGAATAAAATTAAGGAAGAACTTTATCCGAGTAAGAAACGTTTAATGCAATTATCGAAAAAATTAAATGAAATTGTACAAAATACCGTCGATCAAAATGCGAAATTAAATAATTTATCGCAAATCGTATTTAAAGAAATATTTTCGGATGGAAATTTTTCATTATTCGATGAAATACTTTTCGGTGAATTTTGAAATTTTGCGTTTAACAAATGCTTAATTCGTTTCAGATTTGTGATTGATAAGAATGAATTTTATTCTCAATTCTCAATTCGTTATAGCTAACACTATCTAATAGTTATTTATTGCCTACACTTTAAATGAATTTCCTCTAAATGCATTCATAATTTTTAGCTTGGCTAATTTTCACTTACCACTACAATGGCCCTTTTTTAACCAGAGAAACTGATATAGAATCAGGTACCATCTAGTATCAGTTTACCAGTTTCTGAGATTCCAGTTTTGCACTTTATGTTCTGCGTTACATAAGTCTGGGTATTTTATCACTAGGGATTATTCTATCTTTGTTTAAGCCAACCATGCAAATAAATTAAATTTATTATTGGAACAACTAAAATTGAGCGCAATTGTCGTTACACTTTTTAATATCGTTAATTGATTAATTAGAACAAATATTTCAATCTATTTGAAAATTATTAAATTTCATGAACATAACTCTTCCAAAAAAAAAAAATTGTTTTAAATTAGATTTAGATTTTTAAATTATAGAAAAATTACATTGTAAAAATTTTTAAATTATTTAAACTATTAATAAATATTTAAAACATGTCGGGAAATTTTTTTAGAAAATGGCAATTAATGAATATTTTGAAAAATTTTTTGAATATTTGAATATTTTATTTGAATATTTTTGAAAATTTATTGAATATTTAAATATTTTTTATAGGTGAAACAAGCGACACAATCGAATCAAAATCAATTTTAGAGGAAAAGTGAATATTTAAAATATAATTTATATATATATATATATTTATTGATAAAAAAAATAGAAAGAATTTATGAGGGAATTTTAAAAAATCAAACGATTTCCTCAAATATCCAATTTGATAATTGATAATTAAAATTATTTAAATTGATTTGAATTAGTCAAATTTTTTTAGTAAAATAAAATATTTCAAGAAAATTTATTAGTTATTTAATGATGAACGGAATACTGTGCACTAATAATAATTTCGTTCAGAAAAATCGACAAAATTATTTTTCAAAAATAGTTTTAATTGAATTAAAAACTAGTAATTGTTTTTTACTGATGAACTTTTCAATATAATATCAAATCGATAAAATTAACGAATAAATCGAGAAATAAATTATATATTTCTATTAATAAAACGATTTAACTTAAATGAGATTTTATAAATATATTAATATTTTGCATTAAAATGACTTTTATTAATATTATTATCATTGCTGCTGTTACTCTTCTTATCATTATTTATTGTTGTTAATAATAAATAATAATTTATTGTTATTATATCATTATTAATATTGTCATAATTTATCATTATTATTGTTATTATTTATCATTTATCATTATTTATCATTATTGTTAATAATAAATAATAATTTATTGTTATTTACTGTTAATAATTTATTGCTATTTTTACTAATTATTTACTAATTACCATTTTTTACTAATTATTGTTATTTGTTTATTAATTACCATTATTAATTATTTCATTAATTATTATTATTATTACAATTATTAAATTGAAGTAAGGCGAAGAAAAAGCGATCAGTTGAAGAAGAAAATGAAGAAAAGGATTTTGGTTTGCCCAATGAAGTAAGTCCTTGTGATAAATTATATAATCATGGAATTATTGTTATCCACTGATTAATAAATTCGCTGGAAATCATGGAATAATCTTCAATACATTTGCAGGAATTTAATATCGACTCTCTATTTTCGATTTTTGATGAAGTTGCAACCGATAAACAGGCTGAAGCTTTTGATGAATCGTGGATAATGATTGATGCAAAAGATATCACAAGGTAGATAGGCATATGGATTATATTAAAAACATATACCTGTTTTTAAAAATATTTTTAAAAAAAAAAATAGTAGGATAATCTGGCCTAGAAGGAGCTGAGACAACTCTTTAAGCTCTTTTGTGGCAAAGGACCATAGATTAAGGTGATCCACACCACATAGTGAGATTTAAATATAATGAAATATTATAAATTTAAAAATAAATGAAATAATGAAATAATCATTATTTATCATATTGTCAGCTGCAACTGTTAACAGTTAACTGATAACTTTATAGTTGCTCTAAATAATACCAGTCTTTTTTTTTTAAATTCCTTATTTATTTTAGTCCTATAATGATCATAAAAAATGTTGAAGCAGCAAAAGCACTAAATTTAAATATTTCGAAGAAACTTTTTGAGCGACATGAGAAAATCGCTCTTTGGCTTTCGGGTATATGCGCCGATTATGTACCGACAGCAGTTGACGAATTTGATGCGACAGCTTTTCAAGGTTTTGATTTCATAAAGTGGATAATTGCTATTTTATGAAATTTCATAAATTTGAAAAAAATAAGAAAATAATTTATTAAGGTGTTGAAATCGATGGTCCAATTGGAATAAACATAACTGCATTAGAAATTGCTGGAGTTAATTTAACTGAATTGGCTGAAAAGCTTAGAAATGATACAGAAGTCGATGAACTACTAGCAAGAACCACTGATTCGACAAGGTATTTTAATTCATTTATTGAGTGGAATAAAAAAGATTTTAAATGTAACAATTCTAGGACACTTGGAGGATCGTTTATTTTGCCTGTTTTGCAAAAAAACCAATATGATCCATTTTCTGCTCCAATCGTTTTTCAAGGTAGTGCAGTAGTTGTACGATTTGGAATTTACATCGAATCGATGAGCAATTTTCATACTGAAACTATGGTAAATTTTAAGAAAAAAAAAATGCTATAATGTTTGAGTATAAGAGTCGATGACCTAGACGATACCGTGCAAACCTGGCTAAATAAGTGGTCGTCCTGGCTAGATTTGGTTCATTGTCTGTTAGTATAGTTAGAATTTAGCGACATACGTGAGTTGCCAGAAGCATTATTTTGGTTTTTATAATGAAAATTTTGCTCTTATCTTATTCTCTTATTTTATGCAAGAAACAAGAAGATTTAAAGGTAATGAAAGCTAAATTTTTTTAAGGATTACGATATGGATATATATTTAATTATGGCATGGCGTGATGCGCGACTTGTTAATCCATATCAAAAGCCAATTCTCGTAAAAGAAGAGGAAATTTTAGAAAAAATTTGGCGTCCCGATCCATTTTTTGCAAATGCTAAAGAAGCCGAATTTCATGAAGTTACATTCCTGAATTTCTTAATGAGAATTTTCTCGGATGGACTTGTTTTATATGAAACAAGGTCGATGTTTTATATTTTATAAAAATTAGCCTTCGCAAAATTCATTCATTCACTCTTTACGCTATTATAAAGAAAATTAATAAATATTTTTTTTATAAGATATTTAAAATATAACCAAATTAAAATATTAAATTAATTGGCCAAGTACGGCTGAGGACGTTAATATTTTATCAATTGAATCATTTCATTTAGAAAGAATATTTTTGGTAGTTCGGCTATTCCTAGTAATTTGAATTCTTTTTTTATCATTTTGTTGTGATAAAAAAAAATTCTAAACCAGCTGACAAAAATAACTTTAATTATAGAATTAAATTGAAAGCGGCATGTAATCTTGTTCTTTGCAAATATCCACACGATAAGCAAACTTGTGATCTACAGATTAAATCTTGTAAGGGAAACGAATTTGATAATTTTTTTGACTTACTGATATTTTATTTTATCAGCATATACTAATATTTCATTAGTTTTTATCAAATTTTATCAGTCTAAAATAATTTAAAATTGCGATATTATTAATTAAATGAAAATTCAAAAATTTCAATAAATTTTTATAAAGTTGCCTATCCATCAACAACAGTTCATTTCGAATGGTTCACAAATAAGCGTGACGCTATCGATAAAAATCCTGACGTCAAACTTCCTGAGCTATACATCGACAAATATGAACCGGTGAAATGTGAGCGGCGAGTAAGAAAATCCGGTAACACTCAATTAGTTATTCATTGTGAATATTCTTTTTTATAAAAACAAAAATATTTTAGGTGATTTTTCTTGCTTAAGAGCAGTATTTCAATTGAAACGAGATGTTGGATTTCATATTGCACAAACATATATTCCAACTTCTTTGGCACTTATGTTTTCTTGGGTATTTATCATTTATCAGATATCACTTATCATTTTCATAAGAATAAGCATAAGTCTCTTGGAAGTAAATAAAACATTTTATTTAGGCTAAATTCACTTTATTTAAACCTTCTTGTTCCAACCGAATACGCTACAATCGCAAATTATTCTTCTGAGTTCTCAAATGTATTTAATTGACCCTAATTGATTCTTTACTGCTGCTTTGTTTTAGGTAGGTGTATGGTTACCAGAGGAATTTATGGAAGGTCGTATCGGTGTGGCTATTACTGTGTTATTAACTCTATCAACAGAATCTGCTGGAGCTCGAGAACATTTGCCAAGCGTTTCATATCTAAAAGTAAAAATAGAAATTAATTTTGTCGCTAATTTATTCGTTAATTGATTAAAGCCTTTCATCACTAACTGATAAGGTTTTTAATATCATTTGATAAAACATATTTCATTAAAATAGAAAATTCATAAAAAAAATTTTTAAAAAATTAAGATATTTATTTAAAATAAAAAAAATGGGAAAATAAATTTAGGCCATTGACCTATGGTTCGGTTTTATCACTGGATTTGTGTTCTTTACTTTACTACAAACATTATTTGTTATTGGTTTCGATAAACGAGCTGGTCAATTGGTAAATCATTCCAAAATCAAATCTCATAATTTTCTTTAGCATATTTGAATAAATAATTAAAATAATTAAAATTTTTATAAAATTTCGCTTATAGCGCAAATGGGCCAACAAAGAAGATCTAAACGTATCGCAAAAAGCCCGAGATATTCTTATGGAGAAAGCTCAGCGATACCATAAAACCGGAAGGTGACAAATCTTAAAATTTCTCAATATCACATTTTTATCAATTCTTATTTAATATCAATTTTGTCAAAAATTCAAAAATTTGCTTTCGATTTTTTAAAATATAATAAACAATATCTAATACTTAATAATAATATATAAATATCTAAACAATATCTAAATATAATAAATGATAAAATATAAATAAACGATAATAGAATTAATCAATTGCGGGAAAATTTTATCATTTTAGCGCTTATCAGCAAAAAATAAATTTGCTACTTTTAGATACTTGGACAATTTTTGCCGTGTCTTTTATCCTCTTACATTTACTGTTTTTTTAATTATGTATTATTTTGTATATACAGAAGGAGCTCAAGATGATTGTATCGCAGCCCGATGACCAATTATTTGTATTTTTTGCTATTAGATAAAATATTTTTTTAAAAATCTTATGGTTTCAATTTTACATACTCTAGCAATTTTAAAACAACATTCACTCAGACTTATTTTTTTCACATCAACAAATGTCAATAGATTTTCATAAATTTCATATTATTTTTAATCATTTTCAATTTTCCTAGGGTTTTTTATCTCGATTTTCGAAATCTTAACTGATCATTTATTCCAGAAATTCCTTAATTTCGATTCAAATAGATAGACTAAAGAAGATGTTAAAAACAATAAAATAAGTGAATCAAAAGAATTTAACTAACTTGAATTTCAAAGAATTTTGACAGAATTCAAAAAAATTTATGATGAACACTGAAAAGATCTCCAACATTGCAAAATAACAACAAAAAAGCGATAAGACTTGAATAACATGAAACGCGGCAGGTATAAATGAGGTAAAATTGGAGTCATAAAATAGTAAATTTTAAAAGATGATCTTGCCAAGACAATGAGACAAATATTTTACAGAAGGAACGATAAATTTTGATAAAACAAGAAAAAAAAAGATGCTACTAAAGTCGCAGATCAGAGTTGATTACCATCACAACATGCAGCTTACCTAACAATCATTTCCTAGCCCAGTTTTTTGCATAAAAAATAGAGCAGCACACTAGAATAACTAAAATAAAATACCTTGAAAATTTTTTATATGTTGATGGGAATTAAAAGAGAAAGCATTAGATAAAAACGAAGTTCACTACAATCTTTGGATGAAAATATTCAACCATAATAAAGCTATATTCAAACTATAATACATTGAAAAGGATTCCTGTCGAATCAATCGCTTGTGGCGCAAGCAATATTTCTTCCTTCATCATCGATGACCTCAAATTCAGTTTCACTAGCTGCACTACCTCTATTCGACTGATCGATAACAGAATTAGGTGTATTTGGTGGTTGCATTCCCTAGAATAAAATAAAGAAATCTTTAAAAATATCGATAATTTAACCCATTTTTTCTTTTTATATTTTATTCCTCTAATTGATTAACAAATAAACCTATGAAAGTAAACAATTTTCTTTGTTTTTTTAAAATATAGTTCCATTTTTTAATTCATTTATAATTATAATTCAATAAAATTTATATAAACTTTATTATAATAATTTTATTAAAGTTAATAATGATTTTATTAAATTAATTTTATTAAGTTTAATAAAATTCCCATACATTATTGCGAGAATAAATGTTTGAAAATTTATGAATGAGCTGATAAATAAAGAAAATTTACCCGAATATCATCATCAATTAACCGTGGATTTGTTAAAACAGATGAAACTGCATATGGTCTTTTTAAATAAGGAATCTCACCAACCGATGACGGCATAGTTGAAGCAATGATATCCGGTGCAATCACTGATGCGTAATCGTTTACCTAAAAATATATGGTAGCTAAATTTAAGTTAAGAAACATCGATTCATAAAAAACATCGATTCATTATGGGACTGAAAAACGCAGACCATAAAACTATCGCAATCCTTTCTTTTGAATGAAGAGCCATTTGACAGCGCGGAGAGAGGCCACGGTTCATCCAAAGTTATATTTTTTTTAGTATATGTGAAATTACCAAGATTATTGGAATTGCGAAGACCAAATCTAGGAATCTGTGAAGTAGGAGAACCTACATAAGTGATTTCTGTAGTTGCTTCCGGCCCTGTCTTACAATTAGAACCTGTCTGCACACCAATTTTTGTCGACAATATTGATTCTAAAATTTCATGAAAAAGGAAAAAATAAATATACAAATATAAATAAATATATAATATATAAAATATATAAAATATATGTAATATAAAATTTTATATAAATATATAAAAATAAATATAAATAAATAAATATAAATAAAGATACAAATTTTTAGCACAAATAGATCATATGTATGGACCATACTCTCTATCTTTAAGTGTGGAAATCCCTTGATTTCCAATTTTTTTTCGCAACATCTCCATCCATCAAATTTCTACCACTCCCTTTTAAAAACCTTCTCTTTGTAACTTTCCAATACCCCCGACCATCATCGTATCATACTTTGTCATCAAAACATCTAGGGAGGAGGCAACTTAAGAACAAATTATACATGATGAAGAAGTTTAGAGACTCTATAAGGAAAGAGAGGAGTTTTAGGCCTATTGGAGGAATACTTAACAAGAGGATATTTAATAAGTAAATTTGATGCTACATAACAGCCTAGAAGATATAGTTTTATTTTCAAAACATTATAACAGCCATGCTTTTATAGCAATTTATGGCCATATTTTTTTCCAAACCATATAATACCTAATTTTAAATTCTTTTAAACTTTTAATTTACCATCAAATATGTAGTAACATTTTTCAGTGAATGTAAGCTTGTTTACAACATGCCGAATATAGCCCTCTGAAAGCAATTTCGAAGCGTAAATCCTCGCACTTTTACGGTCTTTAATGCCTTCGACGTGATCAATAAGCCAGTCTACCAAATCACAACCTTTAATAAAATTTAAAAATGACTGGCAAAATTTATAAAAAAATATTGTAGGAAAAATAAAAGAAATCAATAAATGAAGTAAATTAATTTTAAAATAAGTATACTCACTGTAACGATGTAATGTAAAAAGTAATAAAAAAAGAAAAATGAAAGAATAAATAGAAAAAAATAACAAAAAAAGAATACTCGAATAATTATTACTTATTACCATATCGAGCACCTTTGCAAATAAAAAACAGGTGGTACTCCATCTATAATTTCGCCTCCAAGTCATTCAGCGAATTATCTTACAGATCAGCCAAGGGAAAATATCAAAACAAAGAAAATCAATATTGACCACTTATTTGCTTACTTAGATAAAAGGAAAAGATATATATATAACATCACAGTTCAATTCAAATTTTTATATTTTGTAATATTTTATAACCAAAAATAAAATCAGAATTATCTATAATTTAAATCCATGATTGCATAGTATTTTTTATTCATAAATTCGCTGATAGTCAGATTTTTACCAAAAATAAAGGAACTAACTAATATAGCCACTCTATTAAATAAATTCACTAAGATAAGAAAATAAAAAAGGATTATTGTAATAGGATACATGAAAGAATTATTGTAAAAAGAACAAAAGCAAAAAAATATATATCTGAAATAAGTACATCAAAATTCATTCATTCATTCATTTTAACTTACCAATGAAAGACATTGGTACAGGAATTTTCAACCATTTACGATTTTTTATTTGCAATCCTGAATCAATTCGAGTCATTTGTTTCAATATTATGGAAGGATCCATGCTAACATTAAGACTGTCAATCAACTGCTCTGCAAAATCTTCTAGAATTGAACAATATTTTTAAAAAATAGGAAAAATTTCTACTTTAAAGAAACGAAGAAATTAACCATTTTCTTCATTTTCACGCCTTCTATCAACGTCTTCTGCATTTAATAAATTCGCCTGCACGTCTTGTGGAGCAATATCTTTATTTTTTAGAGAAATTCCATTACGACGCTCTATATAAGCACCTTCCACATCAGTCTCTGTTTCGTTGCCCAAAGGAAAAACTTCATCATCCTTTGTAGACACTGTTTCATCGACGGCAAAAGGTCGAACAGGCTTTACATTACTTTGCCTGCAGAAAAAAAATAAAAATTTGGTAGAAGGAATAAAAAATTCTCGTAAAAAAATGAAAAATGACATACATAAACAATCAAAACAAAAGCTTACTTCGTGCACTCTACCCACAATGAAACATCGATAGGCATCGTTTCTGAAGCCAATCCAGAGAATACATCATGTCGGCTATCCGTGTTACAAGGCCTTTTTGCCAAATATAGTGTGATAGGTCTAAAAAACGAAATCATTGTATTAAATGATTTTGAATTTATTTATTATACAATGAGAAAAAAGAAGTAAATACTTTTTACTTGCTGCTGCTTGTCTTAACAATTGAACGGCTTGTAAATCTGTCAGATTTTCGAAAGAACTACGATTAACTTGTATGATCTGATCACCTACTTCAATCCTTCCATCCAAAGCAACAGCACCTCCTAGAATTTTCACGAAAATAATAATATCAAATTCCATAAAAGATGAAATGATAATATAAAATATTAGAGTGAAGAAAATAGCAGGAAAATCGATAGTGCAACCTTTAATAATATCACTAACGAATATTCCACCATCGTGACTTAAAACAGATATTCCTAGAAACGTCCCACTTTTCATTGGCAATGTTACTACATCAATACGTGGCAATGATAAAGAAGTGATACTGAAAAGTTTTAAAATAAAAATTAAATAAGCAATAAAAAGAGACTTATTTTAAAATAAATATAAATATATATTACAGTTTGCTGCAGTTAATTCAATAAAATTTTTGTCACCAGAAATTAAAAAACTGATATTTTCTACTATAAGAAATTGATAAGGAAAGGAAATCTATTCTATTTAAAGCAAAATTTCATTTATCATTACATTTCTTTATAGAAAAAAGCTCTCATCATTTCTGGTTAATCTAAGCTCCACTTTTCCAGCAGATAAATTTTGTCAAGAAAATATTTGTTAATAGAAGTGCAGGTGAGTCACCGGCACCACCCGTTTTCATTAGTTATATGAGAAAATCACGACAAAAAGAGAAGATAATGCAAAAATACCTGCTTTCACTGACAGAAGAAATTGTGCTAGGAACATAGGTTCTCCTATATCTCTGTTTTCGAGGCTTTCTTCGCCTATAAGCTTTATGATGCAAGACATTTTGTTTAACTGCACCATATGATGAGGAACATGCACCAGAATTCACCGAAAATCTACAACTTCAAAAAATATTATATTATAAAATGTGAAAAGAAAATTACTTGAATTATTGAATTACTCATTAAATCTATAAAACAAATTATTCGTTAAATTTTAAATTTTAAAGCAATACCGAGAATCAATTCGATCTTCAGAATTTGAAGTATAATGATCGGCCAACCTTTCACCTGCACGTTCTAAAACAAAATTTCCCAATGAAAGTTTTGCTCAAATGGTCTTTTTTTTGAAAAAGAAAAACTGTAAAAAAAAACAACGAACTGCTAATAACGGTTGATAGACTGCTAGCTGTTACGCTATTTTCAGTACTTTTTGAAATATAAGCATGAAAATGATTCATACTCGAATCATTTCCAACTGTTTTTTCGGAAGACAAATCGTATAATGACCGTCGTTTTTTCATCATATAATCCTAAAAAATTTTTCAAATAAAAACTATAATTTAAGAAATTTGAGATAAAAAATATATAGAAATAGTAAAAAAAGAATTTAAAAAAAATTTAACAAACGAATACCCGTGAACTGCAACTTGTCGTCTGAAATTCTCGTTGCGCTTTCATATTGCCAATCCTTGGAAGTGTCCCTGCGAAAGCGTGATTTGCGTCAATCGACATTAGCACAAGCTCAATAAGACCATTTGCCGATTTTTCCAATTTAGTTGCATCATCACAAATTTCCACCTTCACTTCACTAAAAAATTTGTCATAATACATATTACTAATAATGTTATATTTCCGCTTCTTCTTCAAAAAGAATTTTTTGAATTGGCTTATTCCTAGTATACTACACACTTTTATCGAAAATCCTTCAGGTATATATTTCGACATATAATTTCTGACATCCTTCAATATTTTTTTTTTTCAAGAGTCCCCTCACCATTACTGGTTAAACTTGCTCTACTGGCTTGTCCCAGGCAATATGCCAGGGAGTTCCTTGGCGATAGAAATACAGGTAAATCGCCAACATCACTCGGATTTTTATACAATTTACTCCTACAGAGAATCGAACCTCAACATCGGCGCTCCCAATTGAAAAAACAACCCACCCCACTAAACCATCTCTAATATTTATTAGCGTTTCAATAAAAAAAAAAAAAAACCTATAATCTTTTCTAAAGCTAATTTCAGAAATAAAATAAAGAAAATTCAACTAACCATCCTATCGTTTCATCCAATTGTTTACAAAAATATTTATATCCTTTTTTTGCGAAAACCTTTTTAAAATCACCAAGTGTTATAAGTTGATCGGATACGGGAATAACAGAAAGATAAGGTGTATTATCATCCAAGTAATAATAAACCTGAAATAGCTCTTTGCACTTTTATAAAAAGAAATTTAAATAAAAGAAAAAAAATAAAATGGTGAAGTGGAAATGAGCCAACGAATTTACAATTCGTATAACTATGGCCAATAATAATTTTTTATTCAATTCAATCAAAGAAGAAATAATAAAAAATTAAAATTGGAAAAAAAAAAAGAGGAAAATTTAGTGGTGCTAATTTATGGAAAAATAAAAAATTTGCAATGAATAAGCAAAATTTTTTCTCAATTTTTACGTCAATTCACGAAAAAAAAAAGGTGGAAGTCTCGCAAAAAAAATTGAATAAATAAACCTTCGTCGATTCCGTCGTACTTGACAAAACCATTCCGAAAATCCCTACTTGGCTTTTAGTGAAAATTATCAATCAACTGGTATCTACTCGGATAAAATTATACATTATTCAAAATATCGTTTTAAGACCTAAAATTTAAAATCTGGTTTTATTTCACCACCAAGTTTCTGAAATTTGCATGATTTTTTATTTCTGATCTAATAAAAGGTGAATTTTAACAATTTTCCTCAGCTTCGCTAAAAGACGGTTATTCTTCCCACTTTTATTTGCTATTTATTATTTAATTGTTTATTTATTTACTTATTTATTATTTATTTTTTACTAATAATAGCAGCAACACAGTATAATATATCACTAACTGGCCGCGCTTGTTGGAAGCTTAAGCTTATTCTATTTATATCCACAAGTGACTCTATGGTGAAAGGGTTCAATTATATTGATAACCTCTCAGGCGGTTCCCTCCTCCCCCCCCCCAGCGATATTGTGCAAATATGATGTAATAAAGTGGTTCCTAGGTTTGCGAATATAAAATTCGAATCGTTTAATGTGAGAAATTGTTGGTCGGGTCGGGCAGCGTACGTACGTGTCGACGTTTCATTATTATATCTGAAAGAACTCGAATCCATCCACTGAAAATTACTTGCCTACTTCAAATAATAGGAGTTGCTTTAATACTCATCGCAATTTATTTCATCCATTTTACTTTTAATCGACGTTTTGAATACGGTGACGGAGTCCGAGTGATTGTGGACCCACCACCCCGTATAGGACTCCTCGAAGGGAAAAATGACTAATTGTGGAACTTGTATGTGCCTCATGTTCAATGCCTTGCATGTCAATTGTCTTCATTCACCACCCTGGGGTGGTAGGGCCGCTCCCGGAGGCAAGTGCAATACCGGGCCGACCCGCAGATGGTGCGGAGCAAGCCCCATCTAACCATCTATGGTTCCAAAAATAGAATAATCTCAAAGTGATCAATAGACCACATATCAGAGATTAAGCTGATAAGAACAGATACTACACTTTGATCTTAGCCAATAGGCCGAGAAGCGATAACGTTATAGCGTTGCTTCGATATATAGAGAAATGCACCTTTGAATTTCAAATCGTTTAGTGCAGACACTGAAAGGAAATCTCTCGTCTGTACCCCGCTTAAACATAAAGAAATGCTATGCATGCGTGATATCAATGAGTGATACCTTGTTTAAATAGTTGAGGTCAAGATTCACAGTGAGGTGAAAGATTGAGGGCCAGAGGAACAAGAGTGGAACAACAATCAAAGTTCTTTGTCCACTCTTTTTGCTAAAGTTTATATAGTTGGAGAAAGAAGATACGCAGACAATGTACCATTTTTTGGTACTTTTATTTTCGAATAAATATGTTATTACAGAAAGAAAGTATAGTGGATCACTTTTGGAGGATATATTTTTTTTCCTAACAACATTCACCTTTCTTAGTTTCGGCTCGCTCCACTGGACCAGAAAAATTTTAGCAACAACGAGTCCGATATTTGGCGATTTACGGTTGATTAAGTGATTAATGGATCAGATTTTATTGATAAATATTTGATCTGTGAATATAGCTTTACTTCTAGTTTGGTTTCTCGATTTACTGACTAATCTGCTAACCGCCATTACTTTCTCTATTTGCGAAAAAAAGTTGAGTAGTTCCCAATAATCATTCTAATTTCAGCCAAAGGCCCTACTCAACCAAAGGCCCTATTATTTATGTTCGCTCATTCTATATAGCGTGTGGCTCACTCTTCGTACTCATAATGGTAGATAGATTATCCATTCTGTCTTCGAGTTGCCAAATGGTTCTACCAAATAACATTTAAAACAATAACCTGTCATATGGTACAGTACACCGAAGAATAGCCCAACGAACAATCACTGCAGGACGGAGAGTGGTAGCCTAGGCTTAGCCTTAAAGCTTAAAAAGCGGAGAGACAAGTGGAGAGACGAGGCTTTTTTTCTAAAAAATGCTGACTGATAAAAATGAACTTTGACCTTTCTGAAATCGATTTTTTCTTTGAAATATATTAAAAAATCGAAAAAAAGTGGCAAAAATACAAATAAATTATAGTCAAAAAATGTATTTTATTGATTTTTTTTTAGATTTTTTAGATAATCGATAGAGATCGCGTGACGTCATTTTCATAAATTTTTCGATGTATTGATTACATCTCTTGTGACGTTATTTTTCCAAAATCTCTATATGTCTGTCTCGAACTATTCATTATCTCCAATTTCTCTAGATCTCTTCAAAGACACACTCTTATATTTCTCTAATTCTCTCACCATATTATAATATTTCCATCGATCACTAAAAATGTGTTTGCAAAATTAGAAAATACCGTAATTCATTTCCTATTTTCTGACCCCAGAGGTCAGTTGTTTGGAGGGTTTTTTGTAATTTTGTAATTTTGTAATAATTTACATTTTTGGTTTTTTTCAAAAAAATTTTAGATTTCCTTTTTTTTAGTGAAAAAATTTCCCAAATTTTTTTTGAAATTTGAATTTTGCAGTTTTTATTTAAATTTTAAATTTATTTTAAAATTATATAAATTATATTTAAATTAATTTTAGGCCAATTTTTTGAGGATTTTTTATATCTTTTTGAAATATACATTTTTTTATATTTTTTATATATTTTTTAATGGATTTATATCCATTTTTAATCTTTTTATTTATAATTTTTTAATTTTCCTTCAATTTCAATCAATTTTAAGTCAGTTTTTCAAAATTTATTATTGTCATTTTTTATTATTTATTTTATCGTTTTCGATTTTTATTTTAAATTTGTATTTTCAAATTAAATTATATTTATATTTAAGTTAAATTTTTTATTTTTTAAATTTTTATATTTTATATTTTTTTTTAAAATTTTACTACTTTTTTAAGATTGAAATTAACAATTGAAATACTCAGAAAATAATTATTCAGAAATACTCAGAAAATTTTAAGGAGAATAAGCATTTTTTTTGCGGACTTTTTTTTATAATTGCGGTATTGCTATTTTATTTCAGGTCATATTGCACAAACGAATCTACCTAGCCACCTAACCTGGAAATGAAGGAATGAGCCGGAAGAGAGAAGTATAGGCAGGCGAGATTCGAGGCGACGCTTTGCCCAACTCAACTCCGACCACTGATGCATATGCGTTGGAGAAAATTGAAAGGAAAATAGAACAATCGAAATCATATCAGTAGGGGTGAATTCTTAAGACATATATGATAAAATATTTTCGATTACCTCCTTTGAAGGCCTTTTTCTCTTTCTCCATGTTTCTTGATATTTTTTGTTGTTGTTCTTCTTCTAACAACTCTCATCATTACTGATTAGGCTGGCTCCGCTGGTAAAACGCCTCCAAGCCGCCCAGGCCGATGGCATCGCTAGTAGTAATAGAAACCATTACTTTTTCAATCGTCTAAGTCCATATATCGCTGGTACCCCATTTTTTTGTTGTATTTATTAATACATTTGTTTTTAATCTTTGTTTTTCGCTAAATAATTGGAAATTATTATTTATAATATATTTGTTTATAATATATTAAATTATCCGTCCAGAGGCGCCTTGGTTTTTTTTTCGTTTGGTATTTCAAACTGTATATGTTTTGTGGTTTAATGGTGTACATAATTTTTTGGTTTGGTGAAACCAAAACTGAAAGGAAAACGATTCACGGTTTTCACGCGAAAGAATAAATGACTTTACTGAATATAAACTGACTATTATTGGAAAAAATAATTATCAGAATGAGGGAATCTTGATATGGTGATTATCAGTTTTTTTCAAATTAATACAAAAATATCCCAAAATAAATTTTATTTACTATATTTATGTAAAGAGTGTAAATTTAGCGCGCTGAAATGCTCAAAGTTATATATTATCATTATATTATCATTATTGTCCACTGTGATATGTGAAAGAAGATCGTATAGAAAATTAAACACAATACTACAGTTGGTACTTCACCCAGGTTATACTTAATATAAATATGAAATATATGTTTTCTTAATTGATGCTAGGAACTCAGGTAAATAAGGTTTAGATTTACTAATCACTACGAAAAATTGCAATATTTCATGTTCTATGTTTTCAGATTTTTCATTTTTTAGGAAACTGGCAAATCTGGATGGAAAAGTTATCCGATAAGAATATATGAAGAATCATGAAAAAATTGTCGAATTTTTTGGTAATTTACTTGAATTGCATTATTTTCCTTATGGAGATTTTGTAGTTTTAAAATTTTTCATTTTGATACATAAAGATTTTGAAATAAATAGTGAGAATTTATGCAGTTCACCTATGGTTTCTTTAATCAAAACAGTGGTACCACTCTCGAATCCTTTCAGGCCACGGTAATTCGACTGAAATTACCACTATCATTCAAAAGAGGCCAGCCACTTGGATTGCTTTAGGCTTCATTAATTTGTTCGAATAGCTTTATATGGAAATCGTTTATTTAGTGGTCAGATATCAGGCAATGATTTTGATAGCGAAGAAAAAAAAGCGTCATTTTCTCCTCTCGGGAAATTAGATAAATCCAGGTAAGTAGGAAAAAACTCAATGATTATTCTTATTCCAGGCGAAAAAAATTTTAATCTGCAAATTTTAAAGTTTTTTTCTGAAATTGCTTTTTTTCGAAATTTTTATTTGTTGAAAGGCAGTTTATAATGATATGATATGTTATCTTATTTTGTAAATTCTAAACTGCTTATTTCTAATTATTTATTTATTTCTAATTTTTTGATAATCTTAAAATTTGATAATTCATTTGTTGATTTTTTGAACAAAATTTTCATTTTATTATTAATATTATTTAATATTATTATTTATTATTTATTATTATTATTTATTATTAATATTATTATTTTTTATTATCATTATTTTTTTATTAAATAATAATTTTTTATTATTCGCCACTCTTTTTTATGAATTTTTTCTAATTTTTCAAAATTTTTAAAGAAATTTAAATATAAAACATTTTTTGAAGCAAGAATTTCCATGAATACTTTAATTTTCACAAATTTAATATATTGTTTTGTATTTTTTTAAATATGTTTTTATTTCTCTTAATTAAATTTTTTTTTAATTTTTTAATTTTTTAGAATTATCATCAACAATAGAAGAATTGCCGATTATGCTACGAATGCAGTTGATTTTCTTCACCCAAATATTGCAACGAAGATCCATGCAAATACTGGAAAAGTACCGTTAATTGTATCAATTTATGGTTTATTTTTTAATTTATATATAATTTTTCTGGTTTTTATGCTTTTTTTTTAGGTCAATTCGAATAAAATTTAATTTTTTTTGAAATTTTTTTTGTTTTTAAAGTCTATATTTATGAATGAATGAATAAAACTATTAAAAATATGTTTTGAAAAAAAAAATTCATCGATTTTAGAGTGGAAGCTGAAATTTGAAATCGGAAATTTTACTATTTGCTGGTTAGACTCGCTTGTCGTACAAGACAAATATGCCAGGAAGTCCTTTGTCAATAGAAGTACAGACGAGTCGCTAACATCACCCGGATTTTCGGATAGGCTTACTCATGCGGAGAGTACATACCAACCTACCTCAGCATCAGCTTTTCATTCCGAATTAAGCAATAACCCACTGAGCTATTTTGTGCCTCCATAAATTTCGATTGCTATTTTATTCGTTAAAAATTTAAAATTGGTAAAATTAGTATATGAAATAGGTTAAAAAGATGAAAAATTTATTATTTTTGTTATTAATTTTTGATAAATTAATAAATTTGTTAAAAATTCATTGCTTCATTTTTTTTTGTTCAAATATTAATTAAAATATTGTTTTTTGTTTAATTAAGTAGTTTAAAATTTTAAAAAAACATAAGATTCCTCCTCTTACATAGAAGTGCTTTTTCATTTTATTTAATTTTAGGATTTGATTTTGTTTTTTTTTGAGCTTTTTTATATTTTTTTTAGGTTTTAATTTATTTTGAATTGTAGATTTTGAGATTTTAATCCCGTTGTTTTTTTTTAAATGTTAATGAGAGCACATTTATTTAAAGTCTTTATTTTATTATTTTATTATGAATATTTATAATTAATGATTGTAAAGTGGTTGAATTTTTGCTAATTTTTTTATAATTTTTCTTTTTGATTAAAGTTATTTTTTATCTATTAAAAAACGCTTATTGGCTATATTTTAGTATTTCAGGTAGTCTTTTATTTTCAGGTTGATTTCACGAACAATACAGAAAAATGGGTATAAAATATTTAAAATAATTAGTAGTTTGAATTATTCTTTAAATATTTCATATATAATTATTTAGTTAAATCGTTTTCGAAATTCGATTTGTTGCGATTTAATAAAAACTATTGATATTGCAAAGTTGATAAATATAGCATTTGGTGTGATCAGCCAAATTTCTTCTAATTTCAAATCCTTTTTTTAGATAATTAAAAAGTAATTAATTATAAAAAAATTAATTTTAAAATAATTTTTATAATTAAATTGCTATAAATTTTACATAAAAATATTAATTTTTGTGGTACAAAAACTTTTGTGGTAGTTCAAACTATTTATATATATTTACAATAGAAATTGTTTATACTACATTATGGTATTCGCTGAACTACCGATTGTTAATGGCTTAACAGTAGCAATAGTAATAGTAATAGTAATAGTAGTAACAATGGTAATAATAATAGCAGTAATAGTAATAATACTAGCAGATGTAGTAGCATAGTATTATTACATATAGTGACAGTAGTATTGCTTTTTCTTGAAATAGTTTAATTAACTTAAATATAATACAGAATTACTACTGTTACTACAGCACTAATTAGATAGATGGTACCATATAGCCGGATTATTATAATACTGAAGATCTTATCTTATAACTCTATGACTTTTTGATCATGAATAATATTTGACCATTTGTGGTAGTTATACAGTTTCAAGTGAGTTTTATAACTTTATAACGGTCATTTTATGTTCAATATGACAATATGAGAAGCTATCATAATCAAATCTTTTTTTTTTTTTTTTAAAGAATCTTCACCATTACTGGTTAAGCTCGTTCCACTGGTTTGTCGCATTATGCCAGGGAGTCCCTTGGCGATACAGAAGAGTCGCCAGTATCACCCGGATTTTTGGGCAGGTTTACTCCTGCGGATCATTAGAATATTATTTATTAGAATATAGTATTGTTGGAATATTAATTATATATTATTTCAATAATATTGATATTTTATTAATTATATTGGAATATTACTAATCATCTTATTATTATTATTATCAATAAATAATATTATTGTTGATTTTTTAATATATATTAAAATAGTAGTTTTATTAGGTATGCTGAAAAATCTCATAAAAAATTAGTAAAAAATTTTTGTAAAAATATTTGATAAAATTCAAAATATCGTGTTATTTCTAGAAATAGTTTAATTAACTTAAACATAATACGGAATTAATTGCTTTTCTTCATTTTTGTGATAACATTTATCATTTCTCGTTCAGTTGGTTTTCGTCCGTTCCATCGATAATGAAATTCTTTTGCCAAAGAGTAATTTTTAATTTGTATGCATAATGGCTTCTGTCCTTAGGTTGCTTTTAATAATGAAAAAAAGCCTTAATTCAGTTCAGCTATAGTGGAAATCACTCGCTTATCACTTATCACTATTAAATTTTTTTAATGATCTTTCATAATAATCAACAATTACTAATAGTAAAAATAATTGTAAATAAAATCTTTTTCAAAATAAATAAAAGACTGAAACCAAATAATTATAAATAAAATATACTTTCCTTTTGTTATATTCTAAAAAAATAGCTATTTTGACTTTTTAATAATTTAATTTAATATTATAATTTAATATTTAATAATTTTTTAATTTTAATATTAATATTAATGCTATAAAATATTACATAATTTATTATAAAAATTTAGATTAAATGATAAATTATTAAAAAATAAATTGCTAATTTCTAATTATTTCTTGTTTTTAATTTAATTTAATCTATTTGAACTACAATTTTGTAATTTTTGCAATTTTTAGAAAAATAATTATAGTTTTCATTTTCAGAATTGAATCATTTTATTTCGATATTTTTTATAAGACATTTTTAAATTTGGAAAATGAATTTTAAAAGGTATGAAATATTTTAAAAAGAATTGATTAAGTATTTTTGAATGTTGAAAATTTATTAAATATTAAATATTAAAAATATTTGTTTTAAAATATTATTTTATGATTCGAAATGAGATTTTGACAAATTTTTACCCTGAAAATTTCTTAAAAATTGGTCTTTTCTCTAAATAATAATAGATATTTTTATTATTTTTGTATTTATTTAATATTTTTGTTGAATTTTTATGATACAAATGGAGTTCAGTCGATAAGCAGGCGGGCATAATTTTTCCTTTACTTTTTCTGCTTGAATAGTACCATAATGGTACCATAAGCGATTTGATAATTTCCTAGTTAAGTGGAAATTGCTTCATTACTATTAATTTTTTTGGTAATCATTCGTGATAATCAACAAACACAACATATTAGCATTAATTCCTAACATCTGAATAAAGAAATTTCAAATTAGTAGCCATTTTAAGTACCAAAATTACTGGCGTTATGCAAAATATGAATATTTTATAATTCAAATTATTTAAGCAAAGCCAATTATTTTAATTAGGAAGTGGAATGGCTTTTTCTTTTTTCACAGCATCGTTGATGCAATCCTCGCGCTAATAAATCTGCCTTTCATGAATCTGGCTACTCATCTATATTTCTTTATTATTTAAGGCTCACTCCTTGGTAAAATTTACTTGATCCGACAATTTGACGGATCGAAAAACCAGAATAACCAGAAATCACTTTAGTTATAAACCATTAGCTAATTCTAATTTCCTGAAATAAAATTCTTAAGGCTTAAACCAGTAATTCGATTACTTACAATTTGTTCGATGCTCACAATAGTTACGAATTTCCCGAGTGGATTTGCGAATTCTTCAATGAATACTGCAGTTGAGGAGTTGAAAAATTTTATCAATAATAGTTATGAAATAAGGTAAAAAATCTATCTTCTAAGATTTTGTACTTTAAAAAAGAAAAAAAAACCCATTCATTTTATATTTCTCTTCTCGCTTAAGTACCATTTTTGATTTCACTAATTCCATTCATAAAGGAGAAAAACGCTTTGCATAAAATACCGTTTGACATTTAGTAAACCTGGTTTTCTCTTCTTCAAATATTCCACATATTCGTTAGAATATAATCATCACGTTTCGAACATTTATAGTTTATCTGATAAATGATAAATGATTGCTATTTTTATAAATGTGTGATTTGTTTGCATGAAAAAAACAATTTTAGTCTTAAACATTATTTTACACTAAATAGAATAGAATAAACCTGATTGATATTTTAATGAAAATATTAAAATGAGAATAAGGATGATCTTTATTTTTATTTATCGTTACAATATTGAAAAGAGTGGAGAACAAGTTTTTTCTTTTCTTTTTTTCAGGAAATGGCCATTAAAAGAAAGTATACAATTGGCTATTCGATCAACGATTTTGAATTGTTGGTATATTTTTCAAATTTTTGGTGCTCTTATTGCACCTACAATTACGGAACGCTATGGACGTAAAAGTGAGTCGTATAATATGATGGTTTTTTTTAAGGCAAAACGATAATGAAATACTCTGCATTAATTATTAACTTAGTGGTTGCAGATTTGAACCAATATCTTAATTCTTCATTCCTGAGGAAGTATATTGGACAATAACATAAGAAAAAAAGGCCAATTGCAGAAGGACCAATTATAATTAGCTAGAATATAAAGTATAGAGTAAAATCCTTAGCTCATTTATTCATATTCATTCTCTTTTTTTTTTCATTTTGTAAACTTTTCGATTTTGGTTTCACAAGGTGCCTTCCAATGTTAAACCTGAAATTAACTCGTTTCCCTTTCCTTTCCATCTGCGAAAACCATTGAGCCCGCTCTGTAAGCGAAATTCCTAACTGCTGATCTGGGTCCTACTTTCTTTTCATGCCATCGATCTTGGTATGTAACGAGGTGTGCGCAATTCTTGTGAATTAGATGGCAAAAAACATGATCTAATCGATGTGTAGTTCTATTATCGATGTATTATGATTTATTGTTCAAGCATGAACTAATCTATTTCATTCGCCTACATCTAGAAATGAATTTCAAGCAATTTAAGGATAGTCCATTCTCATTAGCCGTACTTGCCAGTGGTTTTGATTTCTATAAAAATTTCGAAATGCGAATGAAAGAAAAAATTCATTCTAGATAAGAAAAATGGAGGATCCTAGATGACACCTATTAAGAAAAATGGAGGATCCTAGATGACACCTATTAAGAAAAATGGAGGATCCTAGATACACCTATTAAGAAAAATGGAGGATCCTAGATAACACCTATTAAGAAAAATGGAGGATCCTAGATAACACCTATTAAGAAAAATGGAGGATCCTAGATACACCTATTAAGAAAAATGGAGGATCCTAGATAACACCTATTAAGAAAAATGGAGGATCCTAGATAACACCTATTAAGAAAAATGGAGGATCCTAGATAACACCTATTAAGAAAAGTGGTCAATCCTAGATGACACCTATATGATCTAATGAGCTGGACTTAACATATTATGGTCTATAGCTTACCGAGTTAGAATTAGCTCTCCAATATGTTTATTAGTGCGCCCTGGAAAAATGAAGAGATCAATTTCAACTTTATAAGCCAACATTCTAGCAAATTATCTGATAGATGTCTAAAGTTTTTTTTTTTTTTTCAGTTGCTTATACGATATCAACTTTAGCAATGCTATGCGCATCTATGATCCAGTATATCGCAACAATAACTAAACTTCCCGAACTTTTAATTATCGGTCGATCTCTATGTGCATTTTTCTCTCCCTTAAGTGATATCGCTCTAATACTTTATCTTCAGGTTCAAATTTCCTCTTGCATCTTACAAATATTCCTTTATAATAGATTTTATAATAGATAAGAATTTTTTTTTTTTTATGAGTCCTCACCGTGAGTGGTTAAACTCGCTCCAATCGCTTGTCACATTGAGCAATATGCCATGGAGTCCCTTGACGATACAAATACAGGTGAGTCGCCAGCATCAGCCGGATTCTTATGCAGGTTTACTCCTGCGGGGAATCGAACCTCAGCATCTGCGCTCCCAATCAAGCAATACCCACGAACCATTCTATCCCCCAATAGATAACAATTACAGGCTTTTGTATTAAAGAGTGGTAGTGTAGTTCATTTTTTCAGATTTTAGACTATTTTCAACAGTTCTCAGTTGTAAAACTTTTTCCAATGTTGATCACCATTTTTGTTTTGGCAACCTCGTTGATTACTAATATGTTAATCGTATATTTTCATCATTGAAGAATGAAAATAGGATAGGATAGAACTCCTCTCAGCCAATCCAATTTTACATATAAATGCTATCGAATATTTGCAGGAATGTTCACTTTTAAATCTACGAGGTACAGCTGGTTTTTTCGCAGAAATTGGTTATTCTTCAATGAGTTTACTCGGCTCATTTCTCGGATTGCGTTCAGTGCTTGGCGCTTCTCTCTCAAAACTTCTTGCTGCTTCGATTTTACCAAATATTTTATTTGTTTTATTTATATTAACAATTCCTGAAACACCAAAATATTTAATGAACGTAAAGTAAGCTTAGCTTTATTAAAGAAATATTTTTTTATTGTAATGCATAATATTCCGCAATATTTTACAATAAATGGAAAATAAAAGAATTATAAATTTTCATATTAATAATTGTGATTTTAGAAATGATTATGAAAATGCAATGAAATCTGTTGAATTTTTCTATGGCAAAAATGATGAAAATGCAAAAAATATTTTAAATGAACTAATTGATACTAATGAAAATAAAAAAAATGAAAAAGAAGAGAAAGGCAATTTCAAGGTGAATAAATAGTATTTATTTATTTATTAATATTTTTGTTTATTTTATTTATTATTTATTTACAAATATTTATTTATTTATTTATTAATATTTTTCTTTATTTATTTATAAATATTTATTTGTTTGTTTACAAATATTTATTTATTAATATTTATTTATTTATCTATTCACTCTCTTATAATTATTGTTTTATATCTAAAAATTCATTCAATCCAAAAATTTATACATAAAAAATTTTATATATTTGTCATATTTATGCATAAGAAATAATAAAGTAACGAATCTAATTCAAATTCAAAATATTTAAATTATTTTAGTTTATTTTTTATTTCTATAGATAATTTAATTTGCTAAATAAAACTCTTCTATGTAAATATTTTTTTTATTATTTTATTATTTTTATTATTTTAATAAGTAACGATTTTATGGCAAATTTTGCAAATAATTTTGAAATGCGTGAAAATAATTTTTCATCACTAACTAATTCATGAAATTCGTTTTCTTTCATGTAGAAGAGTAGAAGAAATGCCGAATTATTCTTTTCAAGTTTTTCTTTTCAATAAACCTCGATGAACTTTTCGTAGATATTCATCAAATCACTCATTCGTATTTTTCATAAATTTAGGAAATTTTTACCACATGGAATCTAAGGCAAGCGGTAATATTGGCAACAATGGTTTCTATTCTTGTTATGCCGATTTATCCTATTTTGCAATCCTCAACATATTTTTTTGAAGAAATCAACGTTCGCAGGTATTTTTTTATAATAAAGAATTTTTATAATAAAAAGAATTAATTTAATAATGACTAGCTATTAATAATGAAAAATATATCTCGAACTCTTCTGGATGGTGTTAGCGATTCACTCGTGCTTCTATCTCGTCACTTTCTGATACAGAAGAGCAAACGAGAAGAGATGGCAGAAAGTCCTATTTCCTATCGCTAAAGAATTATATAAGGATAGAAATAAATGCTAAATCAGTCATTCGTAGCTAAATTGAACGAATATTCTAAGTAATCCATTAAGGATGGTAATTGACTTAAAGCCAGCATCATCGAATTTTTCAACAAGTTGATCCCAACGAGGAATAGAACCTCAGATAGGCGCTCCAATCTGAACAACAACCACTAAGCCATATATTATATATATATATATATAGTTTAATAACGAAAAAGTAAAGGTCAAGGGTCAAGTAGAGGTCAAGTCGTTTTTTATAGAATAAATTTATGAATTTGCTATTTTTAGCGATATAGCCGAAATATCATCGACGACTATAATGGTGATTCTTCTTGTAGCTTCCATAATAGGAGTTTCTCTAATTGACCGATTCTCAAGGCGCTCAGTAATTCTTATTTCTGGAGCTGTATCCCATATTTTTCTTCTATTCTTTGTTATCTCATTGTCATTAGTTCATATGCTTGATTGGGGAAAATATGTAAGTATTCTTTGTCTTGCTGGTTGCTGCTTCTCATCAGGGTAAATATTACTTATTACTTAAACTTTATAAAAAAATGAATGAGTATAAGAAATTTTTTTTTAATCAAAAATTTTCGCTAATTTCTTGTCGATTGATCCAAAAAAATATTTAAAAAATTTTCAAAATTTTTTGCTAAAAACATTTTCAAAATTATAGAGTAGCGGTTGGACCCACTTTTTGGTTCATAGGTCCAGAGCTTACACCTCAAGTTCATCGATCTGGAGTTCTTTGTACTCAATTTTTAATTAACAACTTGATGACCGTCATAACTAATTTTTCAGCAGTTTGGTTATTCCAGGTAAATTATTTCTTAATATCGATTAGCGATTATTTTCTTTCACCTTTGGTGAATTTTTCAAATTTTTCATATTTTCAAAAATATGTTATGTATTTACGGTTCCAGCGTGCAGGATTTAGTCTGCCAGCATATTGTGTATATTACCATACATTCTATCTAATGGCCTCTAATTGATTAATCTTCATGAGGATTGTTAGACTTTACTTGCTACTCACTATGCTGCAGGGAATTGCAGATTAACCAATTACAGGTCATTAGGTGCAATATCGACCATTATACCATATTAATATGGATAAGAAAAAGCTCCTTTTATTGGCATATTGGCAAAATATCTTTGTTCATAAATGAGTTATCAGTTCAAGAGGAGAGTTTTCAAAAATCTTATACTTTACTGCTATATTGAAAATCAAGTAACGAAGGAAATTTCTGCCTAAATGTTTACAAAAGATAAAAGCTTACTTGCAAAAACTTTACGGAATCACATGAAACTAGCTTTTTTGTGAATAATCCTAGATTATTATACGACTATAAGACATGGCATATGCAAGTGGAGGATACCAATAAGCTATCCTACCTTTGGCCATTTGTCTCTAAAGTCCATTTAATGTGCTGCTTCCTGGCCATTTAGTTTCTCTTCATTTGAATATCATATCTACATTAATAACATCAAAGAGTCGTCTTCTCTATAAACAATTGTCAAGCCAGGAGGAATAATTAATAACAGCCAGAAAGGATTTCGAACGCCATATATCGACTTAGACAATGCAAAAAAGAGTTGTTTCTATTTTTTTACAAATACCCGCATATTGGATCGTAAAGACTCGGAAATGCAATGCCTCATATCTTTGTAGCTCCGTAGGGCTCTAATTGATAATGAATGGTAGAGCACATTGTACGGATTTTTATTTAATATTATTATATTATTTAATATTATTTAATATTAATAATATTATATTATTAATATTTAATATATGAAATATAATAATTACTTATTAAATAATTACTTATTAAATGAAGTGATAGTCAAATTACGATGAATATAAATTTCAGTTTACTGGTGGCTATATTTTTATTCCAGTTTTTACATTTCCGGCGATATTTGCCCTAATTTATATTTATTTATATTTGCCGGAAACAAAAGGACGTGAAATATCAAATATTATCAAATCGATGCATGCAAAACGATTAAAGGCAAACGAAATTATCGAGTCGTTGTGCATTGAACGCTTAAGAATTCTTAAAAAAATTTTTATTTCAAAATAAATAATTTATTATACTTTAAAATATAAAATAAATGTTTATAGGGCATAAAAAAAATATTCTTTATAACGAATCGACAAATAATAATTTATTATGTATATTTTCCTTTCGTTTATATCTTTTGTGGATTTATTTTACTGATAAAAGATAAAAGATAATTTTATATGGTACTTATTTATCAACCTGGAATCATTTGAAAATTGAAATTTTGAACGCCTAAAACTATCTGAAAATTACAATAAATCGCAACGAAAACAGATGGAACCGCACAAGGCCATATAGCATTTTCTTTTTTCTTTTACTATGAAATCCAAAATCGAAGCTTTCATGATTTCTATGATTTCTACAAATGAACATTCATTTTTATAGATGATTCTTTTATTTAGACTAATGAAAATATATATATATATATATATATGGAAGATGTGGTAACCGGATAATGGCAGCTAGAACTATGTTTTCCAGTTGATGAAATCTTTATGGAATCGTCGCGAAATCACCATAAAGACGAAAATCCGCGTCCATATAGCTGCAGTTTGCTCGATCTTGCTTTATGGCTGCGAAAAATAGCCAGTGATAATGGAAGATATTAAGAAGCTATTAGTCTTTGACCATTCATATTTAAGGTACATTCTACGGATCCACCGAGCTGATAAAATCACACATGATTATATCCACCTCCGCTCAAATATCACCTGCATTAAAAATGCTATCACAAAGCGTCTTCTTCGCTGGTTAGGTTACGTTCTTCGTCGTCCATCACAGGAGTTGAGGCATATTTCGTTATTTGCTAAACAGTGATGACGTCAAAAGCGAGATGGGCCAATCAAGACTTGTATAGGGGAGGCCAGCGATATATGGATTTAGACGATGGAAAAGGGAATAACTTCTATTACTACTAGCGATGGCGTTGGACCGGATAACTTGGAGACGTCTTACTCTTATAGCCAGCGGAGTCAGTGGTGAAAATTGTTAGAAGAAGAAGAATATAGAAGATGTGGTAGTTCAGTGGTGACTCAGTGGGATGTTGTTCAGTTCGGAGTGCCGATGCTGAGGTTCCATTCCCCGCAGGAGTAGACTTGTCCAAAAATTCGGCTGGTGCTGGTGACTTATTTGTACTTTTATCGATCCTTGAGGACTCCCTAGTATATACTACTCCAGTGCGACAAGCCAGAGGAGCGAGTTAAGCATATATTTGTATATATATGGTTGTCAAACCATTTTATTTTCCCTATAGTATGCGTTCTTATAGATCCGGGAAATGAATGAAAGTAAACATCGAAATCTCGAATTTTTGTTATTCCAAATGTGAAAACATGAAGCATCTTAAAATTTCTCAAATTAATATTAAAAATTCATTACTAACCCATTTTAAACAAAAAAATTCTCTTCCTAAAAAACAACCCCCGAGGAGACTTTTCTATTTCAACTGGTTTTTTTTATTTCCTCTCTTAATATGAATTTAATTAAAAGTATAAAAGGCTTCTTCGACCACACGAAATATTTCGAAATATTCATTTCGTTAACAACAAGCCGATTGCTAATCCATTAAAATGATAAACATAAACTCTTCAAAATCAAAACCATGGACTTTTTCGGATTCCATTCCTGTTTTGACAAATCTCGTTCCGTCCTCTTTGCTAGGAACGCAAATGGATCCACTCACATATGCCTACACACCAAAGGTAGATTTCCCAATTAAAAAATAATCTCTAATCTCACCTGCGAGTTTACCTCATATCCCTAATGATTTCAACTGGCTTTTTAAGTAAAAAGCCACTTTTTTTACGAAAGCTTAAAAAAACTTTTATCAATTTCACCTATCAACTTCTTCAATAAAACCGACACAAAAAACTGATTATATTTATTACCAATAGTCGTCAATTTTCATCCTTTCAAAATTTGTTGCTAATCACATTCAAGTGTTTTTATCGAAAAAAAATTTAAGTCAAAACAATCGCCGAATTACAACATCAAAATAAAACAGATTTTTTTAAAAGTATTTTGTAACAAAAGATTACAAAGCACGAAGTTTGCACAAAAAAATTAAAATTAAAAATAAAAAAAGGCCAAAATCCCAGATAATGAGAAACGCCAATTTCGCCCGTTTCGCCCATGTGCTTTGCACTACAATAAATCCAGAATAATCAAAAAAAAGTTAAAAATAAGGAAGACACAAAAAGCAAACAAAAATTCTCGAAAAAAATCCGAAGAACCAAAAAATGAATTAATAAATTAATTTTTTATTTATAATATATAATTTGAAAACGCTATACGGTTGCCACTAATGTAAAATGAGAATCAAATATATTTCCTATATAACGTTCAAGGCAAATATATCACCAAAGCATAACTATTTGCATAAAAATTTCACTTTAATTGAGCAACTCGAAGAGATTTTTGCCTCCAAACGATAATTTACATGATTTTAACGCCTCAATCAAAGATTCCGAATGCAGTTCCTTGATTTCTTCGAATGCCATTCCTAACGAACATACTTGCTTGTCTTTTTCGTATTCAATTTCTGCCTATAAATTTCATTTTTAAAAAAAATAAGATTTCGAAAGTCGCAAAAAATTCGAATCCTTTTTTATAAAAAGGCAAAAAAATAAAAGATGATCGAAATAAAATTGAACTATCATCGATCCAATAACTTATTGTAACAAAAAATTATAAAGCACGAAATGATTAATACCAGATCCAAAACACCAAATAATGAAAATAATGAAAACAAACCAGTCGTTTTAGGACCGAAATTAATAAAGCATCCGGAACTCTGGAGTCTCGATTGGCGTTTTTAAACGCAAGTTCAAAATCTCTTAGAGATGCTCTGGCTCCGCCGAACTGCTCAATATCGCACATAATAGACCAACAGATTATCTCGGCTACCATTTCCCACAGCTTTCCGCACTCATACCATAATTCATTATCCACAGCATACTTGCAAAAATCTGCTATGCTACAACATGCAACAGTGCAAAATGTAAATATATAAAATATATAATACAAAAAAAATAAGGAAAAAAACTTAAAAAATTAAATAGAATTAAATAATAGAGGAAAATGATAATGAAAAAAATTGGCGAAATATCGAAAAAATAAATGTGAAAAAGTTTGTTGAAAAAATACCCTAGTAATGCATCTTTTTTGATATCTGACTTTTGCAAAGATCTACATATTACTTGACCCGTACGCCTCTGATGCCCGACACCAGAAATTTTTTCAACAGCTATTTGCATTATCCATTTAAAAGCTTTCCGAGGTGAGTACGATGTGCATGCGTCATTCACAGAATTAAATGCCTTCAATAAATGGTGTGAAATAACAGCAAAAGCGAAAAGAAAAAAATTTTTCAGATTATAATTTATGGAAAAATCCAAATTATATTTAAATAATCACCATTCGAAAAAAAAACATTTGGAAATAAACAAATAAATTTACCTCTTCTATAGATAAAATATTCTTAAAACATTCCAGTAAATCAGCATGAAGTACTTGAAATCCGCGTTTTTCATTTGCCTCATTATTTTCATTAGTATTACCACACGTCTGCCTTTCTTCTTCAGCAGAACCACCGGCTACAGAGTTCGCATAACCACCGAATCGCTGTGAATCTTTATTCTGCGCTATTGGAAAAACCTGAAATTGTGAAGGAATCGTTTAATCGTTTGACGTATGACAAAAATTTTGCAAACCGATTCAAACAAGTTTAATAATTATATTGTCCTACTGAATCTGAAAATCGAATTTTTCAAATAAAAGGAAACGAACAGAAATGCGCTCATCATTCCTCGAAGATTTTCGTGTTTCCGATGATTCACGACTTCTTGGTCGTGAATTTTCCCGAGTAGGTATTACACCACGCCCGGCACCACGAAGCCCTCCTGCTAAACCACGAGCCTGCACGTTTGTTCGATCGGCTTGTTGACCACCACCACCACTACCACATGAAAAATGAGGCCGACGAGCGCAAAAAGATTGAGGTTGATCCACCTAAAAGCCAGAAAATATGAAAAATATGGAAGCTTCATTGAATTATGTTGAATTATAAGTCCAAAAAATTTCTGTCGACGAAAAATTAGACAAAACATTCTATTCATTATATACGTCTTGTAAACCAACACTATTAAGGGATTGATTCTTTCTGCTAATCGTGCTAGTCACTAAATTCGCAGCACCAGCTGCTCTGGCTTTTTGATCTCGACTAGAATCTGATCCTTTATTGATATAACGCCCATCCTGCGATTGACGTGATATAATCATTGGTTTTTGAATCTGGTTTCGCTTATCTGAGGAAGATCTTCCATCGTAGCGTTTTTTTTCATACTAAATTAAAAATTAACCAGTAATGCCGACAAAAATATTCTTATATTTCTTGCAATATTCACAAGCTAAAGGCAAATTTCCCTAATAAAAAGTTTTTTCCATAAAAAAAAACCTGTTCACGTTGGTATTTATTCAGAAGTTCTTCTCTACGAGCATCATCATGCACCTCTTCAATAGTTTTCGGTCCTTCAGCAGTCCTTCGAGGGGTCCATTTGTTCTAAAAATTTTTCAGTTTTTAAATTAAATTAAAAAATAAAAGTTTTCCCAGCTAAATAAATAATGAAAAATAATAAATAACAAAGTAGCAAAGAAGTGATAACTTTTCTTGTTTCAATAAGATTCATTGTCAAAAAACGAAGACGATTAGAAAATTGATTTTGTTGATTGCAAAGAAAATCTATATAAAGCGATGAATCGAATAAATTTTCGTCATTTTTCTGAGTTTCCCCAGAAGTCGAAGAATTCAGCGCCTCCGCAAGTCGCTTTTCAGCTAGAAGACGATCAGCCTTCGGGCCAACAGTTTCAATCATTCTTATAGCACATTCGACACTCTCTTCGTCTCCATTCTATAATTAAGCAAAAAAAATTTCTAAAAAGTTGAGTTTTTTTGAGCAAAAAACATATGAAAGGAGAAGAGAGAGGATAAAATGGAAGAAAAGTCTGCACTAACTTCCGATTCGGTGTGATTTTTCAACAAATGAATGATGCACCAATTAAGAATTCTTGGTACAATAAGATCATGTCTGAACAACTGGCCCATAAAAGTAATATTTCCAAACATACGTCGACGTTCCTTGGCTTCATTCTCCAGAAATTCTAACATCAGCTCCTTCCTTTTTACTTCCTGAAGATACAAAATACAATCTACAAAATGGCTTATATGAACCTACCAATATCAAAAGAATAATATAAAACTGTGATGCCCACCACCGTAGATGAGAAAAATTGAAAATACATTCAAAAAAAGAATCAAAAGGATTCAAAATAAAAGGAAACAGAAAAAGATTTAATCAATCATAAATAAACGACAGTAATGAAACGAAAACTCAAGGCAGCAAACATACATCTGGTTCTTCTTCGATAGCAATCTTTCTAGTAGCTACTTCGTTTTCACGCTTTGATTCAAATGTGGATTGACAACGTGATAGGATTCCACTGCGGAATCCCGCCGATCCTTTAATAATTTCACCATTTTCATCAAAACGGTCTTTGGCTTCCTCCGAAACTTGTATTTTACATAAATCGCTAAAAAAAAATTCCATCTGTTTCGCGAGATCATTAGACAAATAAAAATAAAAATACAAAAAATGGAGAAATATTAATAATAAAATAATTAGAAAATTAGCTACCTATAAAGTGGGCAAAATTTCGGTTCTTCAACAGCTTTTTCGAATATAATACCTATGACACCATCCATAAAATCTGAATCATCCGTAACACGATGACTAAGAAATTCTTGACTGAGTATGTTAAATGTTGAAGGAGTAATTTTATTTAGAAGTTCACGAATCACCTTCAGCTTTTTCTAAAAATTACGCTGATTTAACAGTTAATTAACAAGTTCATAATTTAAAAAATCCAGCTAGAGAAAATTAAAATCCGAAATAAAAAAATTATATAACTCAAACCAGTAACTTCTCCAAAACAGAAAAAAACAAAATGGACCTGAAGGGGATTGCCAGCGTCAACTCCACGCTTCCAGGCATTTTCAGCTTTATGCAATTCAACTGGTTCACGAGTACGATCAATTGATGGTCGACTGACGGGCCCACTCTGCAATATAATATAACAAAAAATATTCTTTCACTTTCACAATAAAATAACTGCTATAACTAAGTATAACAACCTAAAACACTTATATAAAAAAATACTGCAGCAGAAAAATGACTGACAAAAAATTTCCAAAAGAAAAAATAACATTAAGAACATTATGTTATATAAAAATGTAAATAAAAATTCACTCTTTTTTTCTGACCCGCATGAGTTCGATCACTTAATCGCCCATAATACTGAAATATTTTCATGATAAACAAGTCGAAAAAATTACAAAGCCAAAAAGCCAAAAACATGCATATAATGACGAAAAATAGAAAAAAAAAAAAGTGCACATTACCGGTTTAGCCTTGTTCGAATTTTTATCAGCAGCCCAGCCAGGTATAAAGCCTCTGGTGGCCATTGCAGATGATCCATCATATCGCCGCTACAAAATTACCATAGGTATTATGTATAACACCAATTACAACACCAAAACAAACAACAATAACAAGTGTAAAATAAAAAATTCATAAAATCGATAATGGATTAAAACTATATAAATAAAATAAAAATATAAAAATATGAAAAACACTACATAAACAAAAAATAACACTATATAAAAATGAAAATATGCCTTACTTGTCTTTCACTAGGTATTGCAGGCGCAGAGCCGATATCTATACCTAAGGCTTCAAGTTCTGTCTTAGAAATAGGTGAATGATCGTGTTTTGCTATTTTAAATAAATCACGTATAAGCAATAAAAAATATCGTCCATAAATTTTTTTTTGAATAGATATATCCTAAAGTAAAGATTTATTTAAAAAATGAAATAAAGAATACAACAAAAAATCTAGAAAAAAACACACCGATTCTCGCACTTCAGTTATTTTTTGCAGAAGTTCATTTTGAACTTTCGTCGATGCTTTTTTTTCATTCTCTTCTTCTTCTTTCTCAGTTTCTTCGAGCACAATTTCCACAGCTCGACCGCTGCAAATTATGCTCATAAACCATTTAAATAAGTGTTTTAATCAAAAAATGTAGAACTATTTTAAATAAACTAAAAGAGCAATTAAAAGACAGTACCAGTTGATTACAAAATTAGAATGGAAGAGAAAATAATCAAAAAGAGTGTTTAACGAACGCAGCTGAAGGTGGTTCTATCAGTTCTGAATCCTTCTCCAATTCTTCCTTATTAGGATTTTCGTCAAATGCCATTTCAGCAAAAGAATCAGCAAGTTTATTAATTATTGCATCTTTACCAGGAATAACATCGTCCTTTGTTGAAGTTGAAACGCCCTTATCTATAATATTCCATACAAATCAAATGATCGTCTTAATTCAGTTTAAATTTTAAATTTTAAACCATTTACATTTCCAAATTTATTTTAAAGGAATATAAGCAATAAATCTGAATTTTCAGGAACATGAAACATATTGCATTCAGTGGTGTTTACAAATTGTGTAAATCAAAGTCTTATTAAAGCAAAAAATAAAATACTTTGTTTAATCTTTTCTAATTGCCCAGCGCTCGAAGACTGAGATACTTTTTTCTGTGAAACCTGTAAATGGTTGTTATTCTTTTTATATTTTTGTAAAAAATAGGCAAAAATTTCTCAAAATTATTCGAAATAATGAATGAAAATTAATTCTCAATTTATAAGATTTTGTAATATTTTTCAAAAAAATTTGATTTTAATCAAAGAAAACTATCAGTTACCAAAAACTTTAGAAATTATTGTTTATAAAAGTTGAAAATTAAAATCTGTAATAGATTCAAATAAAATCAAATACCAATAATATCTGGATTTACAGCTGCATAAACAATCATTTTCTATGCATTCAAGAATACAGCAGTTAAAAGGTATTTCTTATATTTCTTACAGTTCTTCAACAATTTCTTAATGTCTTTCCCCCTCCAATATATCTGGCGGTAATAAATTATTCCTGCTCATAATTACATCAACCGTTTAAAAAAGTAATAAACTTATGCTTTTATAGCGAACAACTAATTAAAAAACGAAAATGCTCCGATATCTGTAGTCATATGCAATTTGTATGAGAATGCTCTTCGCAAAATCATACTTTTTGAAGGGAAACATTTTCACTCTGGTGAACCAGAAATTCGAAGAAAGCATGATGGGTTTTTGAAGGATATTAATATTAGGAATGAGATAATTATGAAGAGAGATTAATAATAAAAATAATATTAATAATTATCATAGGAAATTTAAGAAGATCATTAAGTGATTAAAAAAAAGAACGTAGTAAAGTTTTATAGAATTAAAGACGTTAAAGGGATTTCGCGGGTGTGAAAAGTATAACTGGTTTTGGATTATTTGTCAAGCGATATATGGTGCTTAAAATATATTATTGAATTGACGAAATATGACTAGCACAGCCAAGGAAGCGCTCAGGGAACTCAACATGCGATAGGGAGAAATGTGGAATTTGATATATCCTGGACTTTTTCGTACACATATATACATCAACACAAAAAATTACGCAAATACTACGAAATTACGCTCGAAAAAAAAACACGTCAGAATCTCTCGTTTATATCTTTCATATTCTATTAATACTGTGGTATTATCCCCCTTGCACATCAATCCAATCTATTAAATTCAAATCCTTATCATATTCTCTCTCACTAGGTTAATAAGATTATCAATTACAAATAATACTGCTAATCTTTTCTATCATATAATAGAATAAGACTATGCTATGGCTATGATTATTTGTCTACGCCATTATTTGCTTGCTTTTTTCATTGTTTAATTTTTTCATATCGTTGCAAATTTTTAAAAAGTTCAGAAAAAAATTTCGAGAATACTTTACTTACTGTAGAAAGAGAATTGACTGGTGGCGCAGATACTGATGGCCTTGGGATGGCTAAAACTGTTTGTTCACTGACCGATGGAGGTGGCACTGAAGCAGATAACGAAGAAGGAGCCGCTGATTCACCCAAAATGGATTGAGCAACTTTCAAAGAAAATTGTTGGGAAACATTTGAAGATTGTTGGGAACCGATTTCTTTTGCAGGTAATGGTGTAATTCCTGGTTTACTATCTTAAAATTCATAATATCGTCATTTTTCGACTAATTATTAGTCATAAAAACTAAAAAAAAATTAAAAACCTCGATTATCTGAATCCGATTTCCGAAGTTGTTCATTGGTCGATTGAGCACTCTTCGAAGCTGTAATTTCCTTTTCATTTGTAACAACCTTTGTTTCTGGGTCAATGATCCTTAATATTTTTTTCTCTTTCTGAATGTGTGCTGTCGTTGCAGGTGCTGGATTCACCATATGCACCTGTTGTTGCGTATAACGTTGAGTTAAAAAATCGGCTTGCTGACTACTCATAAAATTCGGATTATACTGATTCTGCATGATTCTGAAAAATTAATGATCATAGACATATTTAAAATGAATTTTCTACCAGATTTTTGGAACTTCTAAAAATACATTGAAAAAAAAATAGATTTAGAATACAAAAACAGAAGATAAATAAAAACTTTACCTTTCAAAAAAAAATTCTCTAAATTCTAGAATTCTAGAATAAAATTCTAGAATAAGTTCAAAAAAATGAAATACAGTCCAAAACAAACTGTGTAAAATAAGGCGTTGGATATGCCTGCATATAAGGAACACTGAAAAGATTAGAACCATAAATATGCGACTGGTGGTAAGCAATAGGGGTGGCACTCGCATAATTATTGACCTGTAATCGCATAAACCTTTAACATTTTAATATTTATAAATAAATAAGCTTTCAAATAAAAAAAAAAAAACTATTTACGAATTTTCTCCATTTCTTAGATTTAAAATGGAGACGGAAAAATAATTTTTTATCCAATCAATCAGAAAAACTACCATCGACGATATTAAAGCAAAATACAAACTGTTTTATATAAATTCTTTTATATGAATTCTCTTCAATCGACAAAAGAGTCGAACGAATTATTTAATCACCTGAGTCGAGGAAGTATGAAAATTTTGATTTTGCTGAGTAAAACGATGATGAATTGTAGTCAATTGCGGGTTTCCTTGTGATGGCGTTTCAATTTGAACTTCGCCAGCCGCATACTGCATTACTGGATTACTACACCATGAAAATTGTTTGCATAGAGTAAAAACTTGATAAACTTCAAAAAATACTGTCAATTTTTTTAAAAAATCGTAAAAAAATAAAATTTCTAGAAGATTTCTAAACTTCTAAATTTTGCTTTCAGCAAAAATTTTGATGCAGACTTTGCAATAAAATTACAACAGACTTATATTTGAACAAAAAAATAGAATTACTTCAGCCTTGGTTGATTATATGGCTGTGCGACCATATGACCATTATCAGCAGGATAGCCTAAAGGAGCAGACTGTTGTCTGGCACTTCCATTTGCAATAATATGAGCCATTGGTGGTGGTAAAATAGTCGCTTGATTACCTACTACGGATTGACCACCAAAATCTGAAATAAAACCATACCTTTTAATAGTTTTCAAAAATGAGACTACCAATCTCAATCAAACGATCTCAGCCTAATTATCTACTCTATAAATTATATAAAATACCCATAAATGCAAGTAAATGAAATCAAAAGAACAGTTATTACAGTAATCCTTAACAAATAAAAGTGTTCTATTTTATAGTGAATATTAACTTATTGTACGAAACCTTATAGATTTTTATACTATAAAATCTCAATTTAAAATTCAAAAAAACTTAAAAAATTTCTAATGAAAAATACCGAATAAAAAATTATCCTCTAATTTAATAAAATAAAATTTAATAAAATATCATTATTATTTTTGCAATTCCTTTTTAGCATAAATTAACCGTTAGGTTAAAAGAAATTACCTCCTTGCATAGGACCATTTTTGCGCGTTTTCCCACGTTGATTACTACTTGCCATCGTCTCGTAATTTGTATTATTCTTTCAAGTAATAGAAAATTTTTTACTAAAATTTAAGAAGTTAATAAATAATAGCTTTTAAATTAAAAATTGTTCAATTAATATTCAATTTGAAGCCTAACCTTAAAGCAATATCTGATAATCTTTAAAATACCAAGAACTAACCTTTCTAATTGTAAATACAATAAAACAAATATTTATCATACAAACGAATAATATTTAACGAATACTGAATGAATTATTTTTCTTATCCTTTAATCGCAAAAATTTTTCAATAAAAAATTTCGTAAATGAAGATTTTTTGAAATAACAACTATCTGAAAAGAAATTTAGATTAATTTAGATTTAGAATAAAAAATATTATTAATTAATTTGATTTAATTACACTTCGAATAATAATAAAAACAATTTCAGAAATTTAGAAATGCTTTTTAAAAACTTAAAATGACCCAACCTAACCTATCATTTCAATTTTTTCTTCTCTAAATTAAAACTTTTCTAATATTACATAGGGTCAAAATCCATAAATGTGCAATAATTATAGAAATTAATTAAATCAGAGACTTCAATAAAATAAAGGATAATTAAGAAATATTTGACGATGATACGAAAGATTAAAATTTTGCATAAATTTTTGATTGTATATGGTCGGAATGGATTAATTTAAGGGTCGAAATCAACTTAAGGGTCAAAACTAATTTAGAGGTCAAAATTCATCGAAAACGTTCGACCTATTTCGATTTTTTTTTCCTAAACAAAATTTATTGCGAATTTAAAAATTGCAGATATAAAATAAAACTAATTTTAAAGGATTAATATTAAAACTACAACAAAAAATATCAAAAAAAAAAGAAATTGCGAAAAATACGCAAAGAACAAACGAAACGACTGCTGTACCATCAACAAAAACCATCCCCAATAGTTTAGTTACCTTCTGCCCTATTTTACTATTCGTTTTAGGATACTCAGGAAACGGCACGTTTTTAAATTATTTTCATTCATAGAAGCGCTATATTTTATTTCAATATTACGCGATAATTCGAACATATTTCTATGCTGCGCTACGATCGAAAAATTGCTGAGAATCTATAACGAGTGCATGATATGTGCTGGCACACTTCATGAGATCTAGGATGATATGATAATAATTGAGAGATTATCAGAAAAGAACGAATTTATTGAGATTCAAAATATGAAGGAATTAAAATATTATAGGCGCGAGTTTACAAGGGTATTATTAATTTATTATAGCAATAGTGTAGCATTTGATCATTAAAGGAAAATTGAAGAGTTGGGATAAGCGAATTAAAGAATCAAAGAACTAAAGACGATTATACGACAGTAAACGACGGAATGGTACTACAAATTGACTACAAAGACGATTATACGACAGTAAACGACGGAATGGTACTACAAATTGACTACAAAGACGATTATACGACAGTAAACGACGGAATGGAGAAGCAACAAGAAGGTCATTAAATTGAGTAAAGCTGCAAAAAGCATAGCAACACTTGGCTGAATGTCGAAATAAAATAATACGATTTTATGATTTTAAGGTCACGTTTATAATCAATAAGGTCAACCTAACGAGTGATGTCGAAAGAAGAAGCAATTCTATTCACTGAACCCTGATGCCTTTGTTTTGACGTTTGACGTAACGTTTAACTGTGATATAACTATAATAAAATGAAAACTACTGGATTTCGAAGGGCTAAGCAAATTTAAAATGTTGTCAATGAATGAATGTCTTATTATGACTTATTACTTAAAGGAATATAGTAAGTTGTTTCTAGGTTAGTCGAGGAAATTTCAGGTTTATACAAAGAGAAAATAAGGCCGAAAATTCGCGAACATTGTTACTAATTTTATTACTAATTATTACTAATCTTTAGAGAGTTATAACGAAACAGCACGATGAGGTTTCGGAAACACTATAAGCAAGGTCACCAAACATAATAATAAGAGCATTCAAGTACTACTATATGGGTTCAAAAAAAAAACATGGCTTTGATAGGACTTCAAAGAGGATTTAGAGGAAATTTCTGAAGAATATGCTATTAAAGAACTTCATATAAAGGTTTATAGTACCTAATGAAATATGATAAAAGATTTCTGGAGCATCCAGACAGCATAACAATCTTCCAGAAATTTCTCAGATAGGAAATGCAGGATGCAGAAATTTTAAAAAATCTAAGAGGCAAAAAGATATAGGAATCTGACGGGGTAGAAGAGGGTTAAGACTACTTCTGACAATGTATGGTAAAGGCGGCTTAGACGAGGAATTAAAGAAGATATCGCTAGGCTTATCGCAAAAAGATCGTGGTTTTGGCAATATCAACAATTATAAAAGTATATAGAGGAAGTGATTAAAGGACTAAAATGGTTTTTGGGGAAATTCTGGTCAAAAATATAAGAAGATTTAAATCAAAAAAAAAAAAACTTCGTTATCACCATAAAATAATCGCTTCCAAGTGATAAGATCACGAATAGCTTTTGTGAATTTCGAAGGTCAATTATCATATTATCAATATGTCTCAAGATCATTGGTTATAAAATTGAAAAGAACGACAATTTCGCGAGGACATTCGAATATCCAATTTTAAAGTGGAAACAGTTCGAACCGCTCTTATTGTCATAAAGGCAAAAATATCGCTAGCATAATCAAATTATTTCTAGTCTACGCTTACAATAAATGTCGAAGAGAGATAAAGATTTTCACTCGAAAACGTAAATATGATAAAAATAATAATAATGATAATAATAATAATAATGATAATAATACGTAAATACAAAAGTATTGTAATAATAGCAGTGGTACTGATAATAATAATTGGATGGTACCATGTAGGTGAACTGTGATGGTATTTTAAGATCTTCATAATATAGTTGCAGGTTACAGGTTTATGGAACATGGATCAAAGATATATTACAATTGAAAAATAAAAATTTTTATTAAAAATTAAAGATTTTAAAAAATGAACCATAGACTGTATAAATTAAAACATAAAATAATTGGCGGCCAATCACTTTATTTATCACTTATCACCAAAGAGAGAGATTACAGTTTTTACAGGAAAGTGACATTCGCAATAAATTTCTTTAACAGCAATATATAAAATGATAAGAAGTCGTTGAAAAATTGTTAAAACTTATTTCTATACGCAATTATTATAAAAGAAATAGCAAGCGAGGAGAGGAGGAAGGTGGGAGATGGAGAGGAGGAAATGGGAAAGAACAAATGAGAGAGGGGATAGAAAGGGGAATGTGATAAGTAATGATCAATTCAAAAATCTAGCAAAAATGGGCGGTGCAACCTTTATGAAAATGACGTCTTCGACATAGATCTGTTCTCAACCGACTGGAGGTCTTTCTCTAATTTTTTCTCGTTTTGCTAGGCTTTATTGCTGGGCTTCTGTATTTCCGGGGTTTTTTTCAGGATTTTTTTATTTTATTTATTTTTTATTTATTTATTTATATTATTTATTTATTTATTTTTTATATAAAAAATGTTTAAATCTTTTGAACATTTCGGCACTGTTCTATTAATTTTTCTTAACAAAATTTTTCTATTAATTTAAAAATAATTTAATTATTTCTCTTAAAAATATTTAAAATATAAAAATAAAATTGTTTCTAATATTTTATATTAATTAAATATTATTTAAAAGTAACAAATTTTAATTCATTTTGTATTCGCAAAGTTTTGCGTTAAATTTACGTTAAATTTTTTTTAAATTATTTTTGTTTATTTTAAAAAAAATTATTTAAAATAAATATTTATGTATCAAATATTTATTTATTTTATAAATATTAAATATTTGTCAAAATATTTAAACTATTTATTGATGAAATTTTTAAAAAAAATATTTTTTAAGATATTAAAAAATTTTATATTTGTAAATATTTTTCTTTGAACCTTTGTCTCTTGTATTTGGCTTTTATATTTAGTTTTGGCTGGCCATAAGGCATTTCAAGGCCTTTCCATTTTGCAATGCTAGCATTTCTTTTCAATCCTAGTCTTATTTACGGATTGTTTTAGCTTAATTATTGGTTGCAGTGGGTTGCAATTGTTCAAATTAAAATATTTATATTATAAAATAAAATTAAAATATTTTATAAGCAAATGGAAATAATTATTATTTGAAATCTTTATTATTCTTTAAAATATCTTTTGCACAGTTATTTTTTTAATAATTTATATTTTTATAATATATATATTATAATATAATTTATATTTTTATTATTTAATTTATTTAATTTATTGTTTTGATTTTTAACTATCACTTTTTTGTTTTGTTAACACTTTATTTTCGTTACCACTTTTCGATAATTATCAGTTTGTTTTTTCAATTCGGGGAAGTAAAAAAAATAAACTGGTCTTCGGTTACCATTTCCAGTTGGATTTTCTGCGTTTGATATTAGCACGGTTAAAATTTTTTGCCAGAGGGACGGTAGAAATACAAATGGGTCGCCAGTACCACATAAAATGACGCATTTTTCCTAATTCCTTCTAACAGTAGTGTTGAAAGTTGAACTTATGATGCTCGACACGATTCGAAGCAATATTATTCAGTATAAAAAAATCTTAGCGACAGAAATCTAATATAATTTAAATTTATCGTTAAATACTTGCCTTTTTAAAAAATGCTTTTGAAATTTTATTTTTTTATTTAAAATGATTTTCTTAAATTATATTATTTTATTCATTTTTCTTTTTTTTTTACATTATTTAAGTAGAAAAATTTTTTTTTGAGAATAGGAAATGAAAAAATGGCTTTTCTTGCAGATTCAATTTATTTTCTTGTGTAATAAAGTGGTTTTCTCATGTAATAAAGTGGGACAATGATGATTGCCAAAGATAAATTGATTGAATCACCTCAGCCAATTTTCGATGAAGACCGTGTTGGTTTTAATTTTGCATATATTCCTCGTTTAGCATCTAAAAGCATCTAATCTAAAAGTAAAGTTATTTGGACTGATTTATGCTATTTTCGTAAATTTTAAAATGCGATCTGATCATTTAGGTCAAATCAATTAAATTATTTTTAATTTCAATATAATTGTATCGGCTGTACTGGGCACAAGCAGGGATTGCTATTCTCTGATAAGAATGTTATTAAAAGGAGAGTTTGAACGTCTGAGGGCGTCTTGTGCTCCATTGATATTCTCCAGTGATTGTTTGATTAAAATGGTTTTACATTTAGTGTTATAGTGATCATTTGAGCCAGGCAAATATTTGTTTATTTTGTAATTTTATTGAATGAATTGAGAAAAATTTATTTTTCTTTTTTTAAAATTGCTTTAGTTGTTTCATACAAATTACAGATGTGTAAAATATGTTATTCAGAAGAACCATTAGATGTGTGGTTAACACCTTGTAAATGTACAGGGTCAATTAAATGGGTCCATAAATCTTGTTTAAATTTTTGGATGACAAAAGCGCCATTCCAGCAACAAGTTCGATGTTCATTATGCAGGTTTGGAATTTTTTATAAAAAGTTGTAAAGTCTCGCATTATTACCTTCTACTTTATATTAAATTTGCCATAATTTAATTAAGAATTAATAGTTAAGAATTGCTTTTGCAATTCCTCTTTACCAATTATTCTTTTGTTGATTCTTTAATTTTGCTGATGTTTTTCACTTGAATTCTTTAGCAACTTTAATTTTCACTATCATTATCTTAGCTTCTTTTTATTTTATTCAGTTGGTCAATGTGTTATGCATTGGGCCAAATTAAATTATAGTAGTTTTTAAAAGATTATTTTATATATTTCTCGTGGATATTTTTTAAAAATGCTTTTTTTAAGTTTCAAATATAAAAGAAACTGGAAATTGAAAGAATTGGCGGAATGGTCTCGACCAAATATCAATTTAAATTATATGGATATTGTTCATATAATTTTCGATGTTACCTGTACATATAGACTTATTCAAGGCGTTCTAAATGTTGTTAAAGGTCGTTCTTCTTTTGCGCGGCAATTATGTAATTTCTTTTGTTGGAATACTTTAGTATTTACAGAAATACGCAAAAATTTTTATTTAACAATTATAAGTTCATTAATGCAGTCTATTTTTGAGATTTCCATAGAAAATGTGTAAAATCTATGGAAGAAAATTTTTTTTGGATAAAATTTAAAAAATTATAATTACAATAAATATTAAATTTTTTTTGAAAATTGAGAAGCTTTATAGTAATTTTATAGTAATTCAGTGAAATTTTTATTTATTATGCCTCGCTGTATTGTGAATTTTTATCATTATTGTAATTCAAATAAATTTAGCAATGAAGAAATGTGATATTTTCATTTTCAATTTTTAATATAGATTTTTGCTTGTGACTTTTTCTTATTTATTTTAATTCATCATTATTTAATTATTTTTTTTTCTAAATTTACGAGAATTCTTATTCATGAATATTATTGTTGAATTTTTTTTTTGTTCCTGATTGTAATTTATATTTTTATTTTATTTGATTGTAATTCGCTTATTCATAAATTTTGCTTATAAAATTTTTTAATCAACTATTTACTGCCATATGAAATTATATTGAATTTTTTTTCTAAATTTTGCTGATAAATTACTGATAAAGAATTCCCATGAAAAATGTGAAAATTATTGAAATTTTTTGCATATTTTTATATATTAGGGTATGGTTTCTGCTCTCTTATCGTGAATCACGTTTGTTGTTTCGAATGTCAACATGGAAATCCTATTTCTCTTCGTAAGTTTTTCACTAAAGGCTTCTTATAGCTTTCTATCCAAGTTTTGTGATCAGTGAAGACAGCCAAGTAATGATTATTATATTGTTATGTTAGAAAGTGAACGATGGAAATGAGTTATAAAATTATTATTTCTAAATGGTTTTATCTTTTATAGTTTTAAATTTAGTAAAAATATTTTATAAATTTTTCTTCGAAACAAGAAAATGTTATTTATTAAATAAAATTTTGGCATATTTTTGAATATAATAGAATATTATTAAAATTATTAAAAATACATTGTTTCTAATTTAGACTTTTTTAAAAAAAAGTAATAAATAAATAATAAATAAATAATAATTATTAATAATAAATATAAAAGTCAGTGAAAAATTATTCAATTATATAAAAATCGTAATATCCATTTTTTTAAAATAATATTGATAATTACGATTTAATTTAATAATTACAATTTAATAATAATAGGTTTAAAAAATGACGGCGATAATATTTTTAAAATTTTTTTTATTTTTTTATAAAATAATTAATATTTAAGAAAAATGTTCGATGAAATAAAGGAATTGTTCTTAAAGAAATTATTAGAATTTATTGTTTGGATATTAAATGATCCTAAAGAATTATTTAATTTGTTTTCATTATTTTTTATTCCATTTTTAATAATTTGTGCTATTTTTTCATGGAAATTACGCAATGCGATTCTTCAACAAAAAGTAAATTTTTTTCTATTTTTATTATTTTTTCAAAAATAAAATTTTTATCTTTTCGAATGAAATGAATAAGTGATTGATTTAAAGTAAGGTAAATATTACCACTTTGCGTTTAGTTTATTGAGTGTAAAGCAACCAAATTCGGTTTGGTGCAGAATGGCTCAGTGAGTTGTCAGCCAATCGATGATCGAACACTGAGGTTCTATTCTCCGCAGGGGCAAAACTGTCCAAAAATCAGAGATGACGGGTGCTAATCTTTATTATTTCTAATGCGAATAACATCTTTGCCATATTTATCTACTGTAATAAGCTAGCGATGAGAATTCAAACAGTAAATGCTAGCAAGCGAAATTAACCAAACCTGAATGGTTGGAAAGATATTTGAATAGTCGAGAAGACTAAATGGTTCATTTCTAAAGGGATTTAGAAACCCACAAAGGTGATTTAAAAAGAACCATTTATTCGAGAAATAAAAAATGCAAAATTTTATTCATGTTTGAGAATTACTTTTATTTTTGCTAGAAATTTTTGATTTCTATTTTTTGACCAACTTACTTGTTTGTTTTTTATCACTAAATACTTTCCTTATCAAACTAGTTTTAGGATGAACGAAAGCGAATTTGTTCAATAAACGAAAAAAGAAATCGAAAGATGAAGAAGAAATAATTTTTGATGATAGTGATAATAAATTGACAACATTGCTATTTGTGGTGACATTGTGCATTTTATCATTGTTGAAATTTTTCTAGCTTTTTTTCTTTTTCTTAAAAAAATTTTTATCGAAAATATAATTGCAACAAATGATAATTGATAAATTATTTAACATAGATTGTATTGGCTGATATGAATGAAAAAAAACGAACGAGTTGTGATATAAATGATGGCATTGCTTATAATAAAAAGGTGAAATTTCTTTTTTTTTTAGATAAATTTTTCATATAAATTTGTTGAAATCAATTGAAAACATAGCTTCAGACAAATTAATTATTTTCATTATTTTATTCATTTAAATAGGTTTCAATTTCGATTTTTTTTTCGCATAAATTTTTATAAATTTCCAAAATTTTTTAGAATTTATTTTTTTAATTTAATGTATATATGTATATAATTTAAAATAGCGAACTATTTCAGTTAATTTTCAATGAATAATTTAAATTTTTCAATTTTTTAATTAATTTTTTCTGGAAAAAAAGTGGGAAAAAAAATGAATAAATTACATAAATAGATTAATATTAATATAGATTAATAAATTAGATAAATAAATAAATTAAAAAATAAATGAATTGGAATGGATCGTGGAAAAATAAAAATTAATCACAAAAAATTAATATTGCAATTTTTAATTAGTGCGAAATATAAATTGAAATGAGAAGCATCGAAATGATTATTGTTGAAGTCGAGTATTTGAAATGATTTACTTTAGTTATCATCATTATTGTCCCATACATATGGTACTTTAGCTATTTTATTAGAAGTTAGGAGGTTGAGATGCATGAAAATCCATCTATCATATATATTCTTAAGTCTCATCGTAAATAGTCAAAAATTCGTCAAATCAAAAATTAGATTTAATGGTACTTACTAATTATCGTTTCATATATATGTATATATGTATTAGTAATATGTATATATGTATTAGTAATTATAGGTCATGAAATTTTATGAATCGTTTCATCTGAATGAAAAAGAAGATGAAATAAATATGAATATCACTGATATTCCAAATGGTACGCTTTTTTTATACCTACCTAATATACCTTTAACACTTGTTTTTTTTTGGGAGGAGGGGGGGAGGGAAATTGTTAAATTATTAAAATATAATCCCAAAATATAAAGAATATAAAGAATAGAAATTCTTCATTTCATGATTATTACTAAAAAATTTTATCTGAAATTTTTAATTTATTTCTTAATATTTTTAAAAAATTTCTCTTTATTATAGGCGAAATATTTATTAATTTTCATATATTTTAATTATTTTCGTGAAAAACATGCAAAAATTTTTTGATTTTATCAGTAGAAATTAAATTTTATATTCATTTAAATTGAATAATTGAAAATAATAAAATGCTTTGGTCCATGATAAGGGAGAATAAGAGGGGAAAATATAATCCAGGTTATATCTATTCAGAAAAATTATTGTCTATTTTGAAGGAGAAAATATAGTAGAATTAGAGGATCCGATGTGCGATCCGTTAAAACCACGAAAAATTCAATTTTCTGATATATCAGCTGCTGCTTTTAATATTCGTAAAGCTGTCTTAATGACTCCATGTACCGTACGTTATCTTATCTTATCAATTTCTCGTTTGTTTAAAGTTAGAAAAGAAAATTGCGTCATATATATATATATCTAAAATATATGTGATAAACATAAAAGATACTAAGGGCTGTGATCCCTAAACTTAAAAAAAATTATTAATAGATTCCAGGAACAATATCAGAGATCTTCGCCCAGAAGAGCGCACTGTTAGGTAGGCTTAGGATATTACGCAGAATATTGCTGTCATATTTCTGTTAGAGAAACCGAAGTGGCCCATATCACACATAGAAACGGATTTTTTAAAACCTTTTGAATAGATTCATTTCTTTTTAAAATATTATTTGAAAAAAAATTAATATTATTGTATATACTATATAATAATGGGGATAGAATGGCTCAGTGAGTTGTTGCTCAATCGGGAGTGTCGATGCTGAGGTTCGATTCCCCGCAAGAGTAAACCTGTACAAAAATCTGGGTGATAGTGATGCTGGCGACTCATCTGTATTTCTATTGTCAAGGGGCTCCTTGGCATATTGCTCAATTGTGACATGCCAGTGGAGCGAGTTTAACCAATAATGGTGAGGGCTCTTAAAAAAAAAAAAAAAAATTATATAATATTATTTTAAAAAAAGTGAAAAATTTTCATTTAAATTAGTTTTCACGACATTCATTTGATATTTTTTGGTATTTATTTGTGATTTTTCATTTTTCATTTTATTTTTCATTTGAGATTTTTTCCAGCGTTCACATCAACTTTCAAAACTTTTAAAAACTGAAATTTATTTTAAAAAAGAATTTTTGCAAGTGACGGGAAGTTTTAAAGAAAGAGGTGCACGGAACGCTCTTATCAAACTAACAAAGGTGCCATTTTTATTTTTTTATACTTTGAAACAGCTATTTTTTTAAGAAAAAAATTTATTTTCTTTTGTAAAATTATTGACAAATTGAAAAAAATTCCGAAATATAAAAAAAAATTTGGTTAATGGCTTATAGGTACTGTAATTTAATCGTTAATTGTCTTATCACCGTTGGTGTTCTTTCATTTCTTTATTTTTTATCAGCAAAAAAAAATGAATTTTTTTTTTTAAGGAAGAGAAGATCAATGGTGTAATAGCTGCATCGGCTGGAAATCATGCATTAGCACTTTGTTATCATGGTGAAATCTTAAATATCCCAGTTACAGTTGTTATGCCAGTAACTGCACCGCTTATGAAGATAACTTTATGTCGATCATTTGGTGCAAATATTGTTCTTGATGGCGAAAATTTGTCGAAGGTTTCAAGAAATTTTCAATTTTACCTAATTTTTTAATAATTTATTTTATTTATAATTTTCATTTTTTTTAGCATTTTAAAGCTTAAATTAATTTTTAGTTTTTTTTCATAGATATTACAACATATTTCGATTATTTCCCAAACATTCCTAATTAATAATAATTCGATTGATTTTATTTGTATTATATTAGTAAATTTATTTTAAGGCTAAAGCAACTGCGATGAAATTAGCAAAGGAAAATAATTTAAAATACATAAATGGCTATGATCATCCGGATATTATCGCTGGGCAAGGGACTATTGGTTTAGAAGTTTTAGAACAGGTTTTTTTTTGTTTAAATTAGCTGAAACAGGAAACTAGTTACTGCAAAATTGCAAATGGAGGCCAAAAAAAACTATTAGTTTTAAACAAAATTATATTAAAAATTATATTAAATATTTATTTCAAAATATTTATATATAATTTTATATTTTATTTTATAATATATTATATTTATATATAATATAAATATTTCGAAATTATTATATTAAATATTTATTTATTTATTAAGGTGGAAAATGTGGATGCAATAATTGTACCAACTGGTGGTGGTGGTCTTATTTCTGGAATTGCGCTTGCTGTTAAGACTTTGAACCCTCATATAACTGTTGTGGTATGATTTATTTGTTATTCATCCAACTTGAGATTGATTACTTTCATTATTACTTTTATTTTTTAAGAAAAAAAAAGAAACAATAAGATGCTAATATATTATAGGGAGTAGAGGCTGAAACTTGTCCTTCATTTAAGCGATCGTTGGAAGCTGGTACAATAATCGAAACTAAAGCTGCTTCCACCTTAGCAGATGGTAAATAATTTTCTCATTGTGAAATTATTGTTATCTCATTTAAATCTTAAATTTTATGGTGATCTTTCAGATTTTTCAAAATAAAAGCTCTCAATCTAGGAATCATGGAATTGGATCCGGAAAAATTTTCTGCAAAGAACAGTAGCGAAAAAAATATTAGCCTTATTACCAATCACCAATATATAGCATAGATAAGATGATAATATCTTTCCTATAAAAAGATGTAGATTTTAAAATTTTACTGTTATATATTTTCTTCCTTCAAAATTCTTCTAAAATTTTACATTTCAAAAATTCTACATTTGATAATATATTTTAAGCAAATTATCATAATTTAGGCTTAGCTGTGCCATTGATAGGTGGAAATGCAATGGCTACTGCTCAAGGTTTTATCGATCAAATGGTTACGGTTACCGAAAAAAATACGGCTCTTGCAATTTTGCGTTTATTGGAAATGGAAAAAGCCGTTGTTGAAGGAGCTGGAGCAGTTGGATTAGCCGCATTCATCGAGCATAAATTACCACAACTTGTTGGAAAAAGGTCTGATTTTCTTAAATTTCATAAACGAGTAATCGATTTCATGAGAGGTCTGTGAAATTTCTATGAGAGATGATAGTATTTATTCACTAATAAAAATTATTTTAGAGTTGTCATAATTCTTTCCGGAGGAAATATTGATACAACAGTTTTGGGTCGAACAATTGAACGTGGTCTTGCGGCTGATTCGCGACTTGTACATTTCGATGTTCTCATTTCTGATCGACCTGGTGGTAAAAATTTTTTATTTGTTATAAAATATGTCACATATGAGTTGTTTCAAATAAGAGTGATAAGATTTAATAAGTAATAAGAGTGATAAGTTTTCGATTCTAGTTTTTCTTAATGCTATGATTATATTTTCATGAAATAAATTGTTTTTTTCTTGATATATTAAATTACCTGCTTCAGTTTCTCGTTTTTCTTTAAGGTATTGCTGAACTAGCGACATTATTATCGCATCAAGGAGTCAGTATAAAGGATATATTTCATGAGAGAGCTTGGATATCGAAGGATGTTTTTAGTGTTCGAATTCGTGCTATAGTTGAAACTCGCGATAATGATCATGCACACCTCTTGGAATCTGCTCTTAAGGAGCGCTACAAAGATGTCAATTTTTCCGATTTTATTGAAATCTGAAAATCCACAAAACGATTTCGAAAAAATTCTTACATCTCTCCTTTAATATTTTAAAATCTTATAAGCGCTACCTAAAATTTCCTCAAGTACAACGTTATTTTTACTCCTCTTACAATAGCTCAAACTATCCTTCATTAATATTCGCGCAAAAATAGTCTCACACCTGTCCTTTTTATATTTCCTTTATATTCTTGCAAATCCTTCCAATACTTTTTTTAAGTTCCACTAATTTTCCGTACCAAATTTTCCATTGTAATATCTTCTATTTTTCTTATAATTTATTTCTTCAATACAAGATATATAATAATTAATTTCAAATAGTTGAACAGTTGATCTTTGATTAGCGATTTGTACTTCTCTTCTTCTCGTCTCCGATCGACCTGGTAGATTTTTTATTTTCAGGGTAACTTTTTTTTTGTTCAGTCTTTTTTTACTTCTTACTGAAATATAAATTAGAAGGATTTTACTGGATTGTGAAATTTTTATGTTTTTTTTTTTTCATTTCACATCTCAATTAATTAAGAATCCAAACTGGTTCCACTTCTAATTTGTCAGCCGTTAAACAAGTGTTTTGTGCCATAATTTATAGTTAATCTTTTTCTTTTGTCGTTCTCATTTTCATGCAAAATTTTCGTAGAAACCAAACATTATCGTTTAAAAAAAAATTTTTTTTGTTCTAAAAATACTTTTCATTTCCGATTGGACTTAGTCACACCTCCGAGTAGACAAATTTTACCCGCAAGTCATTTGGCAATAAAAGGTAATGTGGGTCGTTGGCATCAACCGGATTTTTAAAAGACAGGTTTATTTCATGTCGAGAATGAAAACCAAGCATCTGAAAAAAAATCGTTAACGGTCTCATGTTGTAACAATTAGGTAATTTAAGTTTTTATTAAAATTTACAATGATATAAGTTTTGAAGAAAAATTCAAGGAATAAAAATAAGATATAATTCCAAGTTCAAGTTCAAGTCTAAACTTACGCTAGCTCAAAGAAGAGAAAAATGATGCATGAAAATGCAATTTTTTAAATTTTCGCATGAGTAAAATGATAATATACGCATATACGCATATAAAGTGTACATAATCAAGTAGGTAATTGATATAGGAATATTTGTTCACTGTATGGTTTAAATCGGCCCTAGGCCAGATCCCCCTTAGGGAGTAATAGGGCTAAAATCCAAATGAGACTTCTCCGTAAGACAGACACATAAGTAGTGGTCGATGAACCAAAAAACAGCATTGGTGATGATAAGAATTCCAACGTAAAGAAATAATATGAAATATCAGCAGTTGAAAGTGGAACTAGAGAAGATGTAGAAAATAGTAGTTCTGTAGTAATAGGAGCACTAAGATCGCTATAATTCCTAAACTAAAAAATGGTTCCAGCAATAACATCAGAGATCTCTATCGAGAAGAGCGTACTGTTAGGAGCAGTTAAGATATTGCGCAGAACTCTGACAGACTTCTCAGACCTCTTGCAGAGGATCTGAGTTTGAGAATGATCGTCTATCATTACCTGCAGGGAATGAAAAGGCACTACTTTTACATATATATATGCAACTAATTTTTGGCCATAAATAAATTTTTAATAAATATTTTAATAAAATATTATTTTTAATATTATTTAATAAAATATTATTTAATATTATTTTTAATAAAATTTCATAAAAATACAAATGAAAAACTAATGCTCTTCTAGTAATTTTCAAAAAAAAAATTCATAACAAATTTCATCAAAATTCATAACAAATTTCGAAATATTGTATTTTTTAAAACTAATTAATAATAATAATTATTTATTAAATTATTATTTAAATGTATCGTTTTGACAGTTTGATAATTTAGCAAATCTTTTTTTTTTTCATTGTATTAATATGTATAAATATAAATATTTTGTAAAAGAATTTAAATTTTTAAATTCACTAAAATGATTGATTCTATTACGAAGAAGAATCTTTATATATTTTTGTATTTTTGCTATAAAATTTTTCACCTATCAAAAATTCATTCATCGATAGAGATTAGCAAAAGAGACCACAAATAAGAGATAAAAGCTGAGTCTGTATAGAAATTTGTGACAGGTTTACGAAATAATCTCCGTTATTAGCAAAATAATAAATACAAGTTCATATGGTTCAATATACATTCAACTCGTCATGACAATTTACTGATAACAATGATAATAGTGGCTTAGGCTTTAATGACGCTATATGAAACCACTCGCATAGTAGGATAATATTAGGTTTTACAGAAGCCAATTCATAACAATATTTGGCTTTTAAAAAAATGATATAATCAGTTTGCAAAGATAATATTCTGGTAGTAATTTGCGAAAGAACTAGCTTTTTATATGCTAATATTTCTTAATAGTACTGATTATCACTGATAGTACTGATGATTATTATTAGAACGAATTTTACACTATCAGTTCCAGTTTGGGAAAATTTACTACAAAAAATTAATAAAATCCAATTGAAATTTCTTTTGGCTTGAAATGAATGCTTGACAAATAAATGAAAAATGAAATTTTCTAAAAATAAAGATAAAAATTTTATTAAAGAGAAGACGCGACAATTTTTAAATTATTTCGAACTTTAATCTATTTATAAATTTATTGATTAATGATAATGATAAATTAAGAAGACTGATAAATTTAACGATCTTTTTGATAGTACCGGTTTTTTTTCTAATGAAAAATTTTCAATTTACATTTGAATCTATCAATAATATATATATATATATATATAAAATACATGGTAGACTTTTTCTTCCAGGTTAGAGGTCATTGCTTCTAGGACCCCAATCACCACTGAGATTATTTTGGCCCTTATTTTCCACATCTTTCATCACATCGTTTTTCTCCAACTTCTTATTCTTCCTAATGTATTCTAATATATTCTTTCTTCCTAATGTTCCTATCACTTGATATTGCTATTTTTATCACCAGTGTTGATTTTTGGTTCTTGTTTGCTATCACGATATCATGATTGATTAGCCAGTATTTGTTTGTATGTTTGGATGAGGAAGTCCCACAGGATTTTGGTTTTATTGTTCTGCATAATTTTGTGGGGAATCTCTCAATTGTCCTTGTATTGATGCAAATATTCCTATAACTAATTACTTGATTACTTGGTTATTCCTTTAGAGTATTCATCCAGTTATGTAAACTGTTCCTACTTGCATCTTTCAATTTGCCACTATACACTGGACAGTTTCTGAAGCTTTTCTGCATAATTCGGTAAATCCTTGCTTCGATGTAGTTGGTGCTTGGCACTTGTTTTTGTGCTATGATTTACGCCTCAATGCTACCTTTTAGTCCAACTTTTCCAACCACTGGTTTTTTAATATAAGCCACCTCAATTATTTGTCGACGACATATCCAATGGCGAGTCTTCTGCTCGATCCTTCTGCAATGTTTGTTGATGCTTGCTTGACTCCTGATGGTTTTTACTAAATGCTTTTAATTACAAAATGGCTTTGACACCTTATCCGCCTTCTTTCTGTCTGGTGTATGTTCTGTAGATATTACTTGTAGTGGAAATTTCTATTTACAAAAGGGTATTCGAGTAGATAGTATCAGATTATCGTGTTGACAAAGATTCGATTCTTACGGCCGATAGGACCAAAGGTGCGATTAAAAACCCACTGGTGGATAGCTGGCAGTCGTACTTCTGTAGCCCATTGGCAAAAAACTCTTTTCTTTTAAACAGAAATTCATCATATATTAAAATCTTTTCAAATAATAAACTAAAAAATTGCAATAAATAGGAATTATAAGAATTAAATAATTCAAAAAATGACTGGGTTAGAAGGTATGAAAGGAGGAAATTTTATTGAAATTTCTTAAAAATTTTTTAATTTTGATCATCAAAATCAATTTTTTTTTATTGCAAAAAATTTAAATAAGAAACTATTGTAGCTTTTTTTTGCTAATTTATCACTATTTGTGAATATATTTAAAAGTTTATTTTATTTCTAAATAAATAAATATTTTAATGAATATTTTTAAAAGATTGATCTCTCTTTTTAAAAAAATCCCTCTTAAATCATCATTTATCCTCGAAAAAACTAAAAATTTTATTTTTCGTTAAAAACTATTCCAGAAATTTAAATTCATTAATAATTTATTGGATAAATTACTTTTTCTCGTAGCATCTCCGCTATTCTTGGAACATAAAATGCTATATAGCGCTCTATAGATCCACAAGATATTCTCGTAGTTCCACATCTATAGGAGAGGAGAGGGAATTCAATTTATTGGATAAATTGCTTTCTTCTCGCAATATCGTTAAATCTATTAATTATGACTTGGAGTTATATAAGTAAATTTATTTAGCAAATTTTTAGAAACGATGCGATTGCAAGTACAAATTCGAGAAGAATGTATTCTCGTTGAATATGATGAAAATGATGATATAAATACGGTAATATAAATAATAAAATAATATTAAATAATATTAATTAAATAATATTATTTTTTTAAAATAAAAATATTATTATTCTGATTAAAAATTAAAATTATAAATTAAACATACTAATAAGAAATTAAATAAAATATAGAATTTTTTTTTATTTAGATAGCTTTAAAAGCGATGGAAAAATTTTCAAAATTGAAGCCCCAACTATTGAACGATTTAGAAATGAAAAATGGATATCGCGAAATACGCCATAATAATACGCTACTCGATCCTCATGATCGCGTAACATCAGTGCTAAGAGACTTTGATTTGATCGTCATTTGTAAGTGAAAACTAAATTCAGAGTTATACAAGCCATTCGGAGTATTTTAGTTGAAAAGTATGAATTTGATTGATAAGAGTAAACCTATCATTAATAGTGAAAATTGGCTTACGATTACAAAACCATTAGTGATAAGTAGTAAAATCAGTCAAATCAAAAATCACTCATACTGAATCATAAATAGTTAAAAAATCAATGGTTGAAGATGAAATTTTTTATAAAATATATTATTTGTAATATAGCATATATTATTTGTAATATAGCATATAGCATATATATCATCTTTAATTTGTCTTATATTTGTCTCATCAGAACCAACTTTATGCTAATAAACCATGGTGCAAGTGATAGTGGTGACGGTAAAATAGTAACAAATGGTGATAATATCAATAAAAAAATTTTGATTTCTTCATTTTCCTCATAAGAATCTTATTATAATTTTATTTATATAATAAAACTATATATCTATGATATTCCAAAAATTTGTGATTATTTTTTTCATTTTATTAATTATCATTAATCATTTTTTATATTTTACAAAAAAATAGTTTTTTAAAACCTCCTTACTAAATTTTCCTAAATTTTCCTAAATTTCAGATTTGAGCTATTCATTTTATGAAGATGATTTTAGATATATTGAACCGAAGTAAGTAATTTTTAATAGTACAAAATAATATTAACTAACAAAGAATTAAAAAATGAGTGATAATACAATAAAAAATGAAGTCCAAGTCACTGATAGCTTTATCATATCTCCAAATGATAAAAAATCCCCAACCCAGCAATCAGTGGAAAAATTAAAAATTATGAGTGTCCTATTAGAAGAAAAATTTTATGAACATATTACAGTACGAATTGATAAAAATTCCAAAAAAAAGCTATATTTGAAATCATTAATCAGGAGAATTTTTAAAAAATTTTCAGCATCAAATCAACCGAAGTGCTTATTCTCGATGGAAATTCGTTAAAAACGACCGATTTAGTTAAATGTGAACGAGGAGAATGCATTTTAGAAGTTATTTTATTAAAAAATTGTTTTTTTGATATTATTTTTTAAATATTTAAAATACCGGATCCTTATAGCCAATAAAACCAATGCTGTTGGTAAGAGGTGTTTAGAAAAAAAATTTTTTTAAAACAATGCTTAATCATTTTGATGATTATCAAAGGAAATAATCGTTCTGATAAAAAAAAAAATTTGATTAATTTAATTTCATTTCGCTGTATAAATATAAATAAATTCTTAGTTTTTCAATTATCATTTAATATTTTAATTATTGAATATTTTTTAATAAAATTTTGAGAAAAATATTATTTAAAAAATTCTTTTTTGCAATTAGTTCATAAATTTTACGTAAATTTAATAATATCCACGAAATAGCATAGCTGAAGGAAATTTTTTATAGCTTTCACAAGAAGCAAAAGAAAGAATAATTAAATCGCAAAAATTATTAGAAAAAATTGTCGAAGAAAAATCAAGTAAGAAAATTTAAGTATTAATTTATAAAATTTTGTATAAAATAATTTTAAAAAATATTTTTATAAAAAAAATTTATAAAAAATTTGCAAAAAAAATGTCTATGTTAATTAAATGTTTATCTAATTTTAGTCGTATATGGTATTTCAACTGGATTTGGCACATTTTCTACGATCGGAGTACCATCCGATAATCTTAAGTAAATAATAATTGATCATTAAAATAATAAATTCATTTTAAAAAATAATTAATTATTTGAAATGTTTGAGTATTTTTTTGGCTTTGGTTATTCCATGTTAGCTGCGGTGTATTACTATTCGCCATTTTTCCTTAATTTTTTTTTCATTACTAAAATAGTGATTTCAATATTTTTTGAATAATTTGAGTGATCAAATGATCGGGCGACGCAAATATTTCCCTAGTTCAATTTATTTTCTTATGATAAGGAAGACATTGTAAGGCTATACGCTTGTATTAAAAGAGAAAATCGTCGCGAAGGCTACGATAGAAAATTTAAGTAAAAGTACCAGAATTAATAAAAATACATAGTATTATTTGAGAAAGGGAAAACAAGGACTGTGGTACTCAAAAAAATGGATTGAAGATGTGTTTGTATTATAAAATCAGTGATTACCGACAATTATTGTAGTATAACTTTTCAGATTACTTCAACTTAATCTAATTCGATCACATGCAAGCGGTTACGGCAAACCATTATCACCAACACTAACGCGAACAATGCTTGCATTACGAATAAATGTTCTTGCTAAAGGTCATAGTGGCATATCATTGGAAAATTTACAAAAAATGATTGACGCTTTTAATGGTACCTTTTTATGAATGCGCCTTTTTTTAATCGAATATTTGATGCTAATCATTTGAAAAATTATTGGAAAATCTTAAAATTCATGCTTAAAGTAAAAGTAAGTAGCTTGGATTTGAATTGTGCCTTTTGTTAGTATTCAACTGACCTTCTCCATCATCAGCTACCAGTTATCAATTATCAGTTATTCAGCTATCAATAAGCCAGAATTCACTTATAGACTAATAAAATGATTTACTCCAAAAATTATCAGAAGAATTGAAATATGCCGCAAATTTTATTTCTTTTTGCACAACCATTTGAATATTATAATATTTTAGAATATTTTAGATTTTTTTAAGCATTTAAAAAAATTCAAATATTTAAAAAATATTTTTATAAATTTTAAAATATTTTAAAAATATTTTAAAATATTTTTAAAAAACTTTATACTTATACTTTATACTTATAATAATTATAAATTTCAAACGATTTCTCAAGATTCTAAAAATATTTTCGAAAGATTCAAAAATTTTACAGCATTTTGTGTATCATATGTACCTGAGCAGGGCACAGTTGGCTGTAGTGGTGACTTATGCCCATTAGCTCATCTAGCACTTGGCCTAATCGGTGAAGGCAAAATGTGGTCACCGAAAACAGGTTGGAATGATGCTAGTGTTGTTTTGGCAAAGAATAATTTAAAAGTTCGCTTTATAAATATTACAACTTTTTTCACAGTTAAATATTTTCGAATTTATTTTACAATTTTTTAAAATTTTCTAATTTCAATAAATTTTTAATTTTAATGGCTTTAAGAAAAATTTTTTTTCAATTTTTCGAATTTAATTTCTATTTTTATTGTAAAAAAAGATAAAAAATACTGAAATCTATAGAAAATGGAACTCGGTCCCAAAGAAGGCCTTGCGCTCATTAACGGAACTCAAATGGTTTCGTCTTTGGGTTCACTAGGTTTGTTTACGCTTTTTTTTAAAGAACACTCATTACTCCTGGTTAGGCTCGCTCCGCTGACTTATAGGGCTAGACAAATCTACAGCCATGGAGTTCTTTGGTTATAGAAATAGTTATAGAAATACAAGTGAATCAGTGCTATCTGAATGAAGGACAGGTTTACCCGTGAGTACACCTTCAATATCAGCTCTCCGTATTGAGTAATGACCCACTGAGCCACTCCACTCTCTCTTTTTTTTCGTTTTTAGATGATATCGCCGCCCTGAAAATCCTCAGTTACAGTTATCTTACCACTAAGCCATAGTATTTGTCTCTGTTAAATTTCCAGTAATGGAAAGATGATTTTCGACATTCTGACCTGTCTCCTCCTTTGGAAGTTCCTCTTCAGACCCTAATAAATTCATTATTTCTTGTGTATATTCATTCGATTTCTCGGGTATAAATAAAAAATGATCTGACATTTATTTTTTTAATTATATCCATCCTTTAAAAATTTGTTTTATTTGCATTTTTTTGCAATCGAATTCGAGTACTACCATTATTGTCGATCTATTGGTCCTTTTGTCTTTAGTACCATAAGATCGACTTAAGTTTAAGGTTTCAAATAAGTTTTTCTAATACTTTTTGAATATTTTTTTTTTAAAGAGCCCTCACCATTAATGCTTAAACTTGTTCCACTGGCTTGTCCCATTGGGCAATATGCCAAGGAATCTCTTGGCGAGAGAAATACAGGTGAGTCGCCAGTCCTGCGGGGAATCGAACTATTTTGGTTCTTTCTTGTTTTTCGATCCATTTTTCGATTTTATAATTTAATAAATTTTATAATTATAATTTATAATTATAATTTAATAATAATTTAATAATAATAGTAATTTAATAATAATAATAATTTTATAATAATAATAATAATAATTTAATAATAATAATTTTCATAATAATAATAATTTTTAATAATAATAATAATTTTTAATATTTTATTAAAAATTAAGAATCGTTAAGATTTTAGCCGTTGAAAGAGCAAATCAAATAGCAAAACAAGCAGATGTGATTGCAGCATTATCATTAGATGTTTTACGAGGAACGAATAAAGCTTTTGATGAAGGTTTTTTCGTATTTTTTTTAAAAAAATCCATTATTAATCCAGAAAAAAAATCATTTTAAAATAAAAATAATAATTAATAAATAATAATTTAATAATAATTAATTTAATATTAATTAATTTAATATTAATTAATTTAATAATAACTAATTTATTAATAATTAATTTAATAATAATTAATATTTAATAATAATTTTACTAAAATTTTTTGTAAAAATTTAGACATTCACAATGTTCGACCTCATAAAGGTCAAATTGAAAGTGCTAAACGACTTCGTGCGCTACTTAATTCTGATATGTATCCATCACAAATTGCTGGTATTCACTCTTTAAACTAGAAAAAAAAAAGAAAAATTTAAAACTTATCATTTGTCTATTAAAGTGAGGCATTTATACGACCCTTTTACCAGGGAATTATTCCATGATAAAGAGAGAGACCAAGATTTTTTTTTTTTTCATACCAATTGTATAATTTTAGAATCACACAAAAATTGTTTCAAAGTCCAAGATGCATATACGCTAAGATGTATACCACAAGTTCATGGTATAGTGCATGATACTATTGAATTTGCTCGTTCAATTTTGAATGTCGAAATTAATTCCGCCACAGATAATCCGCTTATATTTCCCGATAAAGGCAAAATAATATCTGGTGGTAATTTTCATGGAGAATATCCGGCGAAGGTACTTGATTACCTAGCAATTGCTATACATGAAATTGCACAAATGAGTGAAAGAAGGTTAGTGTTAAAATTATCGTTGCGCATGGAACATTAATGCTTAGTGCTTAGTTGCGCATGGAACACTAGTGCTTTAATAAAATAGTACAAAATCGGCTCAATTTTCTTTTATCAGTGGTACAAATTGGATCGGGAAGTCGCATGAATTCCCATACGACTCTTTAAATTCCCATATTTTCACAGTGATAAATATCCCACCAACATCCACTTAGATTTACTACTATCAGTCGAAATAAATAAATAAACCTATATTTATTTCACCAGATGAAAAAGAATATGGTAGGTCTATCAACACACGTAAAATAAAAGTTTCATGCTTCGTGCGGACTGTAGGTTGAATATTTTCTAGGCTTGAACGTTTGGTAAATAATCATTTAAGTGGCCTTCCAACATTTTTATCACCCGATGGTGGCCTCAACTGTGGTTTCATGGTAGTACAATTATGTGCTGCTTCTTTAGGTAAGATGATATTCTTCAATGATATTTCACTGAACAACTATTAATGCTACTATAATTTATCGCAGATATTTTTTTTTTTTAATATCTATTTTTGAATATTTATTTTTTAAGTGTCCGAAAATAAAGTTCTCTGTCATCCTTCATCAGCAGATAGCATTCCAACAAGTTGTAATCAAGAGGACCATGTTAGCATGGGAGGATTTGCAGCAAGGAAAGCCTTGAAAGTCGTGGAACATGTTGAAGCAGGTTGAATTTCGAAAATTCCACCAAAATTTAGATAATATTGCATTTAAAAAAAAAAAAATTCAAAAACTTCAAGTTTTCATTGAACTATAACAATATACAAAAACTCAGAGATATAAATGAATTTTCTTATCAGAAGAGATAAAAGATAAGTGATAAAATCTATTCTTTACGATATTATCAATTTCTCTATTATCAATTATCAGTTATCAATTTTTACAATTTTTATTCATCATCTTATTTGATTACTTCAAATAGTTTTTTTTTTAGTATTAGCGATAGAATTAATAGCGGCATGCCAAGGTCTCGAATTTTTATCACCTTTAACAACCACAAAGCCATTAGAGAAAGTCTACAAACTTGTTCGATCTGTTATTCCGTAACTTTTTTCAATATATTTCAACTATAAATCATTCAGTTCAATTATTATCCTTATCAATATCATTATGTTAACAAATGATATCTCTAAAAGGAATAAGCAAAGTGGATAATATTCAAACACCTAAAGGCGTCTTCCTATTTATATTTATTCAACTAGTTCAGTAGAATTTTCCACTATATATCGAAAATTTATTCATTTACTTACTTGTTTTCCGACGAAAATTACTTTTCTCTTCGAAGAAGTAAAGCAAAATTACACCGTATAATATTTTAAATTAATAGTACATCTTCTCTTCGAATTTTAATTTAAACTTAAAAATTTTCTAGGGCATTAAAAGAAGATCGATCACTTCAATCCGATATTGAAATTGCTGCAAATCTTTTAAGAAAAGGAAAGGTGATTTCTTTATTAATTTAGAATTCTATTAAGTTATTTTTTAAAATATTTATATTTTAAAATATTTTTATAAAATAATATAAAATATTTTTATATTAAATTCATATAATATATTTATGTTATATTTATATAATATATTTATATTTATATAAATATAAATAGAGAAATATTTAAATATTTCTTAAGCACTTTTTAAATTTAAATTAAATTTTTATAATATTTATGTTAATATTTCGGAAAATTTATACTTCGATAATCGTTTTTTTTCCGATAAATTTATTTAAAAAATTTTTAAATTCAATTCAATATTTTTTGTAAAATTTATATAATCAAAAATTTACTATAGATTTGGGATGAAGTGGAACCATATTTTCCAACGAATGAATGATTTTTTTAATGCAAAAAAAAAACTTTTGAAACAACCCAACCCACAACAACCCACAGAATAACTCATCATCGAACCTTTAAGTGATAAAAATTGATATTTTGAATTGAATTTTTGTAAAAATTATCAGATAAAATTGAAAGAAAAACCAAAAAAATTCATTTTTGAAAGAAAAACCAAAAAAATTCATTAATTTCATAAAATGATTTTCATATGTAGAAATGCACAACGTATATAGGAAAAGGAATTTTATAACAATATCTCATCATTTTATCAATAAACAAATGAATATGAATGAACAAAATTCTGAAATGTATGTGGTCAGCGATAAGTGACTGACGGCAATTTTTTACCAATGAGATTGGAGAATTTTACGATAAGAAATTGATAAATGAAAAATTAATAAGTGAGAAATAGTCAAATGATCTTGTCACAAATTTATCACTGCTGATAAATTCAATCACCTATGAAGTATTATTTGTTAGGTTGGAAAAAATTTCTTTTTTTTATGCGTAAATTTAATTAATTTAAATGTAAATTTTATCGTCTATGATCGCTCAAATGTTGTTTCCAAAAGATAAAAGACTATTCTTATAACTAGGTACAATTCTATAATGAACATAACACTCTTCAAAAATTAAGTAATTATTAATCTGCAAAATAAAAAAAATAAAGCCCTGAAAATTTTCACAATATCAATAATAATCATCAACATCATCACCATCTATCACAGTATTTTTTATTTGTTCCTGATTCATATACATCTCAGCAACCTAAAAATAATATAAGTCAGCTCAAAAAATCTCTAAAAAATTTTATGAAATGTACTACTAAGAGCTCGATGCAAATTATAAATTTGAGCGGAAAAACATCTCAGCGTTTACCTTTTGCTTTATGGAAAAAATTGCTTATCGATGTATTTTCAGCATCAAAAAGGTAAATTTTCATTTTATCGTATTAATTTCATTTAACATTGTATTAATTTTATTTTTATTATAAGAACAAACACATGGCAATTATTCTGCTTCTGATCTTTTAAACAAAATAAATAAATAAATCTTAATATACTTTTTACTCACCTGTTTTGAAGATGTCACTTCTTCTGGTTTCTTATCCTGACGATGACGAATAAAACGGGGAAATCGAAGAGATATGCCTTTTTCTGGATCAACCTAAAAATATTTAACTATAGACTGAGCACATGACCACATTTTTTGTGGAAAGATATTACCAGCAATATTTAATGTTCATTAGTAAGCACAAGAACAACTTTTGAAAATAAATAAATCTAATCCCTGAAATTCGAGTAAACACAGTTTAAAAAATCCATACTTACAAAGCCTTTTGCAGCATGGTGTTTCGGTGATATTGATAAATCCGCAGCTTTTATTTCCCATACGATTTCTGGTTCAAACCAGTGATCAGGTGCTAATGAAATATCATAAGAATAATACGATTTAGCCTAAAACCTTAGAGAAACCTTCAATTAAATAAATATTTGGTACCACTTTGCTATTTATTCACAAAAATAATATAATTTCAGAAAATCAATAGAATCAATATCTGATACCTTATCAACACGAAATTTGCTAAACATTTCATATTGCGCTGAGAGATCATCTTCTTTAAGACCTGTTCCGATCTGGAATAGCACGAAATAAAAAATCGCATGAAAAGAACAATTTGCAAGGGATATAATCGCTAACAAACTTCGATAACAATTCTGCTATCAAAAATACACCTTGCAAATTGATTGGTATTCCTCTGAATCGGGATCGTAGCAAGCAAGGAGATAGCCTCCATAAACTCCAGTTCTTTTACCAGTTCCACAGTAACCGCCAATAACAACAAGATCCAGGGTGTCACCGATTCCGTCGAGATAATCTTTCTTTAGCTAAAAATTCATAGGACAAACTTAGAAAAAAGTGGCTTAAAAACACATAAAAAGAAAAAAATTTAATTAAAATGGTATAAACGTTAGAATAACAAGAAGATTCGCGGATATCGAGAATATCATTTAAAATTTACCTTTAACCAATTATGCGATCTTTTTGCGATTTCATATGATGCATCAATATCGAGACTCTTGATCATCAAACCCTCACAATTATTTTTTACAGCTTCATTTAAAAGTTCAGCAATTTCGTCAGGATCTCCCGTATCTTTGGAATATACAAAACTACATACATCTTTAATTTCCTAAAGATTGAAATAACATTAAGAGAAAAAATAAATATTATAAATATTATTAATAAATATTATAATATAAAATAAATAAAAATATGATTCAACACTACGCAAGGAATGCACCATGATTTTACAATCATTTTTCAGATAAAAAGAATTACGCGAATCACAAAAAATAATCCAATAAACAGATAGTTACTTGTTATTACAGAAATAAATTCAAAAAATTTCTCCCTAGTTCCTCATTACTTTCAGTTATGCAAGTGCTACATAATTTTTAATAATTACCGAAACATAGAAATATAATCAAAAACTACCTTAAAATGTGTTCGTAACATTTTTCTTCGTTCACGAAGAGGCAATTTTACAAGAGAACGACCATTCCAATAAAGAAGATCAAACATGAAAACACAGACACTGATCTTAATTTCATTATCTGCCGCATTCTGAAAAACCCATTCTTGATATGATTTCAAAATGATATGAAAACATTAAATAAAACAAGCAATTTTATAAAATAATAACTTTCCTTTTCCTTGTTGAGAGTACTTGAAAAGGCAAAATAGAGCAATGCATAGAATCCCAAGCAACTACTTCACAATCTATCACAAAATTAATGGCTTCTTCATCGACGCATTTCGAAATCAAATTTGTAATATCAGGATATTTACTTGTATTATCTTCTTGATTTCGACTAAATATTTTTATTCCAAAATGGCCAAAGTGAATCTGCAATAACTTTGCTATAACTTTGCTAATTAATGGAAAAATCTGAATAATAATAATGGTATTATTAAGAAAAGATAAATTTTTTTAAATTTCAATTTATTTTTATTTATTTATTAAATTTCAATATAGATTTATTTATTTATTTAAATTTCATTAATATAGGTATGGATATAATGATATAAATTATTTATCATTTGAATTGAGAGACTATTAGAAAATACAAATACATGATTTGGATTTAATGGCAAAATTAAAATTAAGACCTGATTTATATTTTAATTAATACTATAATTCGCTGATCTCTATGAAATTTTGTTATTCAAATCTAAGTAATGAAGACAATAAATAGAAGGACTATTAATAGGACTAAATAGGACTAAAGTCATTGTTTTCTCATTATAGTTAGAACTACTGGAAAAAACTGCTAATTGAAGCACTTTCTTTTTCAAAATCTAGCTTAAAAATAAATTAAACAGAATTGCCCTTGGTAGTTGGCGCAAAAAATCCTTAATCCATTATTATATAATGTTTTCAGTTTTTCGTTAACAATATAGTCGTGTATATGACTTATCTGATCATCTAAATTAAGATTAAGCATATAAAGCAAATGAAGATAGAACATGAGCAATTAGCAGAAGAAAAAAACCTGTGCCCTTTCGCCATCATACTTATATTCGCATGCAAATTCCGTGGATCCCAACCTTTTCATAATTTCTGCAACTCCTTTTGCTGGATGCGCTAACATTGGTTTTAAAGGAATACCTTAAAGGAAATGTTGCAAGAAAAAACAAAAAAAGATATTTTCTTATACTTAAATAGCCAAATGGAAAATTTTATGAAGAAATTTAATGAAAATCTAAGAAATAAAATTTGAATATGACAACTACAACTAACCAGGTGTAAGAGTGCAATGTTGTGGAAGTGCAGATATTCCATGTTTAATCAAAATAGAAATTATTTTATCAAAGTTTGGGCATTCACTGAAAAAATATATAAAATATATAAATATTATAAAAATATAAAAATGTATAAAAAAAATTATCTTAAAAATGTTGGTATAGAAAAAGGAAGAAGAAAGTGAAAAAATTGAAAGATCACAGTGATTTTCGTTTTACTAATAATAAAAATTATTTAGAAATCAAATAAAATGGAAAATTTTAAAGAAAATTTGATGAATGAAAAAAATAAGGATAAAATAATTTACCAATAAGTAGTTTTCAAGATTAAAGCATCACTCGCCTGACGTTCTTTCATTTTATCAGCCGTTAATTTTATGCCTGGAAAAGAAAAAAATTTATCACTAAAAAGAAGTAATTGAATTCAACTATACATCCATACATACACCAAATATTGTTACGGTATTGTTATTGTTAATCTGATATTTTCACTTTTCTATTGTTGCCATAGAATATATTTATCATTCCATATAATTATTTGTCTATTTGTTTGTCTGTTTGAAATTATCAAAGTTTTGAGATATTAAGAAATATATTCAATAGCGTAGGTAGGTATAATAATTGTATAATAATATATTATATCTATTCTAATTACGGAGCACCTCAGACAACTCCGGTTTATCGAAATCAAGTTTGAAAATAAATAAAATAGAATTATACTTGATAATATTATAAAAAACCCTCAATCCACTATTAATATCACTTTTCAATTCTTTGTTATCAGCATATAATCTCCAAATTTCCTTTTATTCTAATTTTAGAATTTAGAGTCGTACAATCATAAGAAATTGAGGATTTCCCACAAAATATTTTTAATGAATATAGCAAATTACCGATCTAGCTCAATCTAAGGCCGTGGGAGCAAAGATTCCGGACTTTGGATCCGAAGACTATAGGTTCAAGTTTGGTTATTATAATCTTCGTTATACTTTTGTCATAGTTTTTTTTTAAAGAGTCCTCACTATTACTGGTTAAACTTGCTCCATTGGTTTGTCGCATTATGCAATATGCCAGGGAATCTCTTGGCAATAGAAATACAAGTGAGTCACCAGTATCACCCGGATTTTTGTACAGATTCATTCTTGCAGGGAATAGAACCTCAGCATCGGCTCTCCGAATTGAATAACAACCCACTGAGCTATTCTATCTCCACTGTTATTATAAATATTATATTTATAGTGAGGGTATTTTTAAAAACTTTGTTTAGATTAGCAAAAGTTTCTATTGGAATTTATGAAATATAAAATAGGCTGAATCGCCATTGCATATGTTTACTAAGATTGCTAAAAATTCCATCAAAAAGGAAATAACCTTGCTTATTAAGTTCAAAATCAGTAAAAGTATTTGCGAGAGCTAGAATAACTGATTGTTCAGCAAGTCCTATTCTTAGTTTGCCACTCAAAGAACGAACGAGATACCGCGCTTCAATATCTTGACAAGCCACCAACAACGTCTTGATCAGATCGATTTTTTTATTCACAGACTAAAAAATATTTTTATTCGCAGACTAGAAAAACTTTTTGCACTATAATGAGATACTGAAGAAAAAATCAGCTAAAAATCAACAACTTTTAGTTTTCTCAGAAAGAAAATACAAAGGCAAAATAAAAGCAAAGGCAAAAAACTTACTGCATGACCAGATGCTTTAGCAATTTCTGTTAATTTATTGAAAACTGCACTTATTGTTAAGGGTGCAGGAGTGAAAAGCATTCGTTGCGTACATCGACTCTGTTGTGCAACTATTCCAAGATCGCCTTTTAAACTAAGTTCTTCTTTTATTTTATCCACCTATTAATAATATTAATAAATATAACTAAAATATAAATATAATCAAAATATAAACTATATACATTACAATACATTACAATACTATTAAATATATTACAATGCTATTTATTAAATAATAAATAATAAAAAATATTAAAAAGAAATAAGATTTCAATGATAATTTTCCACAAGATCATGAACGTATAAAAATAATAAATATGTGGGCCTATTTTGAATTCCCGATTACTATGAAAATAAATGCAGCAATACCTTCAAAGTGCTCAATCTATACTCACTATAAAGAACTGTTTTTTTTGAATTAGCTAGCAATAAAAAAAATGGCTGACTAATCAAAAATATCGTAAAAAATTTGATAAATTTGATAGCTTACTTTACGACCAGTTGCCTGCGCGAGTGCTTTTATCAAAGTTCCTTCGGCAACACCTAATTCTAAACCTTCATAAGCCGGTCCAAGTTGATTAACACATAAATAAACACAATACGTCAATTCAGTTGGCGTTTTTTGTAATATTTTTAATAAAAAATCCGATAAAATTTTAACAATTTCTAACCTAAAAAATCACAAAAAAATGCAAAATTAATTTTAGAAATAAATTATTAAAAAATGAGAATAATAAAAATTAAAAATAAATAGAAAAAATGAATCACCTTGATGAAGTGCATTCAATTTTTTCAAATATTTTTGCCAATGATAAATAGGGAACCCTATAAAATTAATTTTAAAATATTTAAAAAATATTTATTTTTATTCAAATCTTTATATTATATTCTCGTTAAGGAAGAAGGGAGAACGATAAATATGATGTGGAAAGATGAATTTAAATACGATAAATGTTTTCAGAATTGGCATTTGCAGTCCGAGACTCGAAAACAATAGTACCACAAGTGGAACCGCTAAAGCCAGAATTTATGCGCGTTGTTAAAAAAAAAAAGCTTTTGTTGTTTGGTGACTAAGCGCACGCCATGGTTTCACGGCTTTGCTTCCCACTTCTTGATTTTTAAATAAATAAAGAAATATATGAAAAATAAATTTTCGTTTTTTTTCTTAACTAATTAATTAATTATTAATTAAAAATTGTTTATTTAAAGTTATTAAAACTATTTATTAATTATTTAAAATTTTAAATAATTTAATAATTAATTAAACGCGCATCATTTCTAGTATAATTTCCACAATCGATATTTATTCATTTTTTACCATAAATTCACTTAGAAATTAACAGATAAAAATAGAATTCCTCATAAAAATTTCATTATCATTGATAACTGATAAACTAATAAACATATTAAAAAAATTTATTTTAATATAAAATATTAATAAAAAATCGTTAAAAAAAAGAAAAATTAAATTTTAAAATTGAAAAAAAGAAACGAACTTTTCAAATGTTTTCCAATCGACAATATTCGTATCACTTTTCATATTTTTCAATAAAAAATAATAATTTTTTAAAAAATTTCCTTTTAAAATAAAATTTCGATAATATTTATAAATTAAATTGAATTTTTTAAATAATAACATTAATAAATTGCAAAAATAAAAGAATCCATTTAGTTTCAATCGATTTATAGCGATTTTTTCAGTTAATAAAGAAATATTTTTATAAAACTAAAAGCCTTTTCTTCCGCTAAAAAAATTTTTAACTAAAACTCGAAAATTTTAAATTTTTGAATATCGACACGAATATTTTTGGCAACGTTCCAAATTTATTTTAAAAAGAATTGATCCAATTCAGTTTTGCCAAAATATATAAAATGAATCATTTTTTTATAAGTTTTATTATTTAAATTAAATTTAATTGAATTGAATTTGATTCGATTTGGGGTTTCGACGGTTTTTTTATTTTGAAAAACAACTTTCATTTCGTGTAAAAAATTTTTTTTTATTTATAATTTTTATAAAAATCACTTAAAATTTTTTTTTTAATTAAAATTAATTATTTGTTTTATTATTTATTATTACATATTATTTTATTATTTATTACTTTATATTATTTTTATTATTTGTTGTAAATTATTTTTTAATCAAAAATAATAATTTCAACAAAAATAATAATAATAAAATTAAAAAGTAAATTAGTAAAACCAATAATTAGTAAATAAATAAAAAGTAATTAGTAATTAAGAATTATTTATTGAAAGTTTTTGAAATTATTCATTAATCATTTATTAAATTTTAAAACTAAAATTTTAAATTTTTTCATTAATTTATATAAATTTCTATAAATTTCCATTATTTTAATATAAAATATTAATAAAAAATCGTTAAAATTATAAATTTATGATTTATTGTTGTATTTTTTTTTTAAATTTTATTTCTTATATAATTTTGAAAATTACCAAAATTATGATTTATTTTATGAGTGTATTCTTAAATTTTTTAGTAATCCAATTTGGATTTAGCAGTTGTACAAAGGCGAAGTGCAGTAAGATTGGAGGTTGAAGTTCATCATTGTTTGCTCAGCTAACTCAGCGACTGTAAATGGTAATTTTTCTTTTGATGATGGTGAATGAAACGATCTAATTGCGGTTGAGCTATACTTGCAAATTATTTATTTATTTAGAATCAAGGGTGATTAAGGACATCATTTGCTTATAAGTGACAAATATAATGCTAAATATAAAATATTTGTAGGAATTAAATATAGAAGAATGCATCTCCTGTAAATCAAAATGCAATAAATATATTTTTTATTTCTTAATATATTCTGATAATTTCCTCTATCAGATCGAAATACTGCTGCAAGTATGGGCCATGTTCCAGGTTTTTCGATCGGGCTTCATGCCTGAAAATAAATAGAAATAAATAGAAGCCATTTGTACTGCCTTGCGGATAGAATGGCTCAGTAGGTTGTTGTTCAGTTGCGAGCGCCGATGCTGAGGTTTGATTCCCCGCTGGAGTAAACCTATACAAAAATCTGGGTGATGATACTGGCGACTCATCTTTATTTCTATCGCCTAGGGACTCCCTGGCATATTGCCCAATGCGGCAAGCCAGTGGAGTCGAGTCTAACCAGCAGTGGTGAGGACTCTTTAAAAAAAATTTGTACTATTTGAACAAAAATGAAAAAAATGGCAATATTTCGATTAATGTTTGGACGGATTTTTCAGGCTAAATATCAGAAAAAACTTGAGAAAAAGAGAAGGAAAGTGAGTGAGGAAATTTTGGGCGATAAATTACTTTGTGGAATTAAGTGTCTTAATGAGAATCTTAAAGAAAAGGAAGCTAACAGTTTATTCGAGGTATTTATTATGTTTTATAGGTATTTATTAATTATTCTGTCGTAATTATTCATTTCTTGATTTTTTATTACAATCTTTTAATTATTGACAAATTTATGTAACATGGGATTTTTGTGTTAGAATTGCCAGTCGTTTTCTTCATTCAAAATTTAATCAATTAATTAAATTAATCAATTAATTAAATTTTGAATTTCGAAAATGAAAAGAAAACGAAAGAAGTGCGAAAGTTCTTTATGATTAAATTAAATCTGGTTGAATTTTTTAATAAAACGTAAAAACTGAAAGTTCTTCAGTCTTCATTTTCAGACTCGTGATCTAGAAAAAGAACTCGTACGTATAAGATTTTCATCTTTATCAATCAGGATTAAATTATCCGATTTTCTTTGCCTTGAGGATGGTGCTCTTATTAACGATACTATCATTGATTTCTATTTAAATCATATCATTGAGCATCTTGCTGAATCGTAAATAATGCTTTTCATTATTTTATTAATTTAAGATTTTTTTTGATATTTTCATATTGAAATGTATTTTATTTAGATATAAAATTTTTTTTAGGTGTCATAATGTTTATGTCTTCCCTTCATTATTTTGGCATTATTTAATATCAACGGACGATTGTATGAAAGTATTGTTAATGGTAATTTGGCTTGAAATTGGTTAAATATATAAGTTTGGTGTAAATTTCAAAAATAGCAGAATAAAAGATAATTAAAAGACAAGACAATTTTGCTTGAAATTACTTGCGCTTATCTACTTTTTATAAACTTTTTATACTTTTTATAACTCACTATATATATACTTTATATACATTTTTTTTTTGCAGATGACAAAATTTACCAATTCTGAAACATGGTCGAATAGTTTATCTAAAGCCGATTTTATTGTTATTCCTATAAATGATTCTGATCATTGGTATTATTTTTTCATATTGGTATATTTGTATAAATTGGTATATTATCGTTGCTATATCTGAATATGTAGAATAAAGCGATCGAGAAGCATATTGTTTTGATTAAGATTAGTCATCACGGGTTTCATTTTTTTCATTTCTCAAAGAGAGTAAATAAACTTGTTAAAAGTAAAATCCATGTCTATGTTATGCTATTCACCATCATTTTTATTTTTAAATGGTTCTATTGTCAAGGAAACTAATTTTAATATTTAGTAAAGCAAGATATTGTAAATTACCTAATAATGATGCGTACAATTAAGTTTGATTACTTTCTTTTTTGTGGTTTATGAATACGAATAATAGTAGTTACAGGTCTTTAGCTATAATATGTTATCCGAGTTATTCAAGAAGAGATATCAATAATCGCAGTGTTTCCCCTGTCGTATTATTTGATTCACAGCAGAGTGTTGGAATACCAATTGTTAATAATATTTTGCCTATGATTACGAAGTTTTTTAATGTTAGTTTTCCACTTTTTTTTATTTTTATAGTGCATTTCATATTTTATCAAAAATTTTTTTTCTGGTTTTCAGTTTGTAAATGTTTTTAATGGTGCTTGTGAAGTGGGATTATGTAGCTTTAATGGTTTTATTCCACAGAATTTGCCTCAACAAGAAAATGATGTTGACTGTGGTATTTATATCTTGGAATACGCTAAACGGTTTTTTCTTTCTCCTCCCAATAAAGTTAGTGATTAGTCTACTTGAATAATGCAAACTCAAGAGTTAATAAGAAATTTTTATTTTTTTTCGCGTAGATTCTTAAATTTCAGGACAAAGGGGCCGAAAAACTTATATTTCTTGTGTATCTAACTATCATCAATTTTTTTCGAATTTTTTTTTTTTAATTTCAGGCATGTCTTTTGAAAAGTGCTTTCGATTTCTCAGTTCTTTATCCCGATTTTTGCATTTATAATAAAAGAAATGAAATAAAACGAGTAATATCAACTCTTTGTATTCAAAGTATTAAGTGGAAGAATCTGATGAAAGCTTGATATTGATTTGTATTCGAGAAATAGCGGCTTAATTAGTTTTTTGGATTTGGTTTTATGTTAGGGCGAATTGAATTATAAGTTTTTATGAGGCTTATATTTTTATATTAAAAATTTTTTCATATTATGTATGTATATATATATATATATATACATTTATTTATATATTTTTATTGTTATTTCCTTATAGATAATATAATATTGTTGTAGCAAAGTTTTTAAAAGTACGGGTAATATCTTCTATTGTTGCTTAAATATCAACTTTTATTGTTTTATTGCTTTTTCTGCCTGTCATACAATTTCATTATTTTTTTTTTATTCGCATATTTATTCAAAAAAATTCATTCGAAAGGTATTTCATTATTTCGAATAGTCGAATGGGCAAAACTTATTTCATAGGTCATAAAATTACCATATGTTCAGACATTTTGCGTTTTGTATTTACTAAAATTTCCAAATTCATCAAAATTTTATTAGCACGATTTTAGTAGAATTTTTTGATTTAGGATTTTAGTGGGAGTAATTTAAATATTTAAAAATTTTTAGTAGTGGCAAATTGGAAAATTGTGTTTCACTGATTTGAGATCCTATCACTACTGAAATTTGTTCTACTTATTGAGGCAATCATTATGGATAGCATTTGGGATATTAGCATGAGCATGAAAATCATTTTTGTATATTCTCCATGATTTTATTGATTCGACTGAAAAATTTAGATGGAATAATTGAAATCGGTTGACTTTTGCAATAAAATCTTAGCAATTTGTCAAATGTGGTTAATGGAAATTGTGCATAATATTACTGGAAATATGGCGGAACTCATCAAATTAAAGAGGTGCTTATTTCTTAAAAGACTCAGTAACTCAAAGGTATCTGGTTTCTGCATTTTTGTCTTATATAATATGAAATAGCTGGAAATATCGTCTTCCGCCTAATAAAACTATGAAATTATGTATTGGAATTAAGGAAACATATTTCTAATATTTAAATACAATATGAAATTTTTATATTTTGAGAAATTTTCTTTCATTTTTTTAATTATTGATAGAAATCAGCTGATATAATTTTTTGTTTATTGTAATATTTAAAATTGCATAGCTAATAAATTATATAAATTGTGATGAATGGCATCAAAATTGAGGAAATGAAATCAAAACATGGACTGATAAGAACTTTGGAGAGAATTAAGAATTGAATGGTTCTTGGATAAATCTGTGGATCGTGAGATTTTACAACACCTAATCTTTGTAATCAGTGGAATTATCCTAAGGAATGTTTAAATCATGAATATAAATAAACAACCATTGGTACTTTATGCTTTTGTTTATTTATTGTTGCGGTACCATCGCTTTTGCCATTTCTTTTTTCTTATAAGTTAATTCTATTTTCTATTTTCTATTTTCAAGAAATTCTATTTTCGTTTAATTTTTATTTTTTCAAGAAAAAAATTTTGATAATTTGATATTTGGTGCTGATATTTGATATAGAAATTTTTTTGGCTTGTAAATATGCCAATTTTCAATTCATATAAAATTTCACTCGTTTATAAAATTTGATAAAAAAAGTGGCGCTGAATTAACATATCAAAAATAAACTTGAGAATATTTTAGACATGGATTTAAAAAATTTATGAAAAATACTTTTAATTTTCTCAAATTTTTGGTCCTTTTGGTGTAAAATACTGCGACATATTATACAAAGACAATGGTTTTCTATGAACCACCATAAGCAAATATAAGGAGAAAAACGATTGAAACGGTCGTGAACAGTGTAACCAAAACGAAACAGAAAAGTACTATCAATTGGATTTGCTTCATCTGAAAAAATTTTATTATTTATTCAATAGTTATCATATTATCATTATCAGAATTTGTTATCATACAATTTTTTTTATTATTTGCTTACGAATTTTTTTCACATTTATGAAATGTACCTTTTCGTTATTAGAAAGATTGTTTTCGTCGTTCGTGTCAGAGGATGTTGCAGCAGCAGCAGCAGCTATCATTCTTCTTTGCTTCCAGCAGTTTTTTAAATAAATCACCTAAAAAATAAAATCGTTATTTTCGTGAAGCACCGCGGTTCACCACTGTGGTATCTCTTGCGCTCCTTTTTCGCCCATGAAAATTCGAGAGAGGCTATTTGAATTTGAATTTTGTGCCAGATCGTATCGAAATCGGTAGCAGATTTCCATGGTGAGTAGCTTATAAAAATTATAGATTTAAATTTTTTTGAGGAAAAAATTTCCAAATTAAATTTGGTGCAATATGGTGGAGAAGTGGTTCAAAAGAAAAAAAAAAAAATTAGTTACTTCGCTTATTATTAACGTTATTCCAACTTCAATAATAAATATTATGAAAAATATTAAAGCAGCATCACGATTTGCGAAGGTTCCATTAAAATGAATTATAGCAATCATTATTGTAGCCACTGAAATTTTTTATTTCTGCTAATAGTTCTCGAAATAGTTCGCGAACTCGCTGGAATTTTACGAATATATCGCCATAGATGTTTTTTGTTGTGTTAATTTTTATGCTCCATTAGAAGCTTTTACTTTTCACTAGAAAAATGAAAAAAAAAACCATACCAGCCATAAGCCATGCTGAATAGCCAAGCGTTTTATGGATTATATTGAATGATTTTCGAAGTGATGAGCCATTTTCGCATCGAAATACAGCATTCAGTGGTTGAGCCCAACAAATAACACACGACAAAAGTCCTAGCATCGAATGAATGGAAATCCATGATTGATTCTAGTACAAATAGGCTTACAAGGCTTAACTGAAGCGGATCGAGCTTATTTTAGTCACCAGTGCAGCGAGCCAATTATGCGAGTTACCACAATGAGGAAAAAAAAATTTCAAGGAGGAGAATAATAATTTATGATTACTTTGCATTCATTTTATAGAATTTTGAATTTTAGAAATTCACCTTTTGAGAAGTTTGGTGAATTTTGGGTCCTTTCCATCTCCAATCTGATGATGAAAAAATGAAAATTGACGAGATAATTGTTAATATAATTCCAATCACATTGAACACTCTATGCATCTAAATAAAAATTTTTTAATAAAATTCATAAAATTTATTGGTGGTGCAAAAAAATAGGTAAAATAATTGTTTTAATTAATTTTTTCTATTAATTGGTAGAATGGTCCAGTGAATTACTTTTTTCATTTTTGGTTTTCGAGCTTATTTATCTATCGGTGGTAAATCTATACTTCAGAATTTCTGGTGATGCTAGCAATGTACCGGAATGTTTACTCGCTAAGTGATTATCTGATCTGGTAAAATTTTCCTGATCCAGTAAGCAAGTGTATCGAATTCTAATCAGAAATGTTGAACACCAAGCGCTTAATTAATTATCATAAGCTGTTTTTTTTTTAGTAAAAATCTTTTAAAACTTTTCCAGCATTAAGATATATTTCTTTAAACATATATAAATAGCTCATTTTAATCATTTTTCACTAATATAATATTATACTTACAATAAACCAATTCGGTGAGCCAAATAGTTGCTGATTATGCCAAAATCTACGATAATATCGTGCTGATAAGAATCCTAACGAAAAAAAAATCTTCCAAGCTATGCACATAAGAATTCCTTGCAAAAATTAATATTAATAAAATTAATAAAATATCAATAAATATCAATATTATAAAAATAATTCAATAGTAAAATATCAATATTATAAAAATAATTCATTATAACTTGTTAGAATTCCTATTTTTTTTTCTAAATAAACAAAATATTATGAGAAAAAAAAAAATATATGGAAAAATTTCTTCTAAGTAAACCATGAATTCTTATCAGCCTTTTATTATGATTATCATTGATATTATGAAAATGGATGAACGAATTCATTGGCTGAAAATCTCGCATTGTTTTTTGATTATTCTGTTCCATTATTTGGCCATTATCTATCGCATTCGTTTCACTTGAATATTTTGATTTCATTGTGGTATTATTGAGTAAATATATTATTGAATACCAATCTATAATAGCGAATTTTAAAAAATTTCAGAATTTTTTAATTGATCCGACTCGATGCCTTTTTTCTAAAAATGCACATTACTGGTTAGGCTCGCTCGGCTGGCTTCTCACACAATGCAAATCTTTCCAAGGGAGGCAGTTGGCGATAATGAAGTTACCAGCAGTAAAAATGGTTTATTCGCGAGAGTCCTAAGATTGGCCCAAAATACGACAGCTATCCCACTAAACCATTATTATTTGATAATTTTTTAACATTTGGTATAAATGATTTTTATTTTGCGTTTGTCTTTTAGATGCTCATTCAGTGAACTTTTATATTCTTCTAATAGGTCTCACCAAGGCTGGCTCCGCTAGCTACAAGAATAAGACATCTCCAAGCTGCTCAGTCAGACGCCATCGCTGGTCCTCCTATACGTTCAAAATCTTTTCTGTATTAGTCCAGGTCTTGAATGGCCTTCCTCGTTTTTGACGCCAACCTTCCACGGTTTAGCAAATAACGAAATATGTGTCAACTCCTGTGGTGACGACGAAGAGCATACACTAACTAGCGAAGGCGACGCTCTGTGATTAATAATAAGTGGTATTTAAGCGAAGATGGATACAATCAATACTTAGTGAACTTAAGGTTGATTGAACCAATTTCATCGAAATGTATTAGAAAATAAAGGTATATGGTTCATGATAGGCGCGAGATATTTATTTTTTCCCTGATAATATGCATTGTTTCTTATTTCTAAATTAGTCCATCAATAAATACTATAATAAGGACGTTTAGATAACATATAACGAGTGAAAGAGCTAAAAGTGGATCCTCAATGTCACCTTTTGTTCCTACGAAGTATATCAAATCTGGCGCTGTTTTGTTTCACAATCAAAGAATCAATTAGGAGAAATTTTCGCTCAATTTTCGCCATAATTGGCTTTTTTAACGCTTTTCCCTATAGTCTTTTATTAAAAAATATGTTATATATTTCGTTTTTTTTGTTATTTCGCTTTACTGACGAATGAATTAAAATGTAAAGAAGAAAAACACTACTTTGTTCAAAAAATTGTATGCATTTTAAGAATAATTAATTAAAATATTAGAAAATAAAGAAAAATACATCAAATATTTAAAATATTTAAATCAGTGGTCGCCAAAATCTTTTTTTTTCATGAATCTCTCCCCACACCCCGACTGTTCCACAAAAATCCACAGATTTCCAGTGTAATATTCATGTTTCAAAATTTTTCCACCTAGGAGAATGAATATAATAAAGTGCATGAAATAAACCATTTAAAATAATTTTGTTACCATTCAACTAGAATAAGAATATATAAAATCGAATTAGGTATCCATACATTCCTCCGGATGTCACCATGTGCCCTAAGGGTCCTTAGAGGCCAATTTAACGATCACTCATTTAAATGATTCAAATCGCCTAAAATAAAATGCTCACTGGCAACAGAAAACCATTAAATATATTCAAATCTTATTATAAATTATTCAAATTATAAATCGATTGTATTAAAAAGCAAAAACAAGAATAATATACGTTGCGCGAGATAAGATTTTGTAGATATTCCATTTTGTTTTTGTAGCGGAAATTCCAATAAATTTTTCGGTTGATTAGTGCAAATCGGATAATCTTTATAAATATTATAAGAATGACCGAGGAGACCTAAAATAAATTTAAACAGAATTTCTTTTTTTCCGGAATGATAAGTGATAATTTTTAGAACTTCAGCACGAAAATTTACTGGAATATGAAAAAAGTGACGACGACTTTTTCCAATAACATTAATCTTAAGTCTATTTTCTTGTCATGTATTGTCTTGTCATTTGTAATTTTTAATATTATCATTATGATAATGTAATTAAAATATAATATACCCTTATCTAATATTATCATTATGATAAACTAAAAGGAGATTATCACCTTTCTGCGTTGTTGAACCTTTTGCTAATAATAAGTAAAAAATTTTTGATAATGGTTGTACTTGAAGTTCATTAAAATATCCTTCAATCGGAATAATTTTTTGACGTAAATAGCAATAAATACTTCCATTTGCTCTTTCCGCTCTAATCGTCTGTAGTTGTTCTAACAATTTTTCCTTAAGAAATTATAAAAATATTTAATTTTTTTAAAAACATTTCTTTTTCGTTTTATATAATTTTTATCATTTCTTTTTCGTTTTATATCTTTTTTGTTTTTATTTTATCATTGATATGATAAAATTAATTGAATATTAAGCAAGTATTATTAATTATTAATTGAAAGTTAATTGATTGAACTCAGTTGATCTCTATTTATAATAGTTATAATAGAATTAAAATGGCCTAAATTTGATTTATAATTGTTTTAAGCCAAGAATAAACTAATGACATCCGATATATTGACGCGATAATTCATCGTTCCTTTATTATACGATAAGCGACCTTGTAGTGGAGAACCAGGCGCAACCGAGCATTCTGTTACACTATCGTTGCCCTATGATAAGATTAAAAATTTAAAATTTTCTTTAAAAAATTGTAAAGTTTAGTAAAAAATGAGGTTGTAAAAGCTGAGAAAAAATGAAGTTTAATTCAACCAAGAAAAATTCAAGCCATAGGTTTGCAATTGATAAATTGTTTTCGTTATTTGCCTGGGCCTAATATAACATTCTGGGTTTAATATAATAATATATGTGGTGAGCAGTGAACCGGGTCCAAGTAAACCGCGTCCAAGGATCTTTTTTCAACAAAAAGATCTAATCTTTGCCGTTGAGTTAACTAGATCGATAATTGGTTAATATTGAATGATGATTTAATGAAGAATTGGTTAGCGAACTGGAAATACTGGAAATAAAAATATTACCATATATTGGTCCAACGAGAATCCAATAGCCACATATGAACGTTCAATATCATCAACGAGGCCAAGTAGTTCCATTAACAAATAATCACCATCTACCTAATATTTCGCGAAAAAATCCTTTTTTACTATTTTAATTTATTTATTTAATTTATTTGTTTTTGACTATTTAATTAATCAATTAATTAATTTATTTATTTTAATTTATACGTAAATTTTTGGTAGACTTTTATAGTGTTCATACATTATTAAACAAATTATTATAATTAAACATAATAAATAAAAAATTATGAAATATAATTAAAGGCTTTAGATATTCGATGGCAATATTCTTTACAGTCTTTTTCAACAATAAAGATGGGAAAAAGATGGTACTGATTAATAGAAATTAAAAAACTAATATTACGACATATTGGCATAAACTGAAAAAGTGGAAAAATAGATTGAAAAATACTAATGAAGCTTATTAACCTGATAAGTAAAAATAGAAGAACATTGCAGCTGTGAATTATTTTGGCATCCATATGGTATTGCTAAGCAACCTTTTTTGGTACCACAGCTCGATAAGTCAATCGTGATCGGCAACGACATATTTGTTAACAAGTAAAGTATAAAATAATAAAATGGCTGCATGAATTATCGCTAAAAAAAACCCTGATAAGCGCTAAGTTGTATAAGTTTAATTAATTACTCTCATCGATTAATTACCTTATTCCTGAAAAATATAAAAAAACACAAAAATATGATAATAGTAATAATAGTGATAATAGTAATATGATAAGATAAAAATAATAGCACTAATAAAAATGATAATAAATAATAATCATATAATAGTAAAGTAATAAGATTAATTGCAATAATAATAACAATAATAATGATAATAATAATAATAATAATAATAATAATAATAATAATAATAATAATAATAATAGTGGAATTATTCATTAATTAATAATAAATAATGGATCAATTAATCACCAATATGATATAATTGACAAAAACGAACGAATTTTATAAACATAAACTCTTATGAGCGACTCAATTTCAAAGTTCTTGCCGTAATGTTTTAGCTTTATAATTTTTATAAATTTACTTTTAAATTTACTTTTAAAAAACTAATTTCTAGCGAAAACAACGATTTAGTGGAATTATTCATTAATTAATAAGATTAAGGCTTATTTCTTTAATAAAAAAAAAGTGGTTTAATTTTTCGTCACTATTTTTTCTAAGTCTTTTATCGTTTTACAATTTTTTTTTCGATCATTTCATACTTTACTATTCATAAAATTCATAATAATTTATATTATAAATTATTACAAGTTATATAAATTAAAGAATGATTAAAAAACATGATAAAATTAGTTGATAATTGATAATTTAGTCGTTATTTTAAAAAAACAAAATTTTTTCAAGCAAAAAATGATAGGATTATACCATTCATCTAGGGAAAATCATAAAATCCAGGCTTTTTTCTGTAAAGTTTGAACAAAACTTAGAGAACAGCTAAAGTGCTTTTATGAGAAAAATTTGTGCTCACTTATTTGTTAAATAAGCAAAGCCATGTAACAAAATATAATGATCAGTAAATGAATATTGGAACCACATAGCACCTTATCATATTTAAGTTAAATCGTTGGCACTAGTAGACACGAATATTTCGGACCTTTTTTTTTTACCTTTTTTTGCACTTTTAGCGAAATGTTTATAATTCTTTGCATCATGCTAAACACGACAAGCTGCCAGAATCAGAAGGAGTTGTGGAATTCGATTCAAAAGAATTAAGCAAGTTTTTAGAGAAAATCAGAAATAATATTTACAATATATGCAATAGATTAAGATTTGTGATATAAATAAATATCATATGGTTTGGTTGAGTTTTTTTTTTTTAAAATAATCCCCTTATGTTTTCTTGTTTATTATTTTTATTTTTATTATTCATTCATGTAAAATTTTTATTTATGTTTATTTATATTTTTATTATTATTATTTTTATTTATATTTTATTTTAATTTTATTTATATTTTTGAATTCCATCATAATAATTTATTCAAACAAATATTTTTTTATTTTCGATACGCAATAATTTTAGAAACAAATAAAAAAAGGCTAATTTTTGTCACTTAAGGAGAATTTTGAAAATCCATTTATTTTAATTAGAAAATTCTTTCAAATAACAGAAATTATATTGGTTTTAATTTAAAAAAGCTGATAACTGATAATTATTTATCACCACTTTTTGGTATTTTGCTATTAAAATCATTTTTTCACATTATTATTTGAAATCAAATTTTTATTTATTTCTATTTCTTATTAATGAGTTGATTTTGATGAAAGAAAATTCATTCATAGGCAAATCGCTAATGGGAAAGTTCAATGGCGTTATTCGCTGATAATCCATCAAATCTATAGTTCCAATCCATGTTTCAGGAATTTCAGAACAGTTTTTAATTTATAAATATATTATTTTATAGTGATAATATGTAATTAATTCAACTTCTAATTGCATTCTGTAGACATTGAAATTTTAAATATTTTAAAAATATTTTTGAATATTTAGAAATTGAATTGGAAGTTCCAATTCATAGCTTACGATTTCTAATAATTCTAGAATTTTTACCTTTAATATATCATTAAAATAATTAAGCGCTATGTAATTCAGTACCACTAATGTTAATGACAATTTCTCTTGGTACCAACCTGGCTTATTTTGATCTTTGAATTTTGAATTTTTCTTTGAATTTTTTACTTTGAATTTGAATTTTGAATTTTTTTGACTAGAAGATCACGCAGTATTTGCTAATACGCTCGCTAATAAACTAAATTTTTCAAATTTACCACATAAAACAAGAAATTTATATTTCTTGAGAATATAAGTTCAAGCGATTTTCCCAAATTTAACTTTTTATGATCGGTTTTGTGATTTTCTTCCATCAATCAGGAACCAAATTGATTCAATCTGCTTCCTTCTCATAATAAGTAGGCTTTTATAGGAAAAAGTTCATAATTTTAATATAACTAAAATGATATTGAAAATTTGAAAATTTCAAGAAATTTAAAATGATTTTAAGAAAACTTGGAGTTGAGAAAATTTCATTATCAAAAGATTTAAAGTAAATTGATTAAAAAAAAGAGCAAATTGCAAATCAAATATTAAATTTAAACAACAGATTTAAAAAAATTCATTTAATCACTATTCATTACAAATCAATTTAGAATTATTAAATTGATTAACTTTCACATTATTTCCTTTCACTGCCATTATCAATTGTTTTATATTCATATTTGGTTTGATAAAGCGATTCATTTACTTATCACTTTATCTTTTATCTTTCAAAAATTAAACTAATTAACTTTTAAAATAGTGAAATATTGCAGTATTTGGAAATATTTTTACTGCATTTAATTCGTTGAATAATGGATTAGTAAAGATTTATCATATTTATCCAATGCAATTATATATTGATCCTTACAATGGTTATTCTAGAAAATGTCAAATACTCAGTTTTATAATTCCCATTGGAATATTTTCGAATTTGAAAATAGCGCCCTCCTCATCGTTTAGATTCATTTTATATTTTAGACCATTATTTTTATGGTTATTGTTTTTTTTTGTTGTGGTTTTGCTTGGTTTTTTGAAGGCTAATAGTCCTAATTTTCATTTTTTAAATTCAAATTAGTAAGTGATATTACAAATAATATTGGCAATTTGTACATTTCGCATAGTTTGGTCTTTTGATGATAGCTGATTGATAATTTTGATTTCGCTATCACTACTTTTATTATTCGTGTAAATCATTTAGTATTGGAAATTTTCAACATATCGCTAAAATTATATACAAAAATGATTCAAAAATTTCTACAAAAATTAATTTCACCACATTTAATGCTTGTTATTGGATGCATTGTATATATGCTTATTGGTGCCCTTATATTTCAAGCACTTGAAGAGCAAAATCTCAAGGTATTTATAAAGCTATTAATTTATTAGAATTTAGTGGAGTAATTAGAAACAGTTCAATTTCGGACTCTTCGTAGAAGTACAAACTTCTCCATCTCTATTCTCAAAATTTTTTGGCTTTCTAGCGAAGGTTCCACACTTTTTTTTCCTTCAATTACCAGTGAACTTAACCAAATAGCGTATTGCTGAAACGAATGACATTCATAGAAAGAAAAAACTCTATTTATAATCAACAAATATTAATAGAAACTATGGAAAAAATCCTGAAAAAAGAAAAATTTAATTTTAGCATAATTAGAATTTTTTTTTCTTTTTTCTAGAAACTCAAAGCAGAACAATTGGATAAAATTGATTCGAGTGCGGAAAAATATTCGAATCGATTATGGGAATTAGTTACAATTGAAGAATACAAAAAGAATAATATGAAAGTTTTAAAGGAAATGATTCGTGAAGAAAGCAAGCAACATTTCGATCAAGTTTCCTTTATTTTTTTTTTCAATTTTCTTTTTTTACTTCTATAAATTTTTCAAAACATTAATTATTTCCTCGAAAGAAATACATTTTGTAATGTAAGCTTTTTTTTTCTGGAAAAAATGAGCTTTTTTCTTCTTTTTTTTTCCAAAAATACTCATCATTTTCGATTGATTTTTAGAATAGAAAAATAAAAATATATAAACAAGCTGGTAGTCTTCCTGGATTTTATTTGATTATTATTGTTTATTAATATTATTAATTATTATTATTAATTATTATTATTATTAATATAATATTATTATTAATTGTTATTAATCATTATTGTTATTATTATTTTTAATATTATTATAATAATTATTATTAATTTATTATTATTAATTTTTAATTTAACGCATTTTTTTATATATCGAAAATTCTCTAAATTCTCTACTTTTGTCGACAGACTCTTGGAAATGAAAGTCATTAAACCATTCTATTCCATAAAAAAAGAGAGTTGCGAGTTGTGGAAAGAAAAACTATGGATCTTTGGAGAAATTTCCTTCAGATGGCCTTTTGTTTTTTCATATTCGTTTCATTTTTTCTTTTCTTATCCAATAAATAAATCATTTTTGCCAAATTTCGTTTCGTTGAAAAGAGATAGTAGAATAAATTCGATTTATCACATAAGAAAGCAGTCAAAAGTGTTAATAAAAAATGCAAAAAAAGCTATTGTCCAATTAGAATAGCGTAAATCTCTTAAATAGATATTGTAACAAAAAAAATACTTCCTCATAAGTGGTATGGATAATCGACAGCTTCAAATCCTCCACCAGAGTCTTGAGGGTTCATTGTCTTAGCTGTTGCTATCTCTTCTGGACAGAAATCTCTGATGTTATTCATGGAATCTATTGAAGCTATTTCTAATTTAGAGGTCATAGCTCCTAGTGCTACTATTACCACTGGGATTATTTCGGCCTTCACTTTCCGAATCTTCTCTAATATCTCTTCATCTTCGCATATTCCGTCCTATATATATAAAAATTCTATATTTTCAGTATGTCGACACAGTTTTCACTGCACATCGAACGTTTCGCCATGGCTATGAAACTGATGCACCATCTTGGGACTTTATAACATCATTCTTTTTTACCGCAACAATGCTAACTTCTATTGGTTATGGATTTGTTGTACCATTTACTTTTTCTGGCCGTCTTTTTGTTGTTATCTATTGTTTAATAGGTCTGCTTTTTTTTTCTCCATTTCAAATATTTTTTATGATCACATTTCTCATTTGAATATATTTAGTTGCTATTTGTCCAAAATGGATATTTTTTGCATATCTTTCGCAAAATTATAATTTTTAAGGGTTTTGATTGGTACTTATTCCAGTTTTATTTTAATTTGGCAAAAACAATTTTAGGAATACCTTTAACTCTTGTAACCGTTGCTAATGTTGCAAAATTTATATCAGAATCAATTTTTTTCATTCATTATAAATTGTGGCTTTTATGGATGCGATTTAAGAATAAATCGAATAATTCAGACGACGATAGCAGATTAGAATTTCGAGAGAGCGAAGATGAACAAGTAGAGATTAATTCGATCGGATAAATTTCCCATGGAAAATTCCTAGTTATTAATAGAAAAGCTATTTTTCCGGATAACATAATTGAAATAATTTTATCAGTAATTAATTATTTTTGCGAAAAAAACTAATCTATTGCATTATTAATAAATGATGAATTGATAAATGATTAAAAAAATAAAGAAAAATGATAAATCTGTTAGAGAAAACAGATCGGATTAGTTGAAATTTTTTTCAGGATATTTTGGATCGAGTAAAACTGGTTCGATTTCCTCCAATCGTTGTTTTTTTATTCGTATTTTTTTATGGACTATTTGGTTCATATATAATTCAAATTAAGGAAAGTTGGTCATATACAGAATCGATGTATTTCACTTTTATTAGTATTTTAACCGTCGGTAGGTACCCAATTTAATTGCTTCATCGTTTTGATTTTTTATGAGATTTTCATTTTTTTACTAATCGTGTATTAAGCTAAACTGTATTAAGTTAACTGCAAGTGTCATGAGATTAATCCTTGTATATTTTCAAAATTTTGAGCACTTTTACGAGGTTTTATATATATTGTTTTCTGTATATGAATATCGAATTTAGTTCTCATTTTGCTACACTACAAATACTTATCAATTATCACAAATTTATCATCCATAAATATCAAAGCATTGAGCATTTAATATTTTATTAATTTATAAATTAAATTCTAAACTGCTCAGCTCTGCTATGTAATTAAATTTATAAAATAATAAGTCTATAATAAGCCTTCCTCTCTTTAAATTAAATTAAATTAAATTAAAATAAATTTAAATTCTCTAAATTTTCCCATAGGTATTCTTATAGGTATTTTCTCATAGGTAATTAAAAAATTTAGAAATAATAGCAATAATATGATTAATATGATTTTAAATATGATAATGATAAATAATGATAATGACCATTATTCCAAGAGCCAACTGGTTAAATGTTTTTGTTGCAGGATTCGGCGACTATCGTCCTGGTCCAAAAAATTTACTTATAGTTTTAGTAGTAATAATTGGAGGAATAATTTTAACGACAATGTGTATGGATGTCGTTGGTCGTATGTATTTAAAAGAAATTCACTATTTGGGTCGAAAATTAAAAACAAACAATCCATTTTATTTACTTCGAGAAGCTAAAGCTCGGTAAACTATAATATTTTTAAATCGAATGGTTTTAACTTTTCTCGAAAAAATTTTTTTTAACATTCATAATATATGATGAATAAAAAATGGCTTAGAATAAGCTTTATTATCTATTATCATATCATATCATTAACATTTAATATGAAAATTCTATTAACTTAAGGCGAAGGCGTCAAGCGATGGCAAGTGTATTAGCAAAATTGGCAAGAGGCATGATATTTGCACATCGTAATTTTAATGAACTTACTGTTCAGAAAAAGAAGCACAAATTATATGGATCACATTTGTGTATGTGCATATTTTTATAAAATGTAAGATTGTTCTAGTTGGTCAGACAGAATATTCGTCAAATAAACTTAATAGTGGGGTGTAAAATTGACTTCCATAGTTTTTATAATTTCTGCAAAAGGAAATAGAATGGCTCAGTGAGTTATTGCTCAATTCGAAGCGTCCATGAGGTTTTCTTCCTCCGTTGAAGTAAATTTAAACCTGTCTAAAAATCCGAGTGATGCTGGCGACTCACCTGGACTTCTATCGCCAAAAAACTCTTTGGTATATTGTACGACAAGCCAGCTGAACGAATCTAAACAGTAGCGGTCAGAATAGCAGATTATTGAAACAAAAAAATCTTCATGTGACAGCAGCGATTAACATATGAAATAAAAATATACATTTAGTACCCGATGGTAAATTTATGTTTGCTCGATTACCACCTGATCCACCTAGCGATTGCCAAGTCGTATCAACCTCAGCTTATTCTGTTAGACTCGCTTGGGCACCATCATTTTCAACTGATGATCAAGTCACCTATAATATTCGTTATAGATTGAAGTTCGTTATTTATTTTATTTACTTTAATATTTGCTTTGATTATTAATTTTTTAAATAAATTTCTTACATAATATTTTCGTAAAAATTTTTAAAGGCATAAAGAAGGAAGCAAATTTCGTGAATTAAAAGGAATACAAGGAAATAATGCCGAAATTATGAGCATAGATTCATGTTCTTTATACGAATTTCGTATAACAGCAGTATCACGATACGGCGAAAGTAAACCTGTTTATCTCGTTCAATATACAGGTAGTTTTTTATTATTCATTTTTAAAATGGCCAGCAATTTTAATAATAAAGATTTTAATTATCATTGCATAAAATGTGAAATCATTAAAATGAACTACAACTTGAGTTTTTAATAAAATAATTTGCGATAATTTTTTTTCATAAAAGAACCACAGTTAAGTCCTCAGCATATTTTGGCGACACGAATTAATGCTAACACCATTGAATTAACATGGGAACCACCGTATAAAAGAACCAATGACGTCAAGGTAATGTTCTTTCGTTGAAATGGTACTTTCATATTATTATTTTTTTTTATCTAAACAGCCAAAATATTTTACGGTTTTATATTTTACGGTAACAAATTATAATATTTATATAATAAAATATTTATACAATAAAATATTTATAATGTAATATAAATGCGGTCCTTTGGGCAATTGTTTAATTTAGCATTATTGAAGGTAAATCCATTGCTTTGTTCTTTTTTTAATTGGATTTACCACTAGTAATGCATCTAATCAAAAGTAATTTGTCAGTTTGATCCGCTTGTTCGTCGTAATTTTCTCTTAAATCTCCATTTCTAATAGTAATCGAGAAATGTTTCTATTTCAACTATTTGTATAAATTTAATTTAAAATATATAATTTTTATAAATCTAATTCTACTAATTCTAATTTTATTATTATTTAATTGTTTAATTTATATAAATTCATTAAATTCTAATTTTAATTTAATTATATTTTACCATATTTTAAATATTTTTCAATTTCATTACAAATCAATACAAATTTTATTGGCAAAAATTCGAAATCAAATATAATATGGTGAAATTTCAGTGCTATATTGTTTATCATACAGACAATCCTAATGCAAGACTATCTGATTGGGAAAAACTGACGGTTCAAGGAAGACGAGTCGTATTTCCGGATTTACGTTATGATTGGTTTTATATGTTTTGCGCAACAGCTTGTTTTAAAGACGGCCAGCGATCTCCGCTGTCACGAGCATTATTTGTTAAAACCGATAAACTTGAATTTAATAGAAAGTGTATGAATTTGCCTGAATTTTATGGATTTTATTTTACCACAATATTAAATTTTTGAAGCGGTTAAAGATAAGATAAAGATAAAACTATCGAAGAACTATGCTTTCTTTGTTCTTTCTTTCTTTTTTTTCGATTTGAATTTGAGCTATTTTATTTAATATAATATTTTAAATAATTTAAAATAATTTTATTGAACATAATTATAGCCAATTTTAAATAAAATGATCGAAGGCAATCCTATTTCTACTTTTGGCCAATGTTTGAGAATCTATTATTAAAACTAAAATTTAAGCGATCATAAAACGCGAGCTATTGGCTTTGTATTGGCCACTTTGGCAAAAAAAGTTTAATAGCCATTGGAGTCGTTAGAAGTTGTACAGTTTGAAAGAATTTTAAAATGAGATGAGTGCTAAAATTTGAGGATTAAATTCGAGGATTTATTTTTCAGATGTTGGCCAATCGAGAACGATTGAAATAATGGATTCAATTTGTGATAAGGAAGAAGCAAATGAAACAGCGCCTTTGTTAAAACGAGATTATATTTCATTTAACGTTCGATTTCAATCGTATGGCGGTTAGAACGAGAATTTTTTTCGTTCATAAATCTTTCATAATCGTCATAATTTTATTTTTCTTTTTTTTCAAATAAAAAGATAAATTATTATCAGATGCCAATCGAGATAGAAGGTAATTAATTCATATATATTAAATTCTAAACACCCTTTTTTCTTTGTTCCATAGAGATTTGAAAACCAAAAGTTTTGAAAACGATTTTATGAAGTTGCCTTCGATCTTGAAGCTTATAGCATATTGCTCATTATTATTATATCACCTCATTTACTTATCAAATCAAATCGTAGCCATTCTATTTATTTGCCAAAAAAAGCAAATTTTTTCATCATCTACTGATAAGCAAGAAAAAAAATTATTCAAAAAAATAAGTCCATGAGTCCATTATTGATCAGCGAGAAAAAAATTATTACTGATAAAAAAAATTGGCTAAAAATTTTTGACTCTAAAAATGTTTTAATTGTATATTTTATATTCTTTATAATATTCTCAATATTTTTTCTATTCTTTCATGGCAATAACTATTTACTCAATCATTTTCCACTTATTTCTTATAATATTTCTGTTTATACACGTGTAAACAAATAAGTAATGTTAATATTAAATGTAAATATAAACTAAATATAAATTGCTAATAAAAAGTTGTATTATAAAATATTTTTGTAAGAATTATAAAAACTTTCTTTTTTTTGGAAAAAGAAAATATAAAAATATATGATAAATTTGAATAAATTTTGTATTTTGAATTTATTTTTAACGTACATTTTATCAAATACAGTGGAATAATTATTTTGCGATTTGGTACACTACTTTTTGAGTTGGTCCAGATGAGGGTTAACTAAATAGCGAATTATTGTTGCTCAATATAGTCCACGTAAAATGATCCCACCATATTATCACATTTGGATAACCATAAATTACAGTGGAAAACTGGAGGGTTTTTTAAGAGCTTAAAGGATTCAGTTTTAGCAACGAATGATGGTAATATATAAATAGAATAGAATAGAATATATATATAAGCGATATTGAATTCATTATTTGTGGATCGTTTGCTAGGAGCCTTATGTCCTCTTGCTGCACCAGTGAAATAATACGTAAAATGAAAACAAGAAAATATCTTCAAGGAGCTAATCCCTATGTTATTATGTAAACATAGAATATCACCGCGGTATGCAGTAAATGCAGTAAATCTCTATCGTTCTAGTGGCTGCTAGCAACCATAGCGGTTCCTCATCCTTACATCCATCTATACAGAATCAATTGTATTTACCATTTTTTTCAGAAAGGTGAGACAATTATCTTTTTAAAATTATCATTTTTTAATGATACACATAAAAATTTAGCAATATCACTAAAACTTTGATCAATTACTAGAAAAATAAGGAAATTTTATCAAAAACTATTTTATTTTAAAGGATTCAATAAATCAGTGAGGATCATCATTCAACTAAATATATGGACACAATGTCAATATTTATTAACTGTTAAGAAGATAAGAATTAATCCTTGGGTTCATCTAGGAACGCAAGCCATTCTCTTTTTTTATTCTTGCAAGAAAGCTAGTTTATTCGATGAATAAAAAACTAAAATTGTCGAAATTGTGTAAATCGCTTTGAACCATATTGGAGAAGTAATATTATTGAAAGATACAGAAAAAAATTTCGAAAATTTTGAAAAATTCCTTTTTAATAATTTATAATACAAAAATATTACCATACAACCGTTCTAATAGTTAGCTCAAAGTACCATTCAATTCTATAAGCTAATGATGATAAGAATTCTGATTAATGATTAATGGTGATCAATGATAAATGAATAATTCTAAAAGCCTAGCATTTTAAATTTTTCAGCTTTTCCTTCCAAGATTTGAAACTATAACTTCCACTGCAATTTACTTGTAATAAGGAATTTACAATAAATAAATTATAATAATGAAACAAAACAAAATTTATTCAAAATTTATCCTGAGAATTCAACAAAAAAGTGCAAAAATACGACGAAATAACAATAAAATTTCGAAACATAATTGCAAACATTACTGCGATTTTTTCAACAGTTAAACTTTGTTTTACGTCTTGATGGCCCAAATATTAGTGGCCTAGGCTTTCGTGCATGCTTTGCAAAAGCATTGTTTATTTCTTCGTTTATTCCTTATCGCAAACTTTCATATATAATAAACGAAAAATACAGCCTAAGTGAAAACATCAAATTCCTATTCAACTGCATTTATCAATTGCTACAAACTATTATTTTGACAAGTATTATCATTTTGTTAACATAAGTATTATCATTTTATAGGTTTAAAAGTAACCGAGCAAACGTATGGTTTTGTTGCCATCGAATCCATCAATCTGAGGAATATTACGATAATAAAAGTCATTTAATAATTTCGAAATAGTGCGCTTCCTCTTGAGATAAGGTCTATTCTCATTATGGCCATAAAAAGATTGATGAAATAGTTGTAGAAGATTTCCAGAATTTCCTTTTCCTGAATTCTCCTTAGGATCTTTCATAATACAATTTTCTTTACAACATTATTATTATTATGTGAGGTGTTAAATTGTGTAATATTTATTATTATTATTGAATGAAGGAATTTTACATATAACATATGTCTAAGCTTCAAAATACTATTGATTTTATCGTTCCCTTTTTAAATTTATATAATTTTATATTAATTTATACTTTTCATTACGGGCTTTAATGAATTTTTTAGTAAAATTTCTTAAAATTCCGTAAAAATTTCTTTAAAAAAAACTAAAATTCAGCTATTTTTTGATGTTAAACGTTTGATTTAATTTAATTTTAAATTTAATGTTAAAAAATAAATTTAAAAATAAAAATTTGATTATATGAGATATCTTTTTTCTTCTTCTATGGTGGTTTAGTTGAGTTTCCAATAAATGTTTCCTTCAAAAGATAAATTGTGAACAGAAATATGAAATGGATTTTGAGCGTTATACAAAATCAAAATTTATAGCTAAACTGGTTTTTCCATTCAGAAACACGCTGTTAATTTCAATAATTTTTAAATATTTAAATGAATTTGTTCATCTGTTCGGTGTAAATTGGTTTTTAATTGTAAAAATTGTTATGATCAAGAAAATTAATTTTGGATTAATTAATTAGTCCGAAATTATTTTTCAGACAAAAAAAATGGAAGAAATGCAAGAATGGACATCTAACATGCCACCAGCACATATAAATCCGACTTTTTTTAATCCAATCGCCATGTTTCCACCTATTAAAATACCTGAAAATTGGATATCGTCTTCCATGCAGAATAAGTATATTTTATTATTAAAAATCTTTTTTCTAATTTCTTTTTTGCTTCTACTTATGCTAATATATATTCCCTTAAATATTTATAGGCTTAGCGTTCATAAATGAAGGCAAATTACAGAATTAGAAATAGGGATATGAATAAAATGATTTTCAAGTATCTTATTTATCTTATATCTTAAATAGGTTTTCTCCTACAGAAAGCAAGTTTATCATTAAGTTCATCATTAGTGAATTAGTGAAAAATTTATTATATTCTGAGTAACTGCTAGAAGGCTGCTAGAAGGCTTCCTTCATTTTAGTTCCTAAATGGCTCTTCCGTGAAAAATTCACAAACCTTTTGTCTATTGCCAATATATAACCAACTAAATTAGAAACTATTAGCGGAAAAAGTGGCTAAATTTTGATAAAATATAGTTATTTTAATTAGTAATTTGAATTCGCATTTGAATTAATGATAAGCGATAGGTCTAAAATTTAATTATTTAATTTAATTAATCTAATTTAATTATTTAATTTAATTAATTTAATTTAATTCAACTATTTATTTTTTCACTTTTTTACCCGAATTTTCGCAATTTTCGCAATTTTTATAGGAACAAGAAAATCAAACGACAAAAGGTAATTTCTCGTATCAATATTTTGGCATTTATTTATTTCGAATATTTATTTTTATTCAAGTGGATGAAATATTTTATTTTATTAAATAACATGAACCACAAATTCAGTCGATTTAATAATAAAGAAATAATAAAGAAATTTGAAATAATATAAAATAATAAATTTAATAAAACAGTTGGTATTACGTTATTCTAATTAATAGCATAGATAAATTTCATTTTATTCGCGACTATCGATTTTAAATAATAAAATTATATGAAATTATATTTAGATCAGTGGTCGTCGAACTTTCTTTACGGACTCCAGAAGATGATACCATAAAGATTCTTGGGCCCCAAGTGCACCATTCCTAAATTTTGAAATTTTAAAGCATTTCTGAAGTTTTCTTTTCTATGAGTTTTGAATGAATATAATAAAATAATTTATCACCATTTAAACAGAATATATAATTCGTATTAAGCATTCCCATGGGGAGTTCCTATGGACCCAAGGAAATCCGTTAAAGCTAGTTTAACGATCAATGTAAAATCTTTTATGTATAAAATTTTTGTTTTTGTCTCATAAATATAAAAATCATTTGAGAAGGAAATACCAAGAAGAATTTATTTAATTCGAAATGGTGAAAGTGCCCGAAATGAAAGATTTGCTGATAACAATTTTTATCAAAGAGGATTTAATCTTTTTTCTAAGGTTCTCAGTTTTACTAAACAATTTTTCATGAAAAATGTTGAAAATCATAAAAAAATAGAAATTTTCTATGAGATTTTTTATTCGAAATAATTAATAAATCGAATTCTTAAAGTCTCTTTTAAGAATTTAGCAAATATAATAAATAAGCTTATATAATACTTTGATGGATATCAAAACAGCATAATAGTGCTTAAGAGAGCTTAGAATATTATTTCAGCGTGGTGAAAAGGAAGGGATTATAACGCAAAATATTTTATGGAAATTTATGGAAATTTAATATTTTATGGAAATTTCTTTAAAAGCATAAAGAGCCAATAATTTCTCAACTTTTTTGCATATTAATTAACTAAACAAACAATTTTATAATATATTGAATTATTTTATTGAATTCAATTAGTAGAAAAAAATTCTAAATAAATCTTCAATTTTTAAATTATTTATAATATTTTTTTTCTTATTTATAAATAACGAAAATAAATTTTTTAGATGGATGTGAACCAAGCAATTGTTCAAGTTTATCGTTCAAATTCAAATAAAGACGATCCATCGCTAACACAAATTGGATATTCAGGAGCACAACTCGTTGGTCGTTCATTGTCTAATAAACAATTAAATATTCATACAATTTATACATCACCGTCATTGCGGTGCATTCAGGTGAATTCTGAAAAATCAAATCGTTTCCTTATGAGTTAAGTTTGATATATGAATGAAAAATTATATATTTTTTAGACTGCTAAATCAATTGTTTCATCATTAAATACGAGAAGATTACCAAGAATTCGTATCGAATACGCATTATTTGAACCACTCGCATTCGTCTCTAAAGTAACTTTTCATGGAATTTTCAAGGATGACAAAGTTTCATATAAAAGATAATTGAAAAAATGAAACAAAATATTTCGCATTTCTTATTATTACGAAGGAAATCAAAAATTCAATAGGATTGATAATGCGTTAATTACCAAATAGGTTGAGAATATAAAGAATTTTTTCTAAAAATCCATATTATCTGAATCATCTAAAATTGCCTTTCTGGTATTTGAATCACCTTTGATGATTCTTAAGTGCCTTTGATTGTTTCAAAAATCCCTAACACTCTCACGAAATGATTTTACTTTATAGTCACTGGAATTATGCAAACCTAATCTGTCACATGGAGGAAATCATCTTATTGAATAGGAATCGTCCTTTTAAAATTCATATTTGTTGTCTGATCGCATTTAATAATAAAATGATAAAATAATAAAATTCTGTTAGAATTAAATTTAAGGTACCAAAATTTATAACAAAAGAGGAATTAACAAATAACAAATTTCATTTCGATGAAAAATATACTTCAGTTATGAATTATGAAGAACTGAAGCAAATGTTCGGCCAGGTAATTGAATTTGAGAGTTTTAAAGTTTATTTTTTAGTAATCGACAAATCGAACTCATCAATGTTTCCTTCATTGTCATATTTTTTATTTTTCTATTTTTTATAGGAAAAAACGATAACAGATTTTTATAAACGAGTAGAGCATGCAGTTAATAGAATTGTTGGTGGTAAGAGAAAACGAGGAGGTATAATAATAATTTCTCATGCTCCAGTTCTCGATTGCATATTCAGGTTATTTTCAATTTTAATATTTTTAAAATTATTTTAAAATTAAATATTTTTAAAATATTTAAAATTTTTGACGAGAAATTAAAAAAGACGACGTAATTTAAAATCATCATTATCACCATATTTTATCCTCATTATCACAGACAAGTTTTTCGTCCGGGAAAATGGTTTTATTAGTAATATCTTGATAAAAACTTCGTATTTTCAAGCGGCTTATTAAACGAGTAATATTTGTAATAAATTTTAAAAAATTCTTGATTAAAAAAATCTTTTTATATTTAATATTTTTATTTCCTAATATTTGATATTATTATTTTTTATTTATTTATATAATTTTTTATTTTTTTAATGAATTTTTTGTATTTATATATTATTTTATAAAAATTTCTTTTTAATAGACTTTTAACAAATCGGACTGATTTACCAAAAACTGCGGGTGATTTGCAAAGGCTTATTCATAATTATCCCCGATGTTCAGTAACAACATTACAATTTTTTCCTGAGAATTTACAATGGGAGAATCGCGCAGATATTGTACCTCCATTATCTTATTGGCATATGACTACGATGGTTAATATTCCCGATTTTGATTAAATTTTGTTTTTTATAATTTTTACCTTCAAAGGCTAAAAAAAGTCTCTATCGTTCACTATTCTATTCAAAAGTCAATGCCTATTACCAGAAATAATAGTCTGCTTTTTCCTCCATCTAAATTTCCAGTTTTTTTTTTTCTTATGGTTATTATCTTTGTTGTTTATGATACATCAAAATATTTTCTAAAAAATATAAAAATAGAAATATAAAAATATATTTCTTATGCAAATCTGTCGAATAAATAAATTATTTTCTGTACCTTTTACAATGTAAGCAATCCTTTTAGCTATACAAAATAGAATTTTCCCAGTTCCCTCACTAATGTAAAAAGATACTCTTGTACAGTATATAGTGGTCCAACCCCCGTGATAATTAAACCTCTTAAAATCACTCAATCCCTTGTGTCCTGTTTAATATCCCATTACATTTTGGTAATAATTATGGGCAATTTGAAAAGTCGTAAAATCGTAGAAGGAAATATGAGAGCTGAGAATATTAGCTCGACTTTAGAGTACTCAGTCATAATGAGCAGCGTATTTAATACCTATTCATTCTAATTTCTTAAATTCCAAAATGGAAAAATCCAATAAATCCAATAATTTGAAAGTTTAAAACGAATTACATATCTGACTTTTTTCGTAATTTTTAAATTTGTTATCAACATGCGATAACATTCTTTCCAAATCTCCACTTGAAAACATAACGTTTTGAGAACAGTCAAGACAAAAAAATTGAAACGGAATTTTTAACTTTTTGCGAATCTTTGAAGAAAATGGAAAACCAAACATTTCCAATTCCATTGATAATGCTGAACTGCTCAAGAAAAACTTCAGATAATTTAAGCAACGACTGCTCAAAAAATAGCGAAAATAATTGCTGTTGCTGGAGAGAGTTTCCGGAAATATTAACATGAAAAGAAATTTTTTCCACAACAAGAGAACTGATGGATTTTTGCCATCATTGCTACTTCTTTATCTAACAGCTTTCATCATTACTGGTTAGGCTGCATCCACTGGCTAAGAATAAGAATTTCCAAATTCTTCGGTGCAACATCATCGCTTAAATTGATTGATTCCTTTTTCCATCGTCTAAGACCGGCTGATCCACCATGATTTTATTTTAATTTGTTCACAGCTTTAATCCAGTGAAGGAAGATAAATGGAATGTTTGGCCAAACTCGAAACTCACCATCTTTTCTTTCACTTGTAATTATCTTAAATCTGAAGCCAACTTTAAATCTCTTCAAAGCCAAATACAATATAGATGAAGCGAATGAATTCATTGAGGCGAATAGGTGATAAATCTGATCTAACCTAACAAATAAGATTCGTTCAAAAATAAATTTTTCATGAGGAATTTTTATGAAATATCTCAAGTTTGATATTTGGTATTGGACAAAAATGCAGGTGAGTCGCCAACATTGCTCGGATTTTTGGACAGATTTACTCCTGTGGGAAATCGAACCTCAGTATCGGTGCTCCGAATTTAGTAACAACCCACTGAGCCATTCTATTCCCATTATAAAATTTAATACCACATATTACACTTATAAGAATTCTATTAATTCTACCAGACATATTCTAACGAAAAAAAAGATATAGACGGCATAAATTGAAAAATAAATTAACAAAACTAATGTATTAAAAAATTAATGTATTAATGTATTATAATGTATTAAAAAATAATCGAAATTATATATTTTAAAACTACATATATTAGATTTTAAAAACAATCTTAGACCTGAATATGAGATCAAGTAAGATTAAAATCTTGCAAGTGAACATTTAGTAATTCGCTATTTTCTTATTAATTGCTGGAACAAACATTCTTATAATATAGCATCAGTAAATAATACATATAAATAAAAAAAAATAAATAAAAAGTAAATAAGTAAATAAAAATAAAGTAAGTAAATAAAAAAAATGCACATAAATGTTAATCTTTATGAAATCGAAAATATATTTTCGAAAATATAATCGAAAAATATATAAAAAAAAATAATAAACATATTTATATATATTTTAATAATATTTTAATAATAAACAAATCTGAGAAGACGAAACCAAGTAAATTGACAATAATTAAACTGATAACAACTGATGAAAAATGCGTTTATATTTTTTATTTGTTAAATTTAGATTATTTGATTCAATGAGAGAGCTGCAAAAAAGAAATATAAAATTTAAAATAATGAGACTATAAATCAATAAAGAAATATAAAAGATTTGTTGAATTTACAAATCTCCAAGAAAAATTTAGATGGAACCAAAATGGAATCATTAAAGTTAGCATAGATTCATTTGAGTTTTCTGGTGATAAATAAATCGTATAATGAATATTGCTAAGAAAATCGAGAACATTTTATATTGGTAAGAGATAAAAATGAAATCAGCTAAAGCTATATTAATTGATAATAATGATAATTATTCGAAAATGTTAGAAAATTCAGTGTGATATTGCGAGATTTTTCAAGACGTTATTTAGAGATTTGCATAAAAGTTTTCGAAATTTTTTCATGTTTCACTTGTTTCTCTTTGTTTTTGTACAAATTATTTTTGTCGAAACTGAGAAAGATAATTTATTTCGTATATAAATATATTTATATTTTAGTATATGTTATGTTATTTCGATCAACTTTGTCTATTTCGTCAAACTATTTCGATTTGCTTGAGGCATTAAACATTTGTGGCTATGCAAGAGTGAACGTCAAGATCCGCCATGGTGTTAGAGTTTGATTTGATTTTTATAACGGAAGCTATAACGATATGTGATGGGTTGTTGAAGGGGGTTAAAATTAGTTTTGTCACAATCCTGGAGAATCCTGGAGAAATTTAAAAGGAATGGGTTTACAATGAATCTATATTCAAATTTTCTTGTTCAAATATTTTTGCTTGAAACGACTGCTCGAAAAATTATGGAAGGAACAAAATAAAAACTGCGTTCTTTGTTGCATTAATACGAACTATTTTATAGCTAATTAATGTCAGAATGTCAGAAGTACAAAAAGGAAAATGCTCAAAACCTATATCCATGTTGGTTATAACTGCTTGACCAACATCTTTAAAGAACGTTGACCTTAATTTGGTCTTCCGGAAGTGAGCTTTAAAAAGAAAGAAACAAGCAACTGAGTGCATGGTGCATTATTTATTTTTATGCATAGACAACACTTGTGGCAATGGAAACGAACACACTAATAATGCCTAAGGCAATACTGAGATTCATTTCGCATTCATTAGAGAATGAGTGAAGAAGTTTATTGAAAGCAATAATAATTAATTAAAGTTGAGTAATTTATAAGTTAATTGTTCTTTTATAAATGGTTCAAAATCAGATTTTTTCTTCATGAATAGACGAAATCGAATATTGTAGAGAGAATCCATCTGCAGACATACAACCAAATAGCGCAATAAGCAAATAACCGATTTTTGAAGAATTTTTGGAAGATTAAAATCAGCCGGTTAGACAATTTTCAGAAGTCACAGAATTTGATATAAAAATATCTTTTATACGAAATGCCTTTAAAACTTTCATAGGCTATGAATCTCGAAATTTTTGAAATGAAAATAAAAAAAATGCCTTTAAAACTTTCATAGGCTATGAATCTCGAAATTTTTGAAATGAAAATAAAAAAAAATTGACGAGAAAAACATCTCATCACTGTTCCATTTCACATTTCAATCATTTCTCTACGAAATCATATTTTAGTGAAAAACTACCTGAAAATAGAATACATTTATAAAATAAGCCTCATTCAAATGATAACAGTTGATAAAAGATCAATTCTTATTTTTTGTCGATTTATCAATTTATCAAAAATATAGTGCGTGAAGTGAAATCGAACGCTCGATTAGAATTCAACATAAGCATTATTGTTAATGCGTTCGTCTCTATTTATGTACAATGCTGTTTCTTTAAATATTTATCAAAAATGAAGTATGTTAAGTGAAACCGAACGCTGCCATAGAATTTTAGCATTAGCAAATATTATCGTCAATGAGTTCGTTTCAAATACGAACAGTATTGTTTCTTGAAATATATAATATAATATTATTATATTATACGAAATATCACCGATATCATCGAACGTACCCAAATCCCAGACTAATGAATAAAAATTGAATAATTAATTTAAAAAATGTTCAGAAGTTTTTTTCTTAAATTCAGAGAAAAGAGTTAATATTTTTATTATATTTCTTATTATATTTATTGTAATTTTATATTAAACAATTAATATATATTTATTATAAATAATTATAATTTCATTATATTATAGAAATAATTAATAATTAAAATAATTAATAATAATTAAATAATTAATTAATTAATAATTAATAATTATAATTAATTGAATTGAACGAAACGTTTTATAAATTCAAATCAGTTACGAAGAAAATAATTTTGTTTCTAAAAATGTTTCATATTCTATGCTTTTTTTATTTGTTTATTTCAAATTTATCACAATATTATAGTAATCGTTGTAGAATTTTATAGATAATTCCTCGATTAGTGGGCGAATAATGCAATGTAACGAATTTTTAAAGAATATTTGGAAAATAGAAGATAGCAAATTTTTTATTCTCCTCTACTTCTACTACATTATTCTTACTTATCCTCCAACTTATCCTCCAACTCTCCTCTTAGCTTCTCTTCTTAGCCTTTTGTTTAACACCTTATAAGAACACGTCATTGTGAAACTTTTTTGTGAATTTTTTCACGCATTTATCTATATACATTATAATTCAAATTATAATTATTTACAATTACAATTATTTGCCCACTTTAGTCAATCGCTACTTCATAAACCAAAGCGTAAGTAGTAAGCTGAAAACGAACTATTAAAACAAACTGAGAACGAACTGAAACTTATTTCAGATCTTAAATTTTTATTCTTTAAATTTATCATGAAAAGGCTATTTGGAAAATAGAAGATAGCATAAAATTTTTTCAAAGAGATTTGAATAAACGAGGAAATATAATTTTATAAATAATATAATAATAAA